GTAATGCTTGCCGCGCGGCGGAAGTTCGCGAAACAGCCAATCAATATGTTGTTTTTCCGTAAGAGCTAGAAGCTAATTACGGAAAGCAGCATATTGATTGGCTGTCGCGCGGACTTCCGCCGCGCGGCAAGCATTATCGCGTCCTGTCTGCAGAAACCATAAGAAATAAGCAATAAGCAAATTGACCAATTCCATTCCCACGTTTTAAAAATAATCGATTGTGATTGGTCTGTTTACTTACTGCTTATTTCTTACTCCTACTCCTACTCCTTACTCCATCTATTGTAGATCGGGCCTAAGCAAATTGACCAATTCCATTCCCACGTTTTAAAAATAATCGATTGTGATTGGTCTGTTTACTTACTGCTTATTTCTTACTCCTACTCCTACTCCTTACTCCATCTATTGTAGATCGGGCCTAAGCAAATTGACCAATTCCATTCCCACGTTTTAAAAATAATCGATTGTGATTGGTCTGTTTACTTACTGCTTATTTCTTACTCCTACTCCTACTCCTTACTCCATCTATTGTAGATCGGGCCTAAGCAAATTGACCAATTCCATTCCCACGTTTTAAAAATAATCGATTGTGATTGGTCTGTTTACTTACTGCTTATTTCTTACTCCTACTCCTACTCCTTACTCCATCTATTGTAGATCGGGCCTAAGCAAATTGACAATTCCATTCTCACGTTTCAAAAATAATCGATTGTGATTGATCTGTTTACTTAGGTGATCTACAATAGATGGAGTAAGAAATAGAAGTAGGAGTAAGAAATAAGCAGTAAGTAAACAGACCAATTCCATTCTCACGTTTCAAAAATAATCGATTGTGATTAGTCTGTTTACTTACTGCTTATTTCTAATGGCTCCTGCACACAGGACGCGGTAATGTTTGCCGCGCGGCGGAAGTCCGCGCGACAGCCAATCAATATGTTTTTTTTTTGTAAGAGCTAGAAGGTTATTACGGAAAGCAGCATATTGATTGGCTGTCGCGCGTGCTGCAAGCATTACCGCGTTCTGTGTACAGGAACCATTACGTGATCGGTCAACAGAGTGATGACTCCGCTTTTGGGTCACTCTGCTTTTCACCGAGTTTATCCTGGGTCTCCGGAGTCTGGCGAAACGATCGATGAATCTGGCGAGAAATCAGTGCTGCTCGTTCTTCTGGGAGTCGATTCTGTATCTCGAAACGAAGTGAAAATTACAAAAGTGAGCACATTCACTAGGCACTGACCAAAGAAATTACGAGTGTTCTAGTATATTTGCTCACTTTTGTAATTTTCACTTCGATTCTGTATCTCGAAACGAAGTGAAAATTACAAAAGTGAGCACATTCACTAGGCACTGACCAAAGAAATTACGAGTGTTCTAGTATATTTGCTCACTTTTGTAATTTTCACTTCGATTCTGTATCTCGAAACGAAGTGAAAATTACAAAAGTGAGCAAATATACTAGAACACTCGTAATTTCTTTGGTCAGTGCCTAGTGAATGTGCTCACTTTTGTAATTTTCACTTCGTTTCGAGATACAGAATCGAAGTGAAAATTACAAAAGTGAGCAAATATACTAGAACACTCGTAATTTCTTTGGTCAGTGCCTAGTGAATGTGCTCACTTTTGTAATTTTCACTTCGTTTCGAGATACAGAATCGAAGTGAAAATTACAAAAGTGAGCAAATATACTAGAACACTCGTAATTTCTTTGGTCAGTGCCTAGTGAATGTGCTCACTTTTGTAATTTTCACTTCGTTTCGAGATACAGAATCGAAGTGAAAATTACAAAAGTGAGCAAATATACTAGAACACTCGTAATTTCTTTGGTCAGTGCCTAGTGAATGTGCTCACTTTTGTAATTTTCACTTCGTTTCGAGATACAGAATCGAAGTGAAAATTACAAAAGTGAGCAAATATACTAGAACACTCGTAATTTCTTTGGTCAGTGCCTAGTGAATGTGCTCACTTTTGTAATTTTCACTTCGTTTCGAGATACAGAATTGACTCTCTGGGCAGCGATCACGTGTAACTTCGAGCGGAACTTTTCACTTTTCGCTCTATCGATTTCACGTGAACTTTTTCATTGTTCACGCAATCAAGTAACTCTATGCGTAAAAAGCACAAATCACTAAACATGGTTCCTATATGGTTTCAATATCGGCCAAATCAGCTATATCCATCGGCTGTAGAACATATTAACCTTAAAAACATCGCTATAACCTTAGAATTATTATGTTTCATGTATCTCATCACAGCAGTAGCATAATATATTCCGCATTCATCATGTCACTAGATTTTCACTTTTCCGCCAGCACATTTCATGGCTAACAAGTTCACGTGAAAAGTTTCACATTTACACGTTTCGCCGAGATACGTGATCACGAGTTCACGTAAAACTTTTCACTTTTCACGTTTCCGCCCTAGGGGAAAAGTTATATGATCGCTGCCCTGAGTGGTGTTTGGATTCAATTTTCATACTCCTGTTGACGTTAGTAGCGGGATTCCTTATCGCATTGAGCGATTACGGTTTTTCTTGATTGATCCATCGATTTTTAAAACTCTCTAACGACACGCAATATTCAGCATTATAATTTTAATTATAATGTTTAACGCGCGCGAATGTACATATGCGCACGTACTTATGTTTAGTAACATAGAGATAAAATATCTAGTGATGTCTGAAATCAGACAAATTGATGTCGCTCAAGAAAACCATAGAAGGAGGAGAGCATACTAAGGTGGCGGCGGGACGCCGTGCGTTCGAGATTTGCGTATCTTTTCGTTCCAGAAAGAGAAAAATATCGACAGCGCGGCTCTGCTAGGCCGGGACTCGAACCCGGGTCTTTCGCTTGCCGGGCGACTGCTCTAAACCACTGAGCTACCTGACGCTCCACGCTGACGACACTCTCCTCTTCCTAGATAACGCTCAGAGATGCCGTTCGGAAGCGACATCTCCTCCGATCTATATTAATATATTATTAGTGTTTTAAAATAAATATGGACGTTACAATAATGGCCCATATTCTGAATCCTTTTTTATTGATAAAAGTGCCTTAAATGTAGCTTCTCAGCCAATCAGGTGCCTCCTAAGCTACTTTTAGAGGCACTTTTATAGATAAAAGAAGAACAGAATATAGGCCAATATGTATAAAACTAAATGTATTATACTTTATAATACAGTAATCTTACACTGTCAGTAATCTTATACTGTAATACAGTACTTATCGCACGGCGGAAGTTCGCACGACAGCCAATCAATATGCTGCTTTCCGTAATAACCTTCTAGCTCTTACGGAAAAACAACACATTGATTGGCTGTCGCACGGACTTCCGCCGCGCGGCCAGCATTACCGCGTCCTGTGTGCAAGAGCCATAATACAATAAATAATATCACTATAATACGTGCCCTACCTTGGATGCTTTCCAGCTACGTTACCTGTGTTACACAAAACCAGTTTATTGGTCACATATTATCTAAAATATCTTGTAAGATAATATGCAACCAATAAACTGGTTTTGTGTAACATAATTGGTCTGTTCTTTTCGGCTGCACTGCTGAACTGGTGCAATAAGTTAGAGTGAGACAAGTATATTTTTTCTCACTCTAACTTATTGCACCAGTTCAGCAGTGCAGCCGAAAAGAACAGACCAAATGTATGTAATTGGAAAGTATCCCTTGTCCAGCACTGGTGAGGAAAATATTTCTAGGGGAACATTGGCTGCATTCAGTAGACTCAACAGTTGAGACATCTGTTTCCGATGGATCGAACTCCGCTATGAATTTTCTACTGGATTCGTTTGTGATATAGCTACTAATAAAGATGGCTACTTCTAATGTATTACTTTAAAATAAAAGCGGATAAGGTTAAGTTAAGAGTAGTTTGACAGTAAAATTAAATTTTAAATACTTACGAATAATTTATAAAACAACATTGCATTATAAAGTTATGTTATGTTATTACAGGAAATCTATACGTTCATACAAGACCTAAGCAGAATAGCTATCTTGTGAACTTACGACAATGTGTAATACAGTTTAATTATTGTTAATTTAATATTTTTACATGTATAAGTATGTATAAGTATTTCTTACACTTATAAATATTTCTTGTAAATGTTAACAAAATAATATATGTGATTAAGGTTTAAGGATCGATTGTATGTAGTATGTCACATTGAACATTCTTCCATGGCTGTTCGAAAACTCCTCTCGATACCAACTCCACTAACCCCACCAAGCCCATCCACCACAGCCACTTTCCGTCGTGGACTTTCAGTGTTTTCGAACGCACCCTTGTTGAGATGTAACAACTGAGCCGAACGTCATTCAGTAGAAAATCTAGTAATGTGCCCAACTGTTGAGTCTATTGAATGCAGCCATTAATTTAGTTGGTTCTTCGTGGAGTAAAATTACATATATTGGCAACAGTGTATTTGAAAATGAAACGAATTCTAAACAGAAACATACGATTGTATGATATGGTATAATAGGTTATAAACAGTTTTGTGCGCCCGCTTGAGATAGATAGTAGTCTAAAATATTATAAAAGTGATAGTGACAAGTGAAATTTAATTGTTTGTTTTATTTACAGTACGTAATCTAGTGTACGTTAAAATGGTGAAGAAATTCGTGATACCTTTAATGAAAGATGAGCTTTTAACATCTCATGCCGATCAATACTTCGTCGAGGAGATTATTCCTCTACGAATGATATCACAATTTCTTGATGGTAATACAGTACAAATTTTATTTACAATTGAAAACATTAAATTATTAGATATAACGTTGATGATAAAATTACCATCGTCACATTTGTGTTACAGGTACACGATCAGCATTGCAAGAGAATGGCGCGCATTTTATTTTGGACCACTTTGACACATTCTTTTCTGTTGTTGTTCATGGCAATAAAGTAGAACTTGAAGTTTGTGTGCGTTCTTTCAACAGAATTTCTAAGGGTAATGTTCTACATTAGAAGTCTTGTATATTACATGTTACAAAGGAAAACTTGGATATTGCAATATATATATAACTAATTAATTAGAATTAGAATTACTTAACATAGGTTTATGTGACTTTTAGCTGTGGAAATACTTGTGGTTGATTTGGAGAAAATATTTGATCATGGAGATGATATTACTGAAGAAGACAGAGAAACATATTTATGCATCAATAAAATGCTGGCATATTTATTTTCGTGGTTTGTTTGTCATATAAATAACCACATCACAAGGAATTCTAGTGAAAATAATACTGGAAAGGTACTGTGCAGTTTTTTGCTGTTATTACATATTGTTATTACATATTGTTTTGCTGTTATTACATAATGTGAAGAGATTGACTTTATTCTTATAGAATAAAAAAACTGATAAGACAACCGTTGAAAAAGATTGGGAGGAAACTACGCCGAAAACTCTGGAGCTTTTATACCGATGGTTGCAACTACCATTATATAAAATCTGGCGACCACCAATTGTTGAAAGTTCATTTGTTACGTGAGTTGTAGCGATGACTGACATGACTAAATTGAAGCATTGTTTTATAATTATAATGTTGCAGGACTTTGGCACAGATATGTTACAAAATATTGGAACAGAATAAAGATGTAAAGCAAAAGTACATAAGAGAAACTGTATTTGAGGTATTGCTGTTTTTATATTTATGCATCATAAATTTTCTTAATTTTATTGATATTTTAACATTATGTTTCTATCCACAGATTTTGGGAACTTTGATAAAGAAATACAATCACGGGATAACATGCGTTGTAAGGATCATCCAGGTATACATACCCAATTAAATTACTTACAAATTCTCAATTATTTCATTTGTAGACTATATAGTTGGTTGTAGAACGGTTCAAGTACAATAAAATTGTGATCTCACCAAATTGTCAATGAGAGTTATCACCGATGAAATATCGCCGATTATGCAAAGTAATAATATAATTATTAATTATATAGTAAATATTATATTTGGTTATATAGTAATAAATAATAATAATTTATAATGTAATTATTGCAAAAGCTCGTCGGTAATAACATCCAGTTTTAACAGTTTTTGGTGAACTACTAATTTCATTGTGTTTGAACCGTTTTTCAGCTAAGTATACATATTAACATGTGTTTACGATTGTGCAGTTGGTGAAGTTATGTGACTCGCTGTCGATTCCTATAGCAGCCGGTGTAGTTCACATGGCCACGTCCTGCAGCTGCAACGGTCTGATCAAGGAAGTGATGAATGAAATCGGACAGAATGATGTGGGCGAGGCGGACAGCCGCAACATATCTACATTCCTCGAGAACATCGCGATCTTGGAACCCAATCTCATAATTCCCATCCTTGATGAAATCACGGACTATCTGTCGAATGACGTGCGTCTACCCTTTTGCTTTTTTTCTTTTTTCTTTCTTCTCTTTGTCGATAATTTTTCTCAACGGCCTCTTTAAACTACCGGTTGAAAAAGATCTGGTTGAAAACATTTGTAGTTCTACACAATGAGGAACTGCGTGATCGCAGTTTTGGGCGCTGTTGTGCAAAAAGCACTGACCAGCGAGGATCTCACGGAGGAGCAGAAAGAGCTGCGCGACGACTGTCTGAACAACTTGGAAGAGCACATTCTGGACTGTAATTCTTATGTGAGATCGAAAGTGTTGCAGACTTGGCAACGTTTGTGCTGTGAAGGCGCTGTGCCGTTGGCGAGGTACGGAAGTCTTCTGGCCGCAACCGCGTTACGACTAGAGGATAAGAGTGCAAACGTTCGCCGACAAGCTCTGCAATTGTTGCGCACCTTATTGCAGAGCAATCCCTTCGCCGGCAAGGTGCTAGAATTGATCTTCTCGTTACTTTTCATTATTATTTTATATAAATTTTGACTTTACATATATTTCTGTTTTATCACAGTTAAATTGTATTGAACTGTCCGCTTCATTGGAGAAAGAGCGAGCAAAGTTGCAGGAACTAAAAGCTCAAGTCGCGAGTGCTAGTGAACGCGGCCATGCGCAAAGATTTGAACTCTGGACTGCATTATTACCGGATATAAAAACTGCAATAGAAAAAGTTTCAAAAGATGATAAAATGGAACACGAAAATGGTTTGTGTTCTGTTGCATTGTTATTTATCAAAGCGTTATTTACTCGTATAACTTATTGCTCTGTTCGGAAAATGTCCTGAAATCCTCGAGAACGTATTAATTTTGTTTTTTCAGACAATGCAGACGTCGAGCAAAATGAGAATGTCGACCCCGATCACGTATTTGAACACGTGCGACAACTACTGTTAAATCAAAAAGTCACCGAGGCGGTTAAATATTTGTGGAAAATCTGTACAAAATTGAAAGAAGCACCGGATATGGAAAATCTTTCAGCCGAGGCGAAGGAAGAATGCCTGTTTGCTTTTTTGCTGAAGATCTTCATAGAATCGGAGGATCAAGCGGCGGATAACATCGAGAACGCGAACGATGCGAAGAAGTCGAAGAAGGATGAGAAGATCAACCAGGAGATAACCAAGCGGAAATGCATTGTAAACTATGTGAAGGTACGCAACGTACGCAACGTACAAACAGACATTAACGACATTTTAGAACCATTCATTGTTACGCATTTTACCTCCTGTAGAATTGTCTCGTGTTCGCCACCGAATTGGAGAAGGCGATACCAATGGCGGAGAAGTTACTGTTCTCCATATGCGCGGGCGATGCCATCGAATCATGCACATTTCTGGGCACAGCCTTCCAGTTCGGAGTAGCCGGAGCGGCTAGCTGCATACGCAACGCTCTGTTTCAAGTGTTCCATCGCGATCAGTCGGTGCGCAAGAATATCGCGGTAGTATACAAAGAGATTTACCTGGACGTGAATGACAAGCTATCGAACCGTCAGAAAGCCGTTACCCTCTCAAATCGTCTTATCGACTTGTTGAAGGAGCTACAGCCCGGACAGAGCCCGGCTCTCGTTCAGCTAGTTGCGACGTGGTACGAGAATGATGAATTGAACAGCGAATTGTTGCAGGTAATTCAATTAACGATTTTGCAGTTTTAGAAAGTAACGCGTTACTCGTAACGTCGTTACCGTCATAAGTTATTTTTTTTACGATATTTTTTTCGTTAACAACGGTAACGGATATAATCGTCACCGTTAATCGTTACTTTCCTGATTACATTACACTTATAGAGTACATTTGTATGGAAAAAAAGCTTATGAAAAAAAAAAAATTGAATTTATAATCTCTCGAGTAATGATAACGGTTATTCTTTTAAATTAAGTAAAGGTAACTCTAATAAGTTATTTTTTTAATAGGTAATGAGTAACGCTAACAAATTTTTTTTAGAAAATGACATTTTCAGCTTTGCACACACTTATTTGAATCGATAACGTCAGTGAATCACGCATATTTCACGAGATATTCCTTAATTTTAGGTATTATGGGAGAAATTCTCCATGAAATATCCGGATACGTCGCCAATAAACAGCAGAGCCGCGCTAATGATGATAACGATGATAGCTCAAGCTGAAACCAACATAGTTATCGACAATTTGGACGTGTTGGTGAAAGTAGGACTAGGCGCGCGCGCGAAAGAGGATCTCCTTTTGGCGCGGGATACTTGTAGAATGTTGTTGAAAATAAAGCAAGCCAGTAAAGACATCGAAAAGGCACCGTTGAGGTAAGCGTTCATTGCGAGTTGCTTCTCGAAAACGGCGATAAGAATGTTTTCTTTTTGTCTTAGATACTCCAACGACCACGACATGTTCCGAGAAATTCTGACATTATTAACGGACAATTTTGCCAGTACAAATGAGAATGTTTATATTTCTTTCGCGACGGATGCAATAAACACTGTATATCACGTGAGTGAGACCGATTGACTTTTAATGGACAAACGCTAAAAACGAGTTTTTTTTTATATTTAACGCTAAGAGCAAGTTTTGTAATTGCAGTTAGCGAATCAGCCAAATAAGCTGATAAAGAAATTATTACTGGACATTAGCGAGAAAGGTCAGATCACTAGTAAAGAAACTGCTCAAAGTACCGAGGCGTTTTACATCGTGCTCTCGCAACTGCTGTACATAGTCGGACACATTGCCATCAGAGAGATGGTGCACTTGGACACGTTTGTCTATAAAGAACTGAAGCGTAGAAACGCAGTGCGAGAGATGCAAGGCAAGGGCAAGAAGCAAGCGACAAAGTGCATGTCCCCGTCGTTCAACAGAAATAGATCCATGCGACATGCCTCCAAGAGCCGAAACGTAAGTCAGATAAGTATCGCACAAGAGGATAACGGCGAAGAGGCTCTGGAAGGAGCGATGGACGACGCCGAGGCGGAATTCGTGCACAACGCGCTCGAGAACGAGATTCTCACCGGAGATGGCTTGCTTGCGAGATTCGTGTACGTATGTTCATACTACAAGATTGAAAAAGTAATGTTTCTTAAATAACTTGTTACCGTTATTGTTATTCCAGGAATAACAATATTACAATTTCTGTTGCTTTTATCATTAAATTTTGTTAACCTGCTTTTATTTTTGCGGTTTGCTATTCTCCATTTTATATATATATATATATATATATATATATATATATATATATATATATATATATATATATACACACATTTTATGTGTGCAAAGTAAAAATAAGAAATAATTGTTAGTGTTATCGTTACTAATGAAGAAATATTCTTTCTTACCAAGTTGTTATTGAAAAAAGGAACTTGTAATGACATTGTTGTAGTGGTAAGTGACGTGTTATTTCCAAATTCTAGTCCTGCAGTTACCCAAAGTGAGATTCTTTTCTAATCGGGTCAAATAAATTGATTTAACACACATGTAATTTGTTCGTTGCAGTCCACTGGTGTTGGATGTGTGCAAGTTTCCCGAGAAATACAACAATGAGAATCTACAGGCCGTGGGCTCGCTCGCGCTCAGTAAGATGATGACTGTAAGTTCCGAATTTTGCGAGCAGACCTTACAACTATTGGTAACCATATTGGAACGGTCACCATATTCTGGCATACGATCTAACATGCTGATCGGATTAAGTGATCTCGCCACCAGATTCCCCAATCAAGTGGAGCCATGGTCGAAGCATATCTATGGCAGGTGGGTTGCCTCTTCGTCGATATTAAAAATCAATATTAAACTTTAAAAGTATCACAATTAATGAATGATATAATTCGCAAGAAAAGTCGAAGATCATGATTATTATTAAGTTCTAATTTTGTTATTTGTTGTTTATTATCTCACGTTAGAGAGGAAACATCAGTTCTTTTCTTCTTCTTTATTTTTCTCGTAAAGAGCAAAATTGACGGTATTATAGCATATTTATCACATTATAATTACTGTTAACATTCGTGTTCAATTCTTGTAGACTCCGAGACACGGATGTGAGCGTACGTAAAACTTGCGTCCGTATGCTATCCAATCTCATAATGAGAGAGATGATACGCGTCAAGGGCCAAGTTTCGGAATTGGCTCTGTGCATTATGGATGAAGACGAGCAGATACGACAGGACACGAAGGAATTCTTCAATCAACTCGCTCAGAAGGGCAACGCTCTTTATAACGTGGTACCTGATATACTGTCGCGTTTGGCGGATCCTGAATTGAATCTCGAAGAGAAACGGTTCCAAGAAACCATCAAGTAAATATTATATGTATATATAATGCATTCAAAATTTTTCAGAACTAAATATTTTCGGACGCACTAATCTATCATCTATATTGCAATAGTAGAACTAGTTAGTATAAAGCTTTGTAAATCTCTCTTTCTCTCTCTCTCACATTTCTTGTGTCGCTATTGAGTCAGCAGTTCATGTGCAGTGCGCGTTTCAAACTTATAAGATTTATTGGTTTGTCACGATTTTCGAACAAAGAGCCGCGATAAAGTTCTGTTTTGAATATAGGAAAAGCCGGTTGGAAACGATCGCAATGATACAAAGTACATATGCAGAGCGAAGAATATTCCAGGACCTTCCAGAGGTTGTACAAGCACTGCTCTATACAAATGGATATAGAGGGAGGAGCATATGTTGAAAATTAAAAAATAAAATTTTGTTTATCTGCAAAATTCGATTTTTCAGCATCAAGTCTCAAAACTTTTTGAGTACACGTGTATACATCTCTGGGATCGACATCGAGTACTTCATAAATTCCTGTTTTTTTATAGATATATTCTCAGTCTCCTACAAAAAGAAAAGCACGTCGATACTATAATCGAGAAGATTTGTGCTAGATTCAAATTGGCCGTCACGGAGAGACAATGGCGTGATCTTTCTTATTGCCTTTCGCTTCTGCAATTCAGCGGAAAGAGTAAGTTATCGAACAACAGACATTTAATTCAGGTGATTTGTTGGAAATAGATAATTCTTTTTTGTCGCTTCTCTGAAGGTATACGTCGCCTCATCGAGAACCTACCGCTGTTGAAAGACAAGATTCACTATAAGCCGGTGTTAACGGCGTTGCATAGTATTGTCGAGCAAGTAAAGAAGCGAGCAGATACAAAGGCCATCGGTACAGAACTGGAGGAAAAAATTCAAGAACTCCTTGAATCCGACACGAACTCAGAGGTAACGGACAACCAGCTTATGCCGCCTCCGTCTACCGTGTCGAGGATCAAGAAGAACGTACGGCGAAGCAGACTTAAGCACACGAGCGACGATGAGGATAGCTCCGATAGCGAAGAGGATGCGGATGATGCGATCGCCGTCAAATGTAAGTGTAAGAAGCTTTAATATAATTATATTTATTGAGATGTGACATCGATATGCCAAACAAAATCTGAATTATCGACAGATTTGACTTTCATATTTGTTTCTTAGCGAAAAATAATAAAGAAGTGTCAGCGATTAGCAGAAAGATGTCCCGTAAAAAGTCAATAAAAAATGGCGACGATGACGACAATGAGAAAGAAGACGATGGTAACAACGATAACAGTTATCCACTTACTTCGACGCCTACAATACAGGGTATTTATTACCTATTATTCACGGTTGGACAAAACAACGAGCGATGTAAATGTATTTTTCAACTTTTCTCTTTCTAGGCAAACGATTGCATTCACGAAAAGCAAGTACAAGCACAACGCTCAATAATGGAAACAGTATTTCACCGTGCCTGAAACGTAGCAAAACTGATAAAACACCACGGAAGATCCCGATCAGAATCTCAGCTCGACTGTCTCGAGATCGCAAATAACATTTTCAGTTCTTTTTGGAACGTAAGATAGATAATTTTAACATAATTTTAATTCAAATCCCCTTAAGAATATTATTATTCGCAATTATACATTTGATAATATTGCATTGTCGTATTATAAGCCGATGTATTAAAATCATTGATACAAGTATGTTTGAGAATGTTTCGTCACTATGGTAGAGTATATGTTGCATTTATTGATTTGTCAACGACAAACAACATCACAGTTTATAAACTCGCATCTCTTGTGGAATAGAGACGCAAAAACGGAAAACTAGATACGATGGGGAGCGTGTGCATCAAGGTATGTTCATTTCGCATACGTGTGTGGTAGAACATGTTTTTAACCACGTAACGCGACAGGTCTTCTATGGTACAGCGAGGGGGAAGGACATTATTTACGGTAAGATATAAAATTGGTGAAGTTGCTGTAAAACGATCGACCATGACTGCAGTTTCTTCAGGTTCCTCAACAGCACGGTTAGACTCTGTATGAGATAGAGAGAAATGTGCGTGGGGAGATTCGTTACGCCACATCTCGACTGAAGCTGCGTTTAAATGTCATCGAGCGCACTTCCGTTGCGGTTTTCCCGGGCTTTCCACTCGTAGACGCTCCGGGATTCGGCGTGGGGCTTTGTGAGAGAGATGCTCGTTCGTCGTTATTCGATTTCTCGCGTTCCAACCTCTGTTTGCTGAACTTGCCCATGCCAGGTCGGTAGATCTCCATCGCCGGACGGTCCTGTGAACGAATAAGCATAACTTTCAACCTAAATAGTCATTAGATGAGATTTTGTAGCATTATCAAATTAAAAAGCTGTGAGAATGACGTTGATTTTTCGCTCGCTACTTGGAAAATACGACCATACGACGAATGGCTCACCTTATTTCTTATCCTACGCTCCAATCGTGGATCTTTTTTATCCTTCTCTTTCTCTTCGCTTTCGCTCTTCTGCAGATTGCTTTGGCCTCCTCCGTCTAACGATTTGTGACGCCTCAAACAGCTGCCGTCACCAGTGCCACCTTCGCCGCCGCTTTCGAGCGAGCTTCGTCTTTTCACGACTTTTGATTCAATCTTCGATTCTGACCCGTCCTCGTTCGCATCTACATCAATAAATGTCAGTTACAATGTTATATTTTTTTATTTCGTCAGACATTAGCGAGCGGATTTTGCAAAATATCCATACTTTCGTAGTTTTATAGGGTTCTTATTCTTTGCCATGATCAATTTGATTAATATCAGACAGAAGTGAAAAAAATATACGTTCTCAAAATTCTTACAAAATACAAAATATTGTGAATAAAAATTATGATTAGTGTTTATAAAATATAAAAATAAACTAAATATCAAAACGTGACAAAACTTATAGTTTATATATCACGTTAATTTCACGATTTTTTCTTAACTATTTCAGCAAAAAGTTTTTGAGTATTTTACAAATTTGCCTTAAGAATATTGTTATTCGCAATTATACATTTGATAATATTGCATTGTCGTATTATAAGCCGATGTATTAAAATAATTGATACAAGTATGTTTGAAAATGTTTCGTCACTATGGTAGAGTATATGTTGCATTTATTGATTTGTCAACGATAAACAACATCACAGTTCATAAACTCGCGTCTCTTGTGGAATAGAGACGCAAAAACGGAAGACTAAATACGATAGGGAGCGTGTGCATCAAGGTATGTTCATTTCGTGCGATCACACAAGTCATTTTACATAGACTCCTTTTTTTATTTCAACACATTTTGTAAAAATTTAAGCATTTTCTCGTTTTTAACGATCAAGATTATAGTAGCGAAAGATTATAGTAGTCTTAAGGAGAACGGAAAAAAATAAAGATTAAATATATTTACCTGCGTTGTCCACACTGTTTCCTCGTTCCGCGCCATTCCGACGACTTTCCGATGCATCTTCGATAGTTACTCTATCCTCGGCGACGTTGCGTTGCACACGTTCGTTGTCTCTGACATGCTTGAGGTCGTCGTCGTCGTGCGTACCCTCTTGGATGTATTCACTGATATCCTCGATCTCTTGCACACTATCATGTTCCTCTTTCACCTTTTTTGGACTAGCTTCATTCACATTGGCATCAGCCATCTGCTTCTTTGTTTCTGCCAGCTTTTTCTTTTCCTGTCTCATCTTCTCGTAACTCTTACCGCGTTTCTCCTCCACTTTCCTGTCTTCCTTCGTCTCGTACCTCTTGTCATCTCTCATATCAATTCTCTTATCCTCCTTTACGCTCTCTCTCTCGTCGCGTCTCCCGTAGAGCTTCTTCTCGTCGTACCGTCTTTGCTTGATTTCACGATCTTTGTTCCTCTCGTCGACTCGCTCTCTATAGCCCTTGATAATGGGTTTGGTCTCTCGATCTCGCGACGACTTCTCCCGCACTTTATCGTCTCTCTTATTTCTGTTCTTTAGGTCCTTCGGCGAAAGCTTATCCCTTTCGTCCTTATTCTCTTTGTCATCTTTACTGGACTCTCTGTCCAGATCTGGATTCTTCAGAACCTGCAAGATAATGAAAAATTATGTATCTGTTGATCTTCATTATTTTCTTATGCATAAATGCATTATTTTTTAATTACAGATAATTACAAATAATTTTTCACAATTTTTCATACACATCATTATACTTCTTCGTCATGACACCGTCATGTGCAACAAAATAAAGCGTATAATTATCGAAGATTTAAAAAATTGAACCTTTTTGTGAACACATAGTCTTGTCTCAAAAATTTGGTACACAGACAATAAAATAATTACATTAAAATAATTACAAAGTGAAGATTTGCTTGTTAGTCGCATCACACGTGCGCATGTACAAAAGGAATTGCATAAAGCTTTTAGAAAATAGTAGATATACAAAATCGACAGCGAGATAATAAATGTGATAAGCGCTGATCTTTCCCTAGAACCATTGATGCTGGTCGAAGGTCAACTTTCCCGACTTTCCCGAGTGTATCAGGGCATAGCGGCGAATCGATTCGTTAAGTTAAATCCTGATTCCACGTCTCAGTCTCTTTACATACCACCTTGGAGGGAGTAACATACGATTCTTTCGGCTCAAGTATCGTACCACAACTTTTTCACACGTGAAAGTCAGAGGGAGATATTCGCGGCTACTGACGTAAAATGGAAGAAGATTATATTTCATTACTGTGCTCCAATGTTAGACGTGTTTGAACGACGAAGAATCGTGATAATCGAAAAACTTTTTGCCAATGAGGAAGAATTTTATCTTACATGATTGTCTTTGTGCAGGAAAAAATGATTTTTGTCGTTAACCCGTTTATCGCCATATGGATATTCTTTCTTGATATTGTTCATATTTCGAATCAATTTAGGCTTATTAACGCGCTCGTTAGATTTCTGATGAATCTTGTCGAATTTTTCTTGCGCTCGTTTGTGCGCACGTCTATCGTGATACACCTCTCCTCCATATTCGCATATACTTGCATTTTCGACAAACTTTGGAAGCAACAAATCTTCCAATTGGATTTTCGCGGGGCGTAATATGGTGAGCTTGGGTGACTTATCGACTTCTGTGTTGTGCGTTTGCTGTAGGCGAAAATGGTTCGTTATCAGTATATGTTGGTTAACAGTAAAAAGAAAAAAAAAACAAAATGTGACGTAGAAAAGTCTCGGTCGAGTTGAACAAGCGATTACAAGCAAAATGACTACCACATGCATTATTCTAAACTGTACTTGTTCTTCGATCTATCTAAGAAATACTTCACCTTAGAGATAATAGGATCGTCTTTCGTTCTCCGTCTCTCCAGATCCCTCCTCCGCCTTTCTTCTCTCTTTTCATCTCTGAGACGTTGCTTCTCTTGTTTACGTTGCTTTAGATATTCGAGCAGCGGGGTCGTTGTGATCTTCTTTGTTGTATCTGTATGATAAAATTATTATCGTTTACTAATTATGTCAAGGCTCCTGGTCCTAGTGCTGCAAAATCTTGGGTTCGCATCAGAAGCGAGAAAACGTAAAAAACTGTTGTCATTTTCAAAAAGATATTTGTATGAAAGAACACATCAGAGTGCTTGAGCATGCTTGTAAAATGTTCTATTCTTTTCTATTGACAGTTAATAGACAGTCTTAAAATTAATGTGATGTATTTCTCTTTAATCTGCCTTTCTTCATCATTTTTTTATGTTAATTTTAAGATTTTAAGACCAGGAGTCTTTCTCTCTTTTATATAATGCTTTTATTTAATGCTTTAAGACACTTTTTTAAAAGTCTATGTTAAGACATATAATACCTATATTGTATTTTAGATACATAGTGTGAAGAAAATACTCACTATCTGGTGGTTGGTAAGAATACTCGGTTTTGGATTGTGCTATATTTGAATCGATTTCCTGGTTTTTTAAACTTTCTAGAAAACTTATATAATACGAATCGCTCTCAATAGTGCCGCATTTGAGATCCTTTTTCTTGCCGTGTCGTTTCTTTGCTAGTCTTTGGAAAGGTGCAAACTCTACTACTGCAGAATGTTCCACACCTTTGGAGTCTATGAACACATAATTATCGAATTTCTCCCGGAACAAAAAAATATCTTGTTGGTCTGTGAAATTGATATAAGCACGGGAAAATGCAAATTGACCAAGGGACAAGTCAGCCTTCACAAAATACAGGTAATCATGTTCTGGCAGTGGAGAGACCTGTTCTAGAAACTGTTCCTGTGTCATTGTCGGAGGCAGTCGCCTGATTACTACCTAGTAATAGATAAACAATATGGCATTAAATTATATGTCATAAGTATAAACCAAAATTATCAATTTGAATAAATCTTTGTATAAAATCTGATAATTGTACAAAGGTTTGTTTTTTTATCGCTGAACTTGCATACACTTACAGAACTTAAAAAGAAACAGGTATACAGTTGAGACTCAGTAGACAAAAAACAAGAATTAGTGCAAGCTAGTATAGCAAGTAGTATAGCTAACAATAGAAAACAGACCTTAATTTTGGATAAAATTTTGTAAAATATATAAAAAATATATGAGATATGTGTATATTTATGTAAAGTGATTACAAATAAATGATAATGTCTTAGTTTTATTTGTCTTCTAAAATTATGTTTTCAACATTGAGAAGCAATAGTCTTTAATATAGAAAAGTTAGATAATTTAATGCTTAAAGTATTATAAGTTATATATAGACCCAAAATACTCTATTCTATTTTCCTGATATATATTATTAAACATTTCATATCATTAATATAATTAAACATTTATTTTAAACTATCTATTTGTTTTGTAACATGAAAAAAACATAAACAGATAGAAATCTTTTTAATTTTGAGCTTAAATATAAAAGGCGATTAAATTTCGTTTCGATTTATTATTGTTTGCAAAGTTTCAGCTAAATTGATAATATCCGGCCGGCGGTATCATCTTATCAGTACTTGACATAACCTCAGGCAACACTTTTATTAGATGATAACACAGCAGCCGTTAATCGATGTTCAGTGTTATGACGAATAAAGATTGTAATCATTTACAAACCTTTGTCATAGGACGACACTTTTCTTTTTTATTGTCTCTAACTTTCCCGACATCTGACGAATTCGTCTGCGTGTCATTCTGCACAGCACCAACGTCGTTTTGACCAACAATTTCGGATTGTTGAGTTTCCTCAGTCATTCTTACTTGCCTTAAACTCACAACTTCTCAAAATTCAAGGAACACAGATCACTGTGCGACTTGCACGGTCGAAATAAAAAAAGATATCCGTAGTGTACAATTTTGCTGTCTGCTCAAGAAACAGGATCTTTACGTTTACGCGATTATCGCAGCCATTTTGTTCCACCATATGAAAAAAAAAAAAAAAAAAAAAATAATAACCTCAAATATTCACGCAATTTTCGTGGATATCTCGCACACGACGCGATAACGCGTGACTTCGTTATTCAAGAAAACTACAGCGTACATAACAGGTTCATCGACAACAGGTTGAATTGTTCTGAAAGCAACGTTTAAAACTCTGCGATAGACAATCTAGACAATGAACCGAGTTTACCACTTGAGTAAAAAACAGCAGGCCTGTTTTGTTGTCGAACCACAAAATCACACTGGAACTCGTTCTTCACCTTTCCGCGCTAAGTTATATACTGTTTTTTTCGAACTTGATGTTTCATTAGGCCGTGTTTCGATACGCACACACCAGACAGCATCCCGCACAACATTGTTTGGTTTACATCGTACACTTGATACGCGGACTAAATAGTAACTTTCTATTAGATAATTTTAATATCGACGATATATATAAACAACGATATATTAAGCTGATATAATACTTATCAACAAAACATATTGTATTGATTGAATACGTTGCCGTTGATATGTATTGTCGATATTAAGATTATCTAATAGAAAGTTACTATTTAGGCTGCGTTCCGAAATTCACTGCCAGTACTGAAATTCTATAGTATATGTGACATGAACTATAGATTTTCAGTACTGGAAGTGAATTTCAGAACGCAGCCTTAGTACGTGTATCAAGTGCACGATGTAAACCAGACCATTGTCAATTAATCGAATAGACAAAGGTGTGTAAACGTATTGAAGAAAAAATTATTACAAGTGACTAATTTTATTTTCCTTACCAATATGAGCAAAATATAAATACAATTTTTCTATTATTCTTTTAAAATTAATATTCCTTTGCTATATACTTCCAAGATGTATAAAATATACTGCCAGACTGTGTTTCCGGTAACGTCACTTATGACGTAATTACGTCATCAAACTGAACCAATGCAAACAATTGATTAGGGCCGTGGCACACAGAAAAACTTAAGCAGTAAAGCTGGCCACATACTAGAGATGCCCTATTCTTAATCGATTCGATTCTTCCCCTAACACATTTAGGGAAAAAGGGTTATTCGTGCTGTTTGCATGTTTCATACTTTTCGCTTTTAAAAAGAGATGGACGCCTAATCAGACGCTTGGAAGAAACAATCGAGTTGGTTATCTCACTTTTGCTTCTTCCAAACATTTCAATATACTTTTATCTGGTTTTAAATACGAAAAGTGCGAAGAATGCAAACAACACGAATAAGTCTATTTTTGGGGAAAGAATCGAATCGATTCAAAATCGGGCATCTCTACCACACACACTTTTCGTAACAGTAACCGTAAGATGTAACGTAAGAATTGACCAATCATGTTGAGAATCGTCGAATTGTAAGGTCGCCATTTTAGTGAATACTCGATCGTAATTGGTCAATTCTTACGTTACGTCTTAAGCCAGGGAGAGTAAGATCAAAGAAAAAGAAAGAGAAGGAGAAAAAGAAAAAGAAAAAGGATAAAGTGAAAAGGAGTAAAGGAAAGAATAAAGAGAGAGGAGAATTTAATGTGATGTAGATATAGGAAAGTATGGAAGAATGGAAAAGGATGGAAGAATGGATGATGTGTGGAATGTGTGATTTAGTTGTTTTTATGTAAACCAAGTCCCCTTCTTGGCTATCTATTTAATGTACATAGCTGAATGGTAATAAATATATATATATACGTTACGTCTTAAGCCCATTCTACAATTGCGTAAGCGTAGTCGTGAATGTAAAGGGACATCTACATTGAAAGTAAATAGCAAGAAGTAGGAAGTAAGAGTAAGAAATTGACCAACTACAGTCGAATGTGAGAAGAATAATTAACTATGATTGGTCAATTTCTTATTCTTACTTCCTACTTCTTACTGTTTACTTCTAATATAGACGTCCCTTAAGAAGAATCAATGACTGTGATTGATCAATTTGCTTACTGCTTACGTTTTACTGTTTAAGTTTTTTTGTGTGCCACTAGTGAAAAGTTTCACGTGAACTCGTGATCAATGATCACTCGACGAAGCGTAGAAACGTGGAACTTTTCACGTAAACTTGTTAGCCATGAAATGTGCTGGCGGAAAAGTGAAAATCTAGTGACATGATGAATACGGAACATATTATGCTACTGCTGTGATAAGATACAGGAAACATAACAGTCTTAAGGTTATAGGGATGTTTTTAAGATTATATATTCTACAGCCGATGGATACAGCTGATTTGGTCGATATTGAAATCATATAGGAACCATGCTTAGTGATTTGTGCTTTTCACGCATAGAGATAAAGTTTGTTCGAGTTGCTTGTACTTTTCACACTTTTACACCTAATGCCCGTTGCACACTAGTGCACTCCAAACAACACAAATTTTCAAAAATACATTCTGAAAACGTTTTCAGGACGGAGGGACGTCATCAGAATATTTTTAGGACGTTCTTTGAAAGTGTGAATTGTTTGAAAATAGCTAATATCCAATAAGTTTATTCACATTAATTGAATTTTTTACACTTTCACATTTAGTACACATTAAGGTTACGTTCCGTTTCACGCATATGCGCGCATTTTCTATAGTTTATGTTACGTATATTGTAGGCAATGCGCGCATGATGCGTGAAACGGAACGTAACCTAATTCTTTAGAGGTTCTAAAAATGGCGTCATGTTTTCCGTTCGTGTTACGAGTGTAAATACAATTCTGATACACTTTTCACTCTTGTTTGGGATCAAGTATAAAAAGTGTATCAAAATTGCAATTACACTCGTAACACGAACGGAATTCATGATGTCATTTTTAGAACCTCTAAAGAATTAATGTGCCCTAAGTGTGAAAGTATAAAAAGTTCAATTAATGCGAATAAACTTATTGGATATTAGCTATTTTCAGACAACTCACATCTTCAAAGGACGTCCTAAAAATATTCTGATGACATCCCTCCGTCCTAAAAGCGTCTTTAGAACGTATTTTGGAAAATTTGTATTATATGAGGTGCACTAGTGTGCAACGGACATAGATGTAAAAGTGTGAATAGTATAAGCAACTCGAACAAACCTATTATTTGATTGCGTGAACAATGAAAAAGTTCACGTGAAATCGATAGAGCGAAAAGTGAAAAGATTCGCTCGAAGTTACATGATCACTGCCCTGTTGTTTGATAGATAGGTTTCATATGGCACAGAACTGTTACGGAACGGGACAAAAACGGAGAATATTCTAACCTATCAACATCGAAAATTGTAAAATTTCCGTTTTTGTTCCGTTCCGTAACAGTTCTGTGCCATGTGAAACCTATCTATCAAACAACAGAACGGAATAAAAACGGAATTACTCTGATTGGTTGACCCCCACTATATCTCTTTTCCGTAACTGTTCCGTTACGCTATTTCTTTCTCCATCTGAACGTACTCCTAAAGGGACGTCTACATTGGAAGTAAGCGGTAAGAAGTAGGAAGTAAGAATAAGAAATTGATAAATCATAGTTGATTATTCTTCTCACATTTGACTGTGGTTGGTCAATTTCTTACTCTTACTTCCTACTTCTTGCTATTTACTTCCAATGTAGACGTCCCTTTAAGCGTTGTCTACAATATGCGGAATAAGCTTGGAGTAAGAAGTAAGCTGTAAGAATTGGCCAATCGTAGTCGATTATTATAAAAATAATATCTACAAAAATAATCTATAATTGGTTAATTCTTACGACTTACTTCTTACTCCAAGCTTACTTCGCATATTGTAGCCGACGCTTTATGTCAATTGCGGCCCCCCTTAGCCTTAAAATTGGCGAGTGCCCTCGAATGACACGCTCAATTACGTACGACGCTTGTAATTGGGTGATTCTCACATCCCTAGCAGAATTTGCCAATCACATGCCACTGCGTTTAATCGTGTGTGCAATCAAGTAGTCAGATTATTTTCGATATTTCCTAGGCACAATCGATCCATGGAGATCGATTAGTCTCACACTGGTGTCGCGCGACGGTGGCAGCATTTCTCGCCACCGCTGAGAGCGCGCGTCGGTCGCCGAGGCCGCCGAGCGCCGCAGTTTTCGCGCGGGGCGGGTGTTGTCGTTCGTATAACTTTCGCGCGACGAGCAGTGGAGTTAACGCGGGGGAGTTCGTCGTGCACGGAGGACCGCGCGAAAATGCCGCCGAAGAAGCGGGAGAAGGACCTGGACGGGCAGAAGGGACCTCGCATGGACCAGATACAGGCTGACCATGAGCTGTTTCTGCAGGCCTTCGAAAGTGAGTGCCAAGCAACTGTTCGAAATAACACACTCCAGCCTCCGTTAGTATTGTCCGTTGCATTTTTCCATCCTCGTCTGCAGTCATCCGCGTCGGCGACGAGCGACCGACTTCCCTGCCCGACGACGCGACCGCACACCTCGGTGACGTTCGCGGAGAGGTGCGCGACCATTCCTCTTGGCGAACGTCTCCGTGGCTATCGTCTCTCGACGCGGCGACCAGACCTAACCCCACTCGCAGAGAGGCTCACTCGGGCGCCGTGGCGCGCGTCGGTAGACGCTCTCTTCTCCTCCTCCGTTCCCTCTTCCTCCTCCGTCTCGTTTCGCAAACGGACGGACACCTGTCATCGTTGCCTCCGCTGCTACTCGCGGCGGAACAGGGAGAGCGATTGCGAATCAGTCATTGCGCGTATGACTTTAATCGTTGCTAGCGTCCCCCCATTACTCACTGTCGGGTTTACCGAAACTCGCGACGCAAAGGATGAAGCAGAAACTCGAACGAGGAAGTTTCCTCCCGTAAACGATAATTTGAGAATATCCCCGGCTTATCGTCGCTGCAAATCGATGTTTTTAATCGCGATCATTGGCGTGTCATGACGAGGAAAGATGGTATTGGCAGCTTTCATTTTTGTAACATAGTAAGATGGGATCAGAGAGGTTTAGCCTGCTGGAAGTCGTAACAAAGTAAGATGCAGGCATCTCAAATAATTTGAGCCAAACCTATTCATCATTTCCCATTCGAACTCAAGAAGGATCGGGTTAAGTACCGTGTTCATGCTTGTATTTAAAGTGTCTCAATGCTCTTTTTGAATGTGAGAAAGAGATCACTCATGGGGCCATCTAGGAAAATAAACTTGTACTATATTCGTACAACAATACATTATTTTATAAATGTAAATAAATAAAATCTAAATACTAATATCAACAATGGTTTGAAGCAAATATTTTAAAGTATGTAAACATAGGTTTCCATGAAATTGTTATAAATAATTCGTAATTACAGAAGCAATTATAACAGTAATAATTAATAAATGAATTTCTAATAAGAGCTTTTTTTTTAGTTCCTTATTTATTGATTATTTTAAGTTACATTCTACTGAAATTAATTTGTAAGCAGCAAGTCAGAAACTATAATGAATCTATGACTTTAATTAGCACATCTGCGCTTAAACTAGATTATTCTTTTCCTGCAAATTAAAAAATAATAAAATTAAATAATTAAAAAATAATTAAAAAATAATTGTGAGGGTTTAATTAAGAAATCTACAATTTGTTTCAAATATTCTGTGTGGAACACATTACTTGTTCAACGCAATGCACTTGCTCATACATTTGTTACATAGCTGTTATCTCAACTTGGCTGTAACGACTTAATATTTGTTTATAATCTTAATATTTTATTTCTTTGCAGAACCAACACAGATTTACCGCTTCCTTCGTACAAGAAACCAAATTTCAGTGAGTAGACAATAATTCAATTACCATCTTAATTTTGTGTAGAACCTTCAATTGTGCGTTGCCCTCAAAGTGTTAACTAAATTTTATTTATTTTCATTACACATATACATAAACAATTACCAATTGCGCATGGTGTAATAGTTTCTTTTTCCTTTTTTAACGAAGAACACAATCATAACATTGCAAGCATCTGTGTCACCAGGTAAGTTGAAATATTTTTTCTCTTTTTTTTTTAACACATTGGAGTGCTCATCATCTCTGTTATAACTTGCACCTTCATCCGCTTCCCAAACCTTTACGTTATTGTCTGTAAAATCTGTGTAAGATGGTGGGTATAAAAGATACATTATTCATTTGTATCGAATATTTCAATCCGTAAATGAAAGTTTGAATGTTGATTCAATGCTTTTTGTTCTTTCCAGCCAATATTTCTGTACAGAAACTTAACGTATATGCGGCAACGTATGTCCAGAAGTCACAAGGCACGACGTGGATTTAAGGTCGACATGATTTTGGAAAAATTAATATCGAAAAACAATCAAGAACAGAATCTCGGCCTTCCTGGGTACATGACCCTCACATTTTTAGGTTTTTATGACAAAAGAGGTAACTAACTATATCTGTCGTATATTTTTTCCGCATATATATATTGAAGCGTTTCATAGTCATTTGATGATAATATTTCATACAATGCTGCTTTGATGTTTTCTAAGATTGATGTGTAATTTTAGTTGAGATATCACAGGATCCAGTTAAAGTGGAAACATTGTTGTTGAAAATCTGCCACAAGAAGCGGAAAGATGTCAGTTCGCCTATCATGCAAGTGAGTTTAATGTCATTAGAGAACACGGTACGTTGCGAATACGAGAGACTCTCTCGATGAACTTACCACTAATTTGTTCGAATCTTCCATTGATGCGCGGTATTTTTATTGTCAGGTTCCAATCGGCACAAGCGAGGTCCCGATCAATCCTTCCGAGACTCAGCCTCCGACGAAGGCGCCCACGATTTCCATACCCAATGAATCATTTAGCTTAAATAACGGTCATGTAGCGAAGACTTATACGCTTTTGCTCAGGGTTTATTGCATGTCTAACAATGGCTGCCTTATGCATAACTGTGATTTAGAAGGTACGTATAGCCGAGTGTGAACGCGTTGCTCTCCTCCCGTCTCGTTTCGTCTCGCGCCTAAAGATGGTAAAGATGTTACATAGTAAAAAAATGATTCTCTTTCCACAGAACCAGCTCAAAAACGCCGTAAATCGTCTACGGGTTCGATTAAGACTGGCGGCGGTGATGAAGTAAAGCAGTATGGCTCCGAGCTCATAGTGTACGATAAGCACAGCCGATGTCTGTTGACGGACGGCGATTACGAATTAGGTTTGCAGGAAGTACAAACCAACATTAGGTCTAGCCCTAAGAAGCACAGTTCTTGGGAGTCCCTGCCGGATATCAAGAACTGTGAGCCCTTCGAAGTGTTCAGCGCGGGGCCAACGTTAAAGTTTCGACTGAGCTGGACGACGGAGCCGAGCAATGGCCTGGTGGACCGACCGACGCCGATACACCCGATACCGAGTGGCGACAATAAGGAGAATCGATCGGCCAACGGTCAGTTCGCAGTAGTAATTAACGTAAACCCTCGTACGCGCACCGACGTATGCCGTATGTTACGATAAACGTTATCTTTTCATGTTCTTTCAGCTGGTTTTGAGCGCTCTTCCGTAGGTCACAATAATAATAGCACAAACAATAACAATAACGCGACACTGCCAACGCCTAGTCCATTAACGCCCTCGAGAATGAGCGTCTCCAACGAGAAGGTGGACGCCAACGCGGGAACGCAGCAGATAGTTTATCAATTTTTGTACAACAATAACAGCCGGCAGCAGACGGAGGCTTGCGAAGACCTACACTGCCCATGGTGCTCGTTGGACTGCGGCAAACTGTACTCGCTTCTGAAGCATTTGAAGCTCTGCCATTCGCGATTTACATTTACATACGTGGTGAGTGTTCTTCGAAATTCGCATAGCGTTGAGAAAGTTACTTTGTAAAAGTGATTCGTTTAATCATTTTGGAAAAAATAACTAGTTACCGTTAGGAGTTCTTGGCTCCTCGCCACGGAACTTTTGATGACGAACAAAAGAGAAATGTTCGGACTATTAGAAATAATCATTAGAAAATAGTAACTTAACGGCGTTATAAGTAAGTTGTTTATCAATTCTGAATTTGCACAATGACAAATCGTTTTGATTGCACGGAAACGGAAATAAAGTTGACTATTCTGCCAAAAGATTCATGCTAATCACGTGTACTTTTTCCTTCTAGCCAATTCCACAAGGTGCCCGAATAGATGTAGCAATAAACGAGTGCTATGATGGTTCGTATGCAGGTAGTCCTCACGAGTTAATTTCACAACCGTCTAGCATACCTTTTTCAAGGACAGGGCCGACAAGACGCACCAGTGTGACGAACATCTTAGTGTGTCGTCCGAAGAGAATGAAGCCGAGTCTATCAGAGTTCCTGGAGCTCGAGGAGAACGAGTTTGAGAGTCAGAGGCCTTACATCACCGGCCACAACAGGTGTGAAAACGCGGCTCTATGTTGTTAATAAACAATCGCGATGACCTACGCCTTCGTACTAAAGCCAACACTTTTTCTCGTTTCAGACTGTATCATCACACTGTGACCTGCTTACCCATATACCCCAAAGAGATGGATATTGATTCCGAGGGCGAGAACGATCCCAAGTGGTTACAGACGAAGACGATGATGATGATTGACGACTTCACGGATGTGAACGAAGGCGAGAAGGAACTGATGAAGATGTGGAACCTACACGTGATGAAGCACGGATACGTAGGCGACTGCCAAATACCACTAGCTTGCCAAATGTTCTTAGAAAATAAAGGGAAAGAGTTACTCATGAAGAACCTCTACCGCAACTTTGTGTTGCACATGTGCAGCCTGTTCGACTTTGGTCTTATCAGCCCAGTGATCTTGTACCAGACCATACAGAAGCTACAGGAGATAATGAAAGAGGGCGGCGAAGACGGTGATGTGCGTAAAGTACTGCAGAAGTCGCACGAGGCCCAAGTAGAGCGTTGGGCAGTCACGAGCTCGCAGACGTCGACGTATGACGCGTCCAAGACTGGTACTGGCACAGGAGTGAAGGTGAACTTTGGTGGCGACGGCGCGAATTCGAACGCCAGGCGGAAGACCTCGCTACCGTTGGGTTCGCCCAACACGCAGAATATTAAGAACACGATGTCAGTGCATAACAATGTCAGCAAGCACGCTAGCATGATGGCGTCCTCGAGTAAGAACGTCGTGCACAATAACAGTTCGATGCAGAACTCCGTTGTCGGTAAGAACACCAGTGCCGGGTCGGCTTATGAGAACGCGAGCTCCGTGCAGACTATCGCGAGCAAAGTCTCGAACGCCGGGGCCTCGATGGCGGCGAGCAAAACCGCGCCGGTCGCAAGCAACGGTGTCGCGACGGGCCAGAGCGAGAACGGCACACCGCCGAGCAAACAGTCAAGCAACAACGACCTGCCGGCCAGGCGGAAAAGTACAAACTCCATAGTGCAAGTTAGCGTGGAGAGCACGACGCCGCTGCGCCGGAAGTCGATGGCCAGCGAAAGCGCGAGCCCCGAATACCATCGAAGGAAGTTGATGTTGGACACGATGCCACCGAGCAATGGAGTCGCCAGTCAGAAACCGTCCCCGAACGGAGGTAGCTACTAGTAGCGAAAAAGAAACTGATTTTTGCGCGTTCTCTTATCGCAAATCGTACTTCCTTCTTTCTATCTCTTTCTCTCCCTTCTCTCTCTCTCTCTCTCTCTCTCTCTCTCTCTCTTTTTGTACAGTATTTGTTGCAAGTAATATAAAGAGATGCAATCGAAATTTAATTAATAAATCGGATAATTATTGTTCATAGCTGTTAGATGAATATTTTTGATTTTTAATTTAAAGTTCTGTGTTGAACATGGGGAATCGAGAGGATATAAATATAACAGGAAGGCACGTGAGCGTGTTCGTCCTGATTGATGGCCTCTGCATACATTAACTCTGATTACGTGAATGATAATTGAAATCTGTTAAGTACGATAATTTCTCGCTGACATGTGAATTTGTATCATACTGATTCTATTTCTTCTTTCTTCCTTCCTTCCTTCCTTTCTTTTCTTTCTTTCTTCCTTTTTCCTTCCTTTTTTTTCCTTCCTTCCTTTCTTTCTTTCTTTCTTTTTGGGGTCTAGTCAACGACGTTTTATTATCTCACCTGTTTTTTTAAAGCTTTTATCTACACGTAGTATTTCCGAGGAGAGCTCCGGTGTAAAATCTACAACTATTCTATGTGACTCGTGCGACACGTCGCTAGTCCAGAAGAAGTAAATGCTCACAGAGTTACTGGTACACACTCACACACACGTATATATACAATCGCATGTTGATGAGATAGCAAAGCCGAGAACAGGGATCTCAGAGTGCAAGGGGTCGACTTCTGTCTAGTGGCCTCGGCGGCGAGCGTAGTGCGAGGAACATCGTCTCGACTCGATGCGTCCCGCGCTATATGACACGCGAGATCGCGAGATGTTTCTCGTACATTCGTTAGATTGTTATTCTTTTCTACGGCAAAAGGGAAGCGTACACTTTACAGTGGATCTATCGTAGCCGAGAGTTATAGAATTGTTAACTCCTGAGACTGTGTGCTCGTCTTCAGGAGTAAGATGAATGACAAAATAGAAACAAAGAAAAGGAAAAGAGAACAAGAATGCTACCGCGAAGGGAGCTGCACATGCAGTCATTTGTAATAATCGAGATTCGCGTGACACGCGCTCAGCTTGACGAGAAGAGAGAAAATTGTGCGAGGCTGTAAATTATACATTACATTTTCTACATCGTGAGATGGGTCGGTAGAGTAAAAGTGCCTTTTACCAAACTAAACGGTCCGAATTCCGCCGCAGGACAGCGCTCGACGATTCTCGCGGATGCCGAATCTTTATCAATCATTATATTTCTAAATGCTCGCGTAATTGTATTGCGCCGACACGTGTCTCTCTCTCTCTCTCTCTGTTGTCATTCATGAAAGCCGAGATACTTGATGGATTCGTGCGCGCGGTTTCACCGATCGCCGTTCTCTCCAAGACTCAGGACTTTGCGCGGCTTCGGACCACGAGTATATCATACTAAAATGATGAACTGTTATAAAAAAAAAAAGTTTGCGTGTAACATATACAACTTCTACTGCCGCAGTCGTTCGAAGAAGCGCTCACATTCCTCTGTATACACTGTCTTCTTTATATAGTTAGTGTAATGAAATTTTTTAACCCTAGACACATGCCGCTGTGGTTCACTTTGAGCGGCGGCATTTAAGTTCACACACGGAATCATCGTGCTCTTCGAGCGACTTCATTTACTGTCCAATATTATCCGCTAGGTAGGATGTAAATAGGAAAGTAACGATAAATAATAAATATGTGGACGTGAAACAAAAAAAATCCAGAATTACGCGGCTATCATTACTTTCTTTATCGTGATCCGGACAATATATTGACAATTGTTCTTTTGTTGACTTTTAAATTACCCGCTGATCGACTCGTGTTTTGCGTAAGATAACTGCGAGACAACGATTCAAATAGAGATAATCTAAGAGTCGAGCAAGAAAGGATCTCCGAACAAAAAAGAAAAACAAGAAATATCCTTAGGATAAATCTTATATATCCAAGAGGTGATTTATTTAAAATAGACTGCTGTTTTCTTTTCTGTATAAATTACGTCAATTGTGATGTTGTATTTCATTAGATAAGTGCACATATTAGGGAGCTATATTATCGGTTTTTCAATCCAATAATTCTAATGTTGTCTTTTTATTTGTAATATTTTTACGTGTTATATCATGGTGGGAACGATTCGCGTACGCTATTAGGAACGTAAGTTGCTTGCTATGCATACGCAATAGACTTCGTATTGTTTTGTATTTTCATTAAAACCAAATGTTTAACTCTGTCATATTTGAAGTAGCATGGGAAGTCTATACTTATATAATCTACAGACCAGTTGATCCTGTACTTCTCGATGCAATGTAGAAACTCCTCGTACATTGGTGCAGTGGTATCTAAATCGGCAATAGTGAATACGTATCGCTTCTCGAGAGCGACGTAAACGGTTTTTTTCCTCTTCGTGTACAAAAGTTTCGATAACGTGCGGACAAATCCATCCGTGATTTTGTCATCGTAAACTACTATAAGCCGAAATAAGAATAGCAACGTTATTACATATATACACACACACATACACACACACAGACACATTCTTTACCTCTATCTTTTATATACTTGTTACAATACAGAATTATTTGAACGTACCATCAGCAGCCAATATAATATTTGCGTTTTGCAATCTCTCCTCCAATATCTTCGGCCATCCCAAGTTGAGGAAATTTACCTCCTCTATGTGATAACTGGATTTAACATACGTATGATTTTTCAGGAAATTTCGTTTGATTAGACTCAGTATACCGCCGACGTTGATATCTGGCCAGGAGAAATACTCCAATAAGTAAAATCAATATCTTCCATGGAAGTGTATGAACACTTGTATTTGCATTCAAACCTGTGCAGATGACTTCCTTGGCCAAGTAACTCGCTACGATACTGGTCATGCCAACTCCGGATCCTAATTCCAAGATTATTTGATCCTTGAACAAATCCGGGTGCGACAAGATGTAGTCGGCTAATAGAAAAGCGCCCCTCCACACTTGCAAGCCGACCAAATTGAGCTCCGTCGACACGCTGTGTTCTGTAACGACGATTAGCTAATTTACATGTGTATAACAGTATGCAATAATTAATTTTTCATTAATTTTACCTATCAAAAGTATTTCTTCTTTATCTCTGTCCACATCCAAGTCGTCATCGCTGTCGTACTTCAGCGTCCCGGCTGTGGAAGTCGAGTCAATCATGTGAGATGGACATTTGAAGGCGAATTTAGTGATTGCATCTGAAATCGATTTTGCACTGTGCTTTGATGGTCGTATCAATAAAAACTAGATATTACTTGGAATATTAAGCGGAAGCACAACTTACTGCCATTCTCAAGCTTCTCAGAGATATTGTTAGTTTCCGTGTATATCTCTGACGTTACTTTATGCATTATTATCTTTTAGTGGGTGAGAGTACTTTGTTATTAACAAACTCGTTTTCTGCTGCTCAGCTTTTGAAGTTAACGTAATTCATTATCCGAATTGTGTATACTGCGTCGAGCCAGAGATCACTGTATTATTTTTTTCTTTTTTGTTTAAAATAAATAAGTAATATTTAGAAGTAGCTTTACATCATACACAGCGTAAGGTATCATAGTATCATAAGCTCATTATATTCTATTTATAACGTGCAAGGCTAATCCCTTGCAAATAAATATAGTCGCCAACAACCGAGATTCGCTAAATCGCCACGTAACGTCTTGATGAGCCGAAGTTTCGGAGATTGATGCACGAAAATAAATTCGGGAGAGACAGTTTCGTGCCGCGTCGCACGTTGTACTGATAATGAAGCGTATCGCGACCGAGCAGTATTACAGCCTCACGGCAGCATTTATTTCGGGAATTCGTCTCTTAACGACACTTACATAATCCAGAAGTTTATGCCATCGCGTTTTATTGCCTATATTAATACTCTATTGAACATCTTCCTGGCTCATTTAAGTTAAATGTTACGTTGTGACATAACATCTCCTGTAAGAGCTCCATTTGTTGTACAATGATCCTCCAATTACTTGTGGACTCATTATTTTAAAACTTAAGTATTTTGAAGAATAATATAAAGCAATTATATAAAATGATTGCTATATATAAGAACTGTATATAACTCGATACTGATATCTTCTTAAGTTCATGTTTTTGGATATATGATGCTTTTATTAAGTATGCATCTTGTAAATACCATAAATTGAAGTCTACATTCATTCTTTACATTTTTTATGAAGTTTGAACTTTTGAGTTCAGATTAAAAAGTTTTTAGATTGTAAGGATCAAGAACTCAGGAGCTTCTGAATGTCAAGGATACTAAAATGTACCTATCATTGAAATATTCGCTCTTCACAAACAGCTTGATTTTTATACCTGGGATTATATTTTAAAGGAACAATTGTCACGTGTTTCCTCCAGTCTCAACATATATCTTTTTTTTGTGGCATTCCTGTCAGCTGTATTTATCACATAGCCACTGCTTCAACCACACAGCTAAAACAAATCATGTCAATGTAAATCACAGTGACAGTTTTCATTTTATAAAGGATTTGACTGAATTAAACTTTTTGGTTTCTACAATACTCACGTGATTCATTGATTTTAGTACATGTTTTCATTAATTTCTCCCTTGATCTTAGTCGCATGATCGAACTGTCGATTTCTCCTCACTGTGGGACGCCATATTGACGCCAACGCGTTTGATTTGGTAACAACAGCCAATAAAAGAAGATTTTTTCCGTCGTTAAGTAAACTATCGCAATTAGACTTATCTACTGAGATAAGAGTCATGGCGTTATCGGCGCAACTACTGACAGAGTAAAGACCGTCAAGCCTAAATAGATTTTCGTACTGGCAAATGGGCTTCTCGAGATTCAGAGATAGCTGAAAAAGGATGACGACATTATCGATTATTTCAGATCGAAATATTTTCTTACTTTTTGCGGTTTTGAAGTATTGACATTAATGATTACGTAATGTCATGTGCGCATCACGATCAAAGCAGCGCAAACTCAAAGAGACTTGCGGAGTAAGAAAAATAGTAGATTATTAACAATAACGAAGAGTATGTCGATGATAGTTCTTTTTATTTGTTTAATTTAACTTAAACTTGTTAAATTAAATTTTTAAATAAAGATTAAATTTTGTCAAAAAAAAAGCTAAGAATGACTACTACTACTTTCTACTACTACTATAATATTTTATCGTTATGTACATACATGGACCTACAATAGAGTATGTTCAATATTTTTATAAAACTTTTTTTATAAAACGCTTCTGGAATTATTATTTACACTAATTTTTATCGACAAATTTACCGACAGCAGGTCATTTGATAACGAAATTTTCATTCGACCCGCGGTTTTATCGTCCGTATTTCCGCGACGAAGGGTAAGCTCCGTGTGGACGACCCACCAGCGGACGATGATGATACCACGGATACATGGGCAAACCGGCCAGCCAATCAGCGACCCCCACGATGAGGGGACGATGCCACGCGTAAACGGCGATCCGGTGAGCCTATAGGTCGCGGCGCAGCATCGCGTCCGTTCACTCTTCGCGCGTTCCTCGTGGACGGTGTCCTCTTCCCCGTCTTCCTGTCTTCTTCGTTGCCGTTGCCGTCATCGTCACCGTCGTTCTCCTCAGCGAGGCGTATACACCGTAACTCGAGGAAAAGCGAGAGGAGGAAAGAGCGCGCAGACCCCGAAAGGAAGTAAGAGAGAGAGAGAGAGAAAGAGATACAGACCGTCATGAGATTCATCGGTGGATTCGGTTTGACGGCACTATGCCTTATCGCGGTGAGCCTCGCCAAGGTGGAGCTGGACGAGGGTATCTTGGTGATCAACAAGGACAACTTCGACAGCGTCATCAACGACAATGAATACGTGCTGATTGAATTCTGTGAGTATCCGTGGGCAATCTGTTGCTCTCCTCCTCGGTGCTGCACTTTCTGTACTCCGGGCGAGACGCGTCGCCGGACGTGTTGAGAGACGTCGAGGAAGAAGTGCGGGAGAGCGTAGAGAGAGAGGAGGAGAAAGAAAAGGCGAAAAAAAAAGAAACGAGGAGAACGAATTCGCCGGATGCGTCCTCCACGTGCACGCGATCCTCCGATCATCGCCGCATGCGTTCGCTGTCCATCCAGATGTGTACGTTCATACACGTCATCATTCGAGCATCCTCGAGGTTGGGATGTACGTTTATTCGCTCCGTCGCGTTTTCTTACCGCGTATTGAATGAAATACGTGTATATTTAGAATGGAGTAGCGACACGTCACGATATCTCGACTATCATGATGGTTCTCGAGCAGGTCACCTCTCCTCGTCAAACTTGTCGCTCTCTGCGCTTTCCTCGACCTACCGACACACGAAATGAGTTTACAGGCCTGCCTTTTTTAGCTAAACTAATGTCGTGCTGGAACTTTGGCCCCTTCTCCTTCAACGCTAGGTTATATGTTTCACTCTTCTCGTAAAAACTGCCACTCGATTCAGCTAAGAAAGAATAGACTAAATGCATGTTACGAGTGTTCGATCGTGGAAGGTGTCGACAAGACGAAGTTTCGTCTTGCTTATGCGATCGTTCTGCGAGATATCTGTTCGCAATGTTAGAGATATCTGATCTCTCAGATGTTCTTCGAACGCGCCTTTGGAAGCTCTAAACCTTTAGATTATCTTCGCGGAAGCGATAAGCCCACTCCCCCAAGGCACCTACGTTGCACTTCCTTTCCTTGTTACGCACGACCCACGCGTCGCGTTTATCTCGCTCTAGCGCGGAGAGTGTAAGAGAGTGCAGTCGTAAAGAAGACGAAGGAGATTCTCTTGTCTTCGTATTGCTTTTTTTACCGTTACAAATCGCCGCCATACAAATCGCTCGGCGATTGTGACCGGAACATCGCGAGCCGTGACGTTATGATGATTGCCGCTAATAATTGCCGGTACAATCGGTGCAACATCTGTGAGTCTGATCTAAATCAGCACAGCATACGCAGACTGGACGATATTTATCATATTTTTATCAAGGTTCGCACTTAATGTATTGATTTTTAAATTGGGGTCGATAAAACCACGACTTTTTTGAATTCCACAGATAACCATATGGTTCAACTCGACAGTAACGAATTGATCATTGTAGAATCTCAATTTACAGACCTGCAATTGTCTTACAACGTTTCTCTTCTTTCCACTTTCATCTCATGAATTTTCAGATTTTTTTTGTATAAAAAAGAGGCTTTAAATCATGTCTAAATTTCAACATATTGTTTTGATTGTAGATGCTCCATGGTGTGGACACTGCAAAGCATTGGCACCTGAATATGTTAAAGCAGCGAAGAAACTGGAAGAAAGTGATTCTTCGATTAAGTTAGCCAAAGTAGATGCGACGATTGAGACTCAGCTCGCTGAAAAGCACGGAGTCAAGGGATATCCCACTCTGAAGTTTTATCGTAAAGGCTCGCCAATCGATTATACCGGTGGTCGACAAGCGGACGATATTGTAAATTGGTTGAACAAGAAGACTGGTCCACCTGCCAAAGATTTACCAACCATTGACGAAGCTAAAGCATTTATTGAGGCACACAATGTCGCTATTGTTGGATTCTTTAAGGTAATTTTTAAGTCTGTATTATAACTCAATGTTTTAGTTGCATATCAGAATATCTTGTTGTAGTAACTAGAAAGTTTCTGTTTATGTTATTACCAAAATTTGCTTAACTAAGCATCACATTAATTCAACCAGGGTCTTTTTCTGTGTACGGAAGAAAGGTTTGGTATGGAAGTTTGGTTGAATTAAATTTTTGGTATGAACAAACCAGAAATTCTGTGGTTGAAGTTATTAGAATACTGTTCAAATTCAACAAGATTTTTGGTCATAACTTGCTTCTTTTTACTTTACTCACTAACAAATATAAATATTTGCACATTCTCAAAGATTAAAGAAGAATAACGGAGATATTAATTTGTTACAAATGATTATTTATCTGCTTATCTGTTTATATACATATATAGTAAATTTATTAGGACGTCAAAAGTGATGCGGCCAAGGTATTGTTGGATGTTGGTAACGCTATGGATGATCATGTCTTCGGTATTACAAGCAGTGATGAAGTATTTAAGGAATATGGTGTTGAGGATGGCAAGATTTTGTTGTTCAAGAAGGTAATGTTTACGTTTGCTGTTGCAAATAATTTTCTTGATAAAAAATCGATAAAAAAGGTATGATCAGTCACATTTACTTCTATTACTTTCAGTTTGACGAAGGCAAAGCTATCTATGACGGTGAGCTCACCATCAAAAATGTACAGAGCTTCATCACCGTGAATTCGTTGCCTCTGATTGTTGAATTCAATCAAGACACGGCGCAGAAGATCTTCAACGGAGACATCAAGAGCCACCTGTTGATTTTCCTTAGCAAAGAAGAAGGTCACTTCGAGAAATATGTTGAGGGAATTAAGGAGCCGGCGAAGAAATATCGCGGTGAGGTATGGAACGCCTAAACACCACTTATATGTATCACTGTGTTGTTCATGACAATCGGCGATATAATACTTTCAAATACTTTTGTTTAGGTTCTCTTTGTGACGATCGATTGCGACGAGACCGACCACGAGCGTATTTTGGAGTTCTTCGGTCTGAAAAAGGAGGATGTGCCCGCTATGCGACTTATCAAGCTCGAACAAGACATGGCCAAGTACAAGCCGGAGAACCCGGATCTGACCGCCGAGAACGTCTTTAATTTCGTCGCAGACTTCGTCGCGGGTAAACTGAAGCGGCATCTGCTCACGCAGGACTTGCCCGAGGATTGGGACAAGAACCCAGTGAAAGTTCTCGTCGGCACGAACTTCCATGAGATCGCCTACGATAAGGAAAAGGACGTCCTGGTCGAATTTTATGCGCCCTGGTGTGGTCACTGTCAGCAACTTGCGCCCATCTATGAGAAAGTACGTTATTGTCTTCATCTAGTTTAATGAATGCCGTCAATCGATAATTCCGCTAATCAAACGCATTGATTTCACAGCTGGGTGAGAAATACAAAGACAACGACAAATTAGTTATCGCGAAGATGGACGCTACTGTTAACGAATTGGAGGACGTGAAGATTATCAGTTTCCCTACGATCACGCTCTACAAAAAAGAAACAAATGAGGTACAGTTTGACTTAAGCCTTTTTTTTGTTAGCTGAACTAGCGGCGCACTTTTTCGTTCAACACTAAGTTATGTATTTGTTTTGCTCTAATTATAAAAAATATAATCCAACTCAGCTAAAAAAAAGAAAAAACTGATCTATCATATTAAGTGGATAATATGTTTAAAATGTGTTCATTTTAATTACTCGCGCTCTAGGCTGTGGAATACAACGGTGAAAGGACACTCGAGGGTCTCTCGAAATTCGTCGAATCCGGCGGAGAATATGAATCAGCTCCAACAAGCGAGGTATGTCAGACGAGAAACTGCAATGAAATTGTATCTCCATTGTGTGACACAAATTCCTTGCTTTTTCCAGACTCTGATAAAGAGGTCGTGGGTGCATACTCTTAAAATATTGTTCCGTTACAGGCTCAGGAAGAAGATGAAGACGATGATGTGCCAAGGAAAGACGAGTTGTAAACGCACATAATCATTAAGGAGTGAAATCAACATTAACTCGTCTCTTATATTTTCTGCATCCAGTCTACGAGCTCCATAATTTTTCCCGCTTACAGAGATATACGTATTTCTATGAAAATAATTCGGTGGTGCATTCTCACACTTAATTTAGAAACTAAGTTTATGAATCGATTCGCAGTGTGTACAATGTAAAATTAAGAGCACATTTGCAGCAGGGTTTTGCACAGGGTTATCGTCACGGTCGTCAGCCCAAATGGCGTACTTTTGTGATACAAAGGCTGCATTCCGTTATTTACTGCAAGTACTGTCAGTACTACCAACAGCGTTCCTAAATAGGTTACAGTGCACTGCGAAAGCACTTCGACAAGTTTGTGACGTCATGAATTTTGATGTCACTTCCTGCTACGGCTACTGCAGCTGGAGAGGTAAAGCAGTGGCAGTAAGATGGTGCGTTCCCATTTGTCACCTTGCAGCACCTCGACAGTGCTCGAAGTTAAAACGGAACGCTACTAGCAGTATACTTTCATGACGTCATAATGTCAGTACTCGCAGTAAATAAAGGAACGCACCCATAGTCGTCTCGTCGATAGCTGTGTAAGCCGCAGGATCATGAAAGTCCACGATGCATCGAAACAGTTTAACGCGCACGATAACGACACACGGATATCAGAAATACGGGTGTACGTTTCTTCACAATTATGCCATTTGCGTTGCGTGTCGTCCTCGCCGGCAACGTGACTTTTTGCCCTCTGAAAACTGCGTCATTTGTATATTTTTATCCACTTATTTTAAAATTCTCCATCTTTTCACGTCAAGGAAAGGGAGAATGATGCGTGGAAAAAATCATGATACTCGAAGATATTGAAAAATCACGAGTCACTTCTTATTTTTATATAAAAAAAAGGTTTATTTTTGTCTATACACCATATCTGTAAGGACCGTCGGCCGTTACGGTCGCGTGTCGGAGTCTCCAGGCACTCTGCGAGGGCTAGTGGTTTACAAATACATTTCCAATCACAGCATTTAAAACGATCGTGTGAATTTGATCGTTTTAGATACATTTAGGATAGGCAGCCGTTTCAATGTTCTCCTAGTTTTAATTGACTGAAACCCTAGAGAATTATTGATGATACACTTGTGAAGAAAAGAAAGGAAAAAAGTAAATGATATATATCCTTAAACCTTTATTATATATTATTCTTAATATATAAAGATATTATTCTATTTTCTGGTTTATATCTTTTATTACACACTCGCGCGCGCGAATGTGTGTGTGTGTGTGTTTTATTGACGATGCGTCCCGACAATGTGACTTTCAACGTGAGTTATTAAAAAATTCGCTCGCGCATAATGTAATGACAGAGCAAGTGAAGTAAACAAATGTGAAGAGGTAATAACTCGTACACACATTATTAGTCTTGCGTAAACTGACATTTGCGGCAATTTATTTGCCGACTGTTATGTATCGCATGTACGAAGGTTAACACTTTGAGTGGCACACGCAAATATTTTGTCTCTCTATTGGTATTGCTCTGTGATAATGGTCTGTATTTCTTTTTATTAGGATTGCGAAGGTATGGACGTTACGCATTGTACCTTAAATTTGTTGGGCTTGCATAAGCTGTTGTACGACACTCTATTGATCACGGAGCAGGTGAAAGAAGTGCTGAAAAGAAACTGCGAGGAGGCCGCGTTCGCTTTGAAGCCGTGGCCGGTGAAAATTATTGAAAAGCGGAAAGATGGATGTACTTGTAATCATAAGAAAGTATGATATAATTTATATATGTATATACTTTTTAATATTCTTAAATTTATAATTTAACTTGTCCACGTATACATTCGTGTAAATTGCTATGAACATATCTCGTTCGTTATACCGTTGATCAGGTTACCGTTGAGAGTGAAGTCAAGGAACTCGCCGCGGGGATTGACAGAGCGATAACCTTGGCGCAAGATTTACGGAAGAAGGTGAAGTTCAACGTGGCGCCTCAGAAGAGACCCTTGTGGAAAAGCCCGATTGAGAAAACTTCCTCGTCGGCTCCTGCGTCGAGCAGTCGCGGTCATAAAAACGCACCGCGGACGAACGAAACGCAAAAAATAAACGCTGCGAAAAGCGCTGGCGGCAAACGTTCATCAACCACGTTCGAGAGCGGCGGGGCAACTTCCGTCGCGTCGAGAAAGACACCCGCTAAACGAGAATTGAGAACGTCGCCTGCAAGCAGCGCCGCGAAGTCGAAGAGCGAAAGGAATTTTATACTGGAGAACAAATTGAACGTTAAAAAGATTGTTCCGTTGAAGCCACAAGCTGACGTTCGTGGCTCTAATAATACTTCACGAAGTGTACGTATTATTTATAATATTTCGAACAAAAAACATGTATTCTCACAAAATATTTAACGCAACATCGCTTCATTGTCTTTTATTTCAGCCGAAGAGATTTCTACCTTCGGCAACATTGGTTCCCGAACTGAGTAGCTTGATACACAACATGGCACAAAAATTTACGGAAAGTACGTTAGTTGTTTCCTTGGACGGTACCGAGCCTAATAATTGCCCGTTACACGATGGTAATCAATTCGTTGAACGCACGATCATGGTAGATGCAGCCGAGGCGCTTCGGCACTTTAACGTACCGAACGAGATTGTCAAAACTTTAAGAGCTTCTCACGTATTTTTCAAGATTACTGATACGAGTAATTTGAATGTTGTTAAAGAAGACAAAGCCCAGAAGTCGATCAATAATTTTCTGAAAGAATTCGAAGCGATGGTGAGTAACGCGGCACATAAGAGGGAACGCAAAACGAGAGGCTGTACGAGAGACCAATGTTTCCTCATTCATATTATTTCATTATTTTATTTTCACACATAGAACACGTCTGTACAAGATAGCTCAGGGGAAATATCTCGGTTGATTGATATGGCGCAGGAGTCGATATTATTATTCAGTAATATCTTCACCGGAAAATTTGATACGTCGCAATTCAACGACGTACAAAACTGGATCACGAAATCGAAGGCTATTTTGAAATCATATAACACCGAGAACACTATAGAAGATTGTATCAGCGAGAAATTAACTTGTAACGTTCCTTTGACAAGGGAATGGATTTCGAACGGTGTCTGGAATATCTCCTGCATGAAACACTTCAAAAGTATATTTCATTTTCATGTTTAGAGCAACTGAATCACAATATATTGTTATTACAATATAATGTTTCTATTTAATACATCTGTGCTGAGATTCTGTAACTCGTTATTGGAGTTAACGACAGTTTCGTTATCGTTGCGCAGCTTTTGTATACCGTAGAAAAGCCGCGCAATGATAACGAAATTGTTAACTCCAATAACGAATTACAGAATCCCAGCACAGGTCTCGATTTCTTCTGTTTTCTAGATTTCTCCGAGGCGCAATGTATAAGATACAACAACGAGAAGCAGTTACTGTCATTGTACGAAGCAGTGCAGAAGTTGCAACGTACGGAATACTTGAACACGTTGATTCAAACTATATTACGCGATGTGATACCTGCGATCAAATCTAATATCGATCCCACAAGCGCGGAATATGTGCGAACGTACAAGACGATGTTTATCCTTTGCCAGGGTTTGAATCCCGAAGTGCCAGTTTTAGTTAGGACTGACAGTTAAGCCTTGCTCTACGATATATGCCTTTACTCTCAGTTACTATAGTAACCATTGTGTCCGTACAGCTACCTTCCGCGAAAGTACAGACTGTGCAGAGTTGCGTCGTCACGTTGACGATTGATTTTTTATGTTATCATTATACTATTGATAAGTAAGCAAGTGTTGTCATATTTACTAATAATTAAATAAATAAGAATTTCGTGTTATTTTAAGATTTTTCAACAAATGTGAGAGCAATAAAATACTTAAATATATATAAAGTACTATTTAATTATAATATTAAAGTAAATGGTCCTTTGTTCGATCTTTTTGTACCCTATGCACAATTTTCAAGTTATCATCATAAACAATGGACACGGAGTATAGTTATACGAAGAAAAGAATACATTTCGGGAAAAAATGCAACTTTTCCGACATCGACGTGGTCGAAGCAGAGATCAAGTCGAATCCGGAGCTGATGAGCAACTACGTCAGAATGGATCCTGTGACGCACGCTACACAGTGTAGTAAAGTATATGCGGTTCATGAGGTACACATTCAAACGATATTTCCCATGAAAGATATCTCAGTCCAAACAACATATGTTTTTACATATTTATACATTACACAAGTGCATTGCAAAACAGTATAGACATAATAAAGTTGGGAGCTCACCAAATTCTACAAAAATTGGAAATCATTAACTTGTAATTATATTACTAATTATTATTAGCATTATTACTATTTATTATTATTTTATATTTTTAATTATTATATTTATTATATTATTCTTGTGTAAGTCAATCGATAATGGCTCTTAATTTTAACAGTTTAGTAAGCTCATAACTTCATTGTGTCTAAGTCATTTTGCAATTCACTTTACATTTGTACATTTATACATTTATATACATTTATATATTTATACATTTGTATAAATATATATCTCAGGTGAACACAACAACTGCGACATTCAGAGATAACAAAATGTTCCACTACGAGGGTGGTTGGCCGAAGGACATAAATATGAAGGATCTGGAGCAAACGGTCAGGTATAGACGCAAGATCGAGAAGGACGAGTTGTATATTCACACGATGCTCCAATTGTTGCCTGTAAATCGTGAACTCTCCTATCGAGCGTGTTAAACCTTCGGAATTGCTATTCTGTGATATTTATGTGGAAATTTGTTCCTTTCCTTCTCTTTTTCCTCGTCAAGTCGATGGAGCACTGCATCCTACAGAACAACGCCTGCAACATCTACGAGCAGTATTTCGCCGACGTGGAAGTGATCCCACTGGTACAGAGAGCGTTCTCGCGCACGGTGAACGTGTACCGCGACCCTTCGAATACGAAACGGCAGGTTACTCATTTGTCGTGGTCGCCGGATCAGGGCAACCGCTTCGCGGCCAGTTACTGCAACGTCGACTTCAAGAATACCAACAATAATTACACGTCGTACATCTGGGAAGTAGGTACGTTAAGCGTAGAATTCTGCTGAGAGTATCGTATCGCCTGGTGATACAAGATCTTGAAAGAAGGAAAACAATCACAGAGAACCCGAACAGCGCCTACATGACGTTGAAGCCTTTCTACCCGCTTTTGACGTTGGAATACAGCCCCAAGGACAGCAACACCTTGGTGGGCGGCTTGATGACCGGACAAGTGGCCTGCTGGGACATCAGAAGGGGTGCGGAAGCGGTGGATACTAGCTCGGTGGAGTTCAGCCACAGAGATCCGTGCGATAAGGCCCTGTGGATTAATTCGAAGACCGGTACCGAGTTCTTCAGTGCTTCAAAGGACGGACAAGTGTGTAATCTTGACTGATTGTACACAGTTGTCGTTATCGTCAACGGGATTAATATGTTAAGAGATACATTTGTAGATTAAATGGTGGGACACCAGAAAGTTGCAGGTCCCGACAGAGACGTTGGTTATTGACCTGCTGAAGCCTGAGGAGCAGAATGTGGACAAGGCGATTGGTATCTCGGCGCTTCAGTTTGAGCCATCGATAGGGACGCGTTTCATGTGCGGCTTGGAGAATGGTATCGTTCACAAAGGGTAGAAAGTTCACGGGCAATATCCCATCTATGGGACGCTTCTCTTTTCATTGAATAAAATTTGCAGAACAGAAATCTGCATAATTTTATTTTCATTTTTTTTTTATTTTTATGTTTTTAACACTTAATTCTCATTTATATATCTATGTCTTCGATAAGGATAGTACTAATCTAAGAATAGGTCTTAGTACTAATACTAATCAAATAGGCCTTTAACAGACAAATACTTTTAATTAGAAATGCTTGCGAAATAATTGTAACTTTTAATCGACTGAAAACTGCGTCCTCGACTGCGTCCTGAAATGTTGCAAACAATTTCTTATTAATACGAATAATGAATTGGATTGTTTTATATCGAGATGCTTGATATCGACGATACGAAAAAAAAGACACACTCATGAAGAGTTATTCGTCTGATTCTAAAATCGCGAGTGTAATTTGCTCATCTAATTGATAGATCGAGTAATTTCCATTTCGTTCAGGTATAGTAATTTCGGGCAATCGCAAGGGCAAAACACCTGGTGAGAAAATAGCGACAAGATTCAGGGCCCAATATGGACCGGTAATAAGTCTGGAGAGAAACCCGACGTTCGTGAAGAACTTCTTGACGGTCGGCGACTGGACCTCTAGGATATGGTCGGAAGATTGCAGGGAGTCCTGTATAGCTTGGACCCCGTAAGTTCCAAGCTCAAACTCAAGGATAGTGAGAGACCTTTGGTCTCGTTAGCAAATATCGTTATTCTTTCAGCGGCCACCGAGACTTCCTCACAGGCGGCGCGTGGAGCAGCACACGTTACTCTGTGTATTTCTTAACCAAAACGGACGGCACATTAGATGTCTGGGACTTCCTGATTCAACAGGACAGCCCGGTTCTCAGTGTGAAGGTAACGTATCTATTTTCGTACGTGATCATTTATTGCTATACAATCTTTTCGAAGGTCTGCGACGAGAGTTTGACGTGTATACGACCTCATGAGCAAGGACAGCTAGCCGCAGTCGCAAACAAGAAGGGTGCGACGTATCTGATCGAATTTTCGGAAGCGTTGACGGTCAATCAGAAGAACGACAAATTGTTGTTAACTGCGGTAAGTATTTCCGTCAAATAAGAAGGTATTGTAGAAAATGATTCCGTTGTGGCTTTGTTGATGTTAACATTTAAAACATTAATATCAAAGAAAGGATTAATAAGAGCCGAGCGTTGGTGTTCGTGCGATAACATTATTTGATTTCAGAGAGATTATGAGTGTTTATTTTACTTTGCTAACACTTGAACTATTAAATGAGTCGATTATTATAATGACTAACAATGAACACTACCGGTATCATGGTTATTCAGTCTAAACGATCAGTCTCTTCATTAATAATGCACTGCCAATTGGTTCAGTTGCTTGATCGCGAGACGCGCAGAGAGAAGGTGATAGAAGCGAAGAATCGGGAGCAACGATTGAAGATGAGGGCTTTCAAGCTGCACGGCGAGACCGACTTGGTCGATTCTTCCGCAAAAGCGGACGAACGGGACGATTCCAAGGACTCATCCAACGATTTGAAGAACACGTTGATAACGCAGTGTGAACAGGACTATGAGAACCTGATCGAGGCGGTAAAGGAGTTTCTGGTCATTGCATATCCGTTGATTAATTTCACCCAATCCAATATGTATTTATCGTTCGTTATTTCGTAGGAATTAGCTCGAGAAGCAGAGGCGAGTCATGTGGAGTTGAACAACAACGTGTTGCAGAACGGTACGGCGATGAATTGAAGCGTTCCCGTTTCGCTCGCAGATGTTTCACCGCAAGACAGAATAAATTTGCATACCTATCTCTGTATCTCTTTCGTCTTTCTTTCTCTTTCGTTTGTTATCTATTATTTCATACATTATTTTGTCTCCTTTCTATCTTTTGTTTCTTCTCCTAGATGCGTGTACTTTTTCATTGAAAACATAAAATTCGTCCGGAGAAGTCGACGAAATGCACAAAGAAGAGTTTCAAACGGTAAGGCTCGCCCATGCGACCACCGTATCGATCGATTCGTCATCGTTCCACGCGAACATTCAGGTGTGGGAGTACCTCTATACCTGACGTGCACCTGGCGCGCGTTTGTTTGTAGTAACGAGTTGCGACATGTTGCTTGCAAACTGCACGACGAATCAGCGCGGCGTTCGCGAGGTCGAAGGCTCAGAATGACACCGAGACGGAGACGGTAAGCGGGACAGAATCGTGCTGTTCGTCGACAGCACCGAGGGCAAACTCGTTCGCATCGTAAGTGATGAATCGATACGCAAGTGGAACACACGCGATGCTCTCTTTTGAGCGACCTTAATCGTCAGCTAACGACTCATTGTCGATTCTGGAGGCGTAGAGAGAGTCGAGGAAAAGATGGCTTCGAGGGGTAGGATACTGAAGCGATCGCGGCATGTGTCGTCCTTCCTGGAGGAGTCGATGGAGAGCGCGACTCCGTCGAAGACGACAGTGGATGTCGTCGTAGACGTTCACAACGAGGGTGAACGCTTGCAACAAGACAACGAGAGCGTCCCCGTGGCTGAATCCTCCGACGAGAAAGAAGCCAAACAATCGGAGAGATCTGACGGTTCCAAGGGTTCGTCAAAGCAAGTGAGCGAGGCGCCTCGTGATCGTCGCGTCGTCGTAACCAGGACTCGTCTCGACGAAACGCGAGATCGTGTGACACTGGAATCATTCGATTTGATCGAAGAGATCGGCGCACCAGAGAGAAGTTCGAAGACGCCGGAGGAGATCGAGCCTTTCCCCGAGGTGAAACCACGCCGAAGGAAACAGTGGAGCACCGTGAATGTGGCGAGCGAGCCGGAAGACATTTCGAGAAGGCAACCGCGGAAACGCTGGTCCAAAGACACCAGTGTGATCCGACTGCCTGAAACGCGCGATTCATCTCCGTTGATTGACAATGGCGATGTCGAGGAGCCGCGTAAACCGGTCCCGGCACCGCGGTCTAACGTGCGGCGGAACGCCTTTTTCTTCGACAACCCGGCGTTCGTGTCCGAAAATGAGGAGGTTCTCAGGATCGAAACTGATCATCAGCGAGAGAGCACAAAGATCGAGATGAGAAGAATGAGTGATCGTTCGTCGAATGTTGAGGACGTTGAAGAGACGCGGACGAGCGGCACGTCCAGCGGCTCCCTGAAGAAGAACGCTCAGGAGACGAGCATGAGAAGCAAACGTGAGCGTTTCGCGGACAGCGGTGCTCGCTCCACGAGGACAAGCAGGTCCTCGGGAAGCAGGAAGAACAGCACCGGTGAGATGAATTCGTCGTCGAGCCTGGGAAAGGTCACCGATATTCAATCGAGCTCGATCACTTATGAGGAGACGTCGACGGGTGACAAGAAATACCCAGAAGCGATTCAGGATCGGGGATTGAGGAAAAGGGAACGATCTCTGTTCAGGAAGAAGGACGTTCTCTCGAACGACGAAAAGGTCAGCTCGTCTGCGAAGGATGGGCGATCCACCGGTGACACTGAGGCGGATACGAGAGTCCGGAGGAAGAAGAGGAAGAAGCGAAAACAGGGGAAGGAAGATAGGGATAAGGAAAAGAGCGACAAGCGTGAAGAAGCGGAAGTCAAATACATTTCCGTGACAGTTCATAGAACGGACCTGCTGGAAGCGGATTACGCGAACGCTAAACGACCAATGGTGAAGGTACACATTGTGGACGCACGTACGGGCAATTATCTGAGGAGCACGGACAATTGCGAAAACGTTAGTGTATTCCTCCAGCCGATGATTACCGGCAAGTTCGACTTTAAAGAGAACCGCTCGATGATACCGGTTTGGGAGGAGGAGCTCATCTTTGAGCACGACTTCAACGCGATCACAAGACGCAACGAGAATAGTCAAGTGGTAATCCTCTTCGAGGTGATAGACCCGCTGAGTTTTGCCGAGGCGAGCTTCAGTTACGACAGATTCGGCAAGTTTTTTCGCATGGCAATGGGTTCCTTCAACACTTTTTCACGCAAACTATTCTTTAATCGTATATTAGTTTATTATTAGTTTCTTTTCTGTTAATTTCGTCAATTTTGTAAATCTGTTTATCATTTCTTTATTATTCTATTTTTATTATTTCTATTTCTAGTTTTATTATTAATTTTACTGTTAATTTTCTATAAATCCTTTTATCATATTTTTATTATTTTTTATTATTTTTTTTTTATTATCGTTCCTTTTTATTTTATTTATTCTTTATGGCTTTGCAGTTCGAGAAATCTGACACGCAAAGTACTAAATACATTTAAAAATTATCTTTCATTTCTAATACACGATACAAATTTTAGAAAGAACTTTTGATAGCTCACAGGCTTGCTATAAATAAATGACGTATTTTTCGTTATTTCAGGTAACGAAGGGTGTTGGAACAAAATAGCCTGGGCATTTCTTAAGCCATTAGGGTGTAATGACACTCTTCACACGGACAAAAAAATACGGCTACAACTTTACAAACCCAGGCGAAGTTTTAAGAAATACGACAGGCACAAATGCGAGGTATCCTTTGTTTAATCGCCGATAAGTTTTCGGTGTGTTTATAACATTCAAACTGTTTTCAAAAGTCCGATAACTACTTTCTCAAATTGTTTTCGTTATCATAAAATATCATTCTGCTATTAAGAAAAGCGATTATTCAGTTTACTTTTCTCCTTTTAAATAATGTTTACCTTCAACAAAGAATATTTTCTTAGTAATAATTTTAAAGTATACTCATCAAAAATTTTAGAAAAGCTCATTATTTATTATACTTAAAAGAATTTATTCTCTTTATAAAGATATTAAATATTCTCTTTATAAGAACATTACGAAACTTTATCGAAGAAAAAGTTAGCTCGACTTTATGTGTCTGTTACAACTTTCACGATACTTACTCTTTTCCGGGCTTTGTACTTCCCAAATACTCTTCAAGTAAAATTTCAAAATACATGCACATCACAGGGTTTAATGTCGGACACAATGGATTGACTCTTTTTTGATAACAATTAAATAATGAAGTTTTATTCAAAGAAATTTACGGTATAATGCAATTCGACATTGCAATATATTTGATTCTTTGCATTGTGTTTGTGCAGGTGTATGCGTGGTGGCAATCAAACAATAGGGACAAATATCCCAGTAGCCTCTTCGTAACGGTAACTTCCGTGTCACCGCCGAAGGTCAAACCAGTGTTGTATCGGCAATTAGCGATGAAAGATGTCTATGATACACGAAGCGACCTGCAACACTCGTACGCGCGTACCTCGACCGCTCTCAGTTTACCGAAATGGGCACGCTTGGCCGCACAGTCGTGTAAAATTCCAAATGAGAAGGTATTCGAGACGGAAACGAGCGAGAACGGATGTTTCTACGTGGCGTTCAGCAGCGACGGCAAGTATTTGGCTTGCGTCCATTCCGAGGAGTACAGTTATCCCGTTGTCGTTTACGAGGTGAATCCGCTGAATAAAACTAATTGCTATTGGAGAACAGGGAAATTAGATAAATTAGATCGTTTCACATTAATTCGCACTTTGGAACAACTTGATCCGGTATCTCCTTGTAATAAATTCTTTTATTTTACGTGCATTCCTAGTGAAATACTGTGGCAAATTCACGTGATCATCGTCGCCAATTTCAGGTCGAAACCGGCAAGATTCACGTGCGATTTCTCGGCCACAAGACCTTCGTCTATTCTCTAAGCTGGTCTAGCGACGATCGCTGTCTGTTGTCGGCGTCCGCGGATCAAACGGCACGTATCTGGGATGTTCGCAATCGGATTGTACAACAAGTCGAGGTAGTCAGAATGCATCCTTTAAATTTTTAAATTTCTTATGCAAACCGCAAAAGATGCGGACGGGGAAGAGAATAAGACAAACACAGCGTATGCAGAAAAATATATGTTGCATTCAAGTAAACGTTACTTGTTTCAAGTATTTCATAAGTTTATGTATCCGTAATTCTATTATAAATAAATTCATCTCATAAGTATTGCATTTATTTAAAGTATACTTTGAATAATTTTAAAATTTCAATCAAATTAAAAGAAAAATTTGGTTTACTCTCTCTCATTACATAGAGTCGAACCAATTTTTTCTTCTAAAGTTTTATAATATTCTTATAAAGAAAAGAGATTCTCTTTCCTTTTAGGTATACATGGTGTAATGAGTTTTTCTAAAATTTATGATAAGTATATTTTAAAACAAGTTTTTACCTATTATCAAGAAAATATTTTTTGAAGATAATCATTACTTATATAAAAGAGAAAATAAGCTAACTAATCGCTATTCTTAGCAGTATAATATTTTTCTATGTCTACCTTTCTTTAATGACAAAGAAAACTTTTTTTAGAAAAAATCGTTCGTAACGTTCGGTTAAAATTAATTCTCGGCCATTCATTCAAGCCGCTGAATTTTCACTTGCAGATGCTGCCGCATCCCACGTACGTATATTGCGCCAAGTACGCACCCGGCAACACGACGATCGTGGCGACGGGATGTTACGATCGCATAGCACGCATCTGGGCGAACGACAAGCGATCGCGGGAGCGAGTACTGTGTCAGGAGCTGGAAGGTCACGAGGGTTTCATCAATTCCGTGGTTTTTCAAAAGAGCGATGACTTGATCACGGCCGACAGTGTGGGTATGATAATCGTCTGGTCGGCACGGAAAAACAGCAAGATGCCGTCGAAGCGTGAATGGTTTATCGCGAGGAGAATAAAGGTACGGGAGATCGAAGGGGTAGTTATCAACACGATCGCCTTACATCCTCTTGAATCCAGACTCTTGGTGCATTCGAGGAACAGCGGGCTGCGAATGTTGGACATTGCAACCGGTGTGGTCTTGCAGAGATACGATGGACTGAACAATCAAAAGTACGTGTATCTTTGTCATCATTATCGTAACATATCCCTACTCTCTACCCTCATTCTCTAAGCATTTATAAAGGAAGCTCCTGCGCCGAGAAATAACTCAGTTTTAAGTTGTTCCTCTTCCCGAAGAAGTAAACCGAAATGTTCATAAAAAAAATCCACGAAGAACGCGGTACTAACCCAGATCGAGCATTTCTCCATCATCTAAGCGACCTTTGAATCTGAATAGATGTGACATTCATCGCGAACGCAATTCTTAACCCGATCGGAAAAAATCTAAGTTTACCCCGAACCTACAAACAATTTTGACTACCATATATCATTGACAATATCATCGTCATGTCATCTATGATATATCATCTGTAGGGTTCAGACGAAAGCGTGCATCTCTCCATGCGGCAGTTTGGTCTTTTGCGGCGGTGAGGATTCGGTACTGAACGTCTGGCATTTGGAGACTGGCGAGCACCTAGCTAAATACACGAACGAACGCGACTATCGAGCAGTTACGTGCGTGGACTATCATCCGTATAACCACGTTTTGGCGTATTCTGGCTTTGGAGGTCCAACAGCAGTCCGAGTGTTAAGGTTCAACAAGGACGCGAGTAACAACGACGTCGGTCTGATGATCATAGCCGAAGCGCGAAACTCAAGAGAACAATCGATTGATAGTAATCATAGATTCAGATCAACTGGCTCTCTTAGGAACGCACAACAATCAAAGTCGTATACGTCGCGATTGTTACTTAACGAGTTTGACGAGACCGGATTACAAACAACATCCAGCGACGTTCTTGAGCCACAACGCAGAGAACGACATTGCAGAGATGATCTGTACGTGAACGAGACACGACGCAGAATACACCACTGGCCCGAGAATCTACAGTCGATCTTGGCAGGGACGACACCAAACGTCATGCAGCAGTTCAACGGAAGCGTAGAGGCGGCAGAAGAGGGACGTGCGGGTGTAACGGAAGAACTACAACTCAGAGACATGTTGAGGACTTTGCGCTTGCAAAGACCTCGCAGCTCTGATCTGCCTCCTGGCGTGTGTCTCCCTCGGGATGCAACTGACACGATCGGTGAAACGAGTAGGTCGGAGACTTCACGTGGAAATATGCAAAACAAATACAGAACACGTGCTACAAACAGTGCGGGGCATAAGGAAAATGTCGAGAAAAGGCATTCGCCGCGTCGATTTTCCGCTGATGTTATCATCGATGTGGATCCCCCGAATCTCGAGCAGACTTCGAGAAGCGATAGTTCGCCACGGAGCGACGGAACCTTTGTTATAACTAGGGAACATCTTAACCAAGAAGTTTAGACAACATATATGTATAAAAATGATTTCAGACACCATGAAAAGACGTCTATCACAAGACATTTTCAAGATCATGTGGAGCAGTCTATATTACCGATTGTAATATTCATGTATGCGTTGCTACAACAAATGACGTAATAATCTGATAGTTTTCGTGAGCGTCGTGTATGGGGAGAGTTTGTGGAGACCTCGGAGAAACTTACAATCAGACTGTGGACATTGCTTATGTGACGGTCGATTTTTTTGAGTTGCTATGTCGAATGATACTTTTCTTCCAAGGTAAAACACTCAATTATTGACATTCTCTTGGCTATTCGTTCTAGAAAAAAAAGAGAATCTGGTTTTTATTCATACAATCAGTATTGTAGTTAAATGTATCGTTGTTAACTTCTTACTTGCATTTGATGAATCCAAAAGAGAACTTCATCACTTAAATCGTGAATAATTGCTATTGATCATATGGAAAACCAGAGTGTTCTCCTAGAGTGTCAATAAGCTAAAGGGGACTAACAATTGGGTGTTTTATCCCATGTACGGTTCTTTAAAGTAGGCATGATCAATCTCGTGCTCTGGAACCATGATGTTCCCCTTCTCTGTCCTCTCGCGAAGTAAGATGGAGAAAAAGTGAAATGAAACAGACACAGATAGAGAGCAATTTAAAGATAGAAAAGAGCATCAGCGTTTGAGAATGGAGGAAAGAGACTCCTCTACTTGAAGAGGTTGATCATGTTGCTTTAATATTTTACCGACAACATCGTTAACTACAGGCAGTCATCGATATCTAATTTTTACCTGAGCAGGGCGGATGAGCAAACGCGTATTTTTGATCGTAATTCTCCATCGATTACAGCACAATGAATACTAAGTAAAATAATAAGTAAAACATGTGCTTCCCCTTTCTAATGCCCAAATGACGCCAAATGTCAAAGCTCTAGTGTTTTAATGTCCCAATATCAATATCGTGTACATGTATATGTCTAAAAGTAGTCTTAAGCAGGACGTCAAAGATGTTTTTTTAACAACTTTGTAAGACGCCTCTTCGGAATTTTAAGACATTACAAAGTAATATCTGGATACATAATGTGGCGATACAAAATGTAAATATGTTGTACAAAATATAAGATTTGTTCGTTTTTGAGATATATCATTCTTGTTAAAACGTATCGCGTTATGTTAAAAAGAACGTAAATCCATAAGTCTATAACAGATGATTTAAACATTAAGCCTTAAAAGTTGACTAATTACAGTCAAATGTGAAGAGAATAATTATGATTAGTCAATTTCTAAGACGTTTAAATCACCTGTTATAGACTGGGATTAATGCACGGATCGTGTTTCCTATCCACACGAAAATTATAGGCGTAGCACGGACACGCACCAAACGAAGACTTTATCGGCAGTGCTGAAAAATGGGTGCAGCGAACGTAGTCCCAGATAGTTAAAAATGGTGCAGGTGGCGTATCAAATAATTATGTAGAGCGATGTCGGTCAAAATGCCGGCTTGACTACTTTCAAATTTCTTTTTGCGTTTTCTGCGCGTAAGATTTTGTTAGATTCTTTTGCTATACGCAAAGATGAACACGTGAGTAGTCTAGGCACTCGGAGAAGTCCGACTGCAATGACCAACAATATGATATCAAACCCGCATAATTTTCTACCGCAATGTGCACTCATTTGCTAAACATGCACACGTTTAAAAAAAAAATAATTATATCTTTCTACGCAGGAAGGAAGAGACTGCCCCGCTGGCAAGCACTAATAAACTGCCGGCAGTGCCAGAATCTGTTCTGAAGAGGAGAAAACGCCGCGAAGCGGTCAAAGCTGCACGCTTACAAATATCCATTAAGGTGGTTCTTATACAACACGTGTGTTTCAAAGACATTTTAGGGACATTCAACAAACGTCTAAGAAAAGTAGAACACCTTTAAGACGTTTTTGAAACATGTGTGTTGTGTTACATTATTATATAAGAAATATAATATGTAATAATAAATATTACAAATCAATCTGCTCAATTTCCTACAACATTTATGTTTCTTTTATAGCAACGTGCAAACCGATATAAAAAAAAAGAAATCTTTAAGAGAGCAGAGAAATATGTGAAAGAGTATAGACAAAAGGAAAGAGATGAAATCAGATTGATAAGACAAGCTAAGAACAGTGGAAATTATTACATTCCTGGTGAAGCGCGTCTTGCATTCGTCATCCGTATTTGAGGATACGTACAGATATATTGATCTATAATTTCTAGCATTAATCAAATCTATGTTCGTTTTTTTTAAGTTTTAAGTGTAACTTAAATTTAATTGCAATCTTATTTTTTAGTGTAAATCAAATTGCGTCTAAGGTGCGGAAAGTATTACAATTGTTTCGATTGAAGCGAATCAACAATGGAATCTTTGTAAATTGAACAAAGCAACTATCAATATGCTAGGTATTGTCGAGCCTTACATTACGTGGGGATACCTAAATTTGAAATCTGTTAGTGAATTAATCTACAAACGTGGGTTTGCCAAGATCAACAAGCAACGTATAACCAGTAATGCTATCATTGAAAGGAAGCTTGGTTAGTATAAAACAATTTCTAATCTCTATAAACTCTCTACATACTCTCTATATACTCTCTATAAACGTAAAGACCAAAATAAAAAAAAATTACTAGCATAATTAATATACAAGCTATATTTCCTAAGAAAACAGTTTGACAAATCTATGAGAGTTGTCTGCACAGAGACTCTTCCTTCCAGTTTGTCAAAAATTAACACTGCAATTTTCTGAAAGACCTATGTAATTCTTATATCTAAGTTTGATTTGTATAAGAATATGTTATAACATTAACAGTTACTATTCATCAATAATCGCGTAGCAATTCAATTTAATGTTATATGTTTGTTGCTTAGGTCGCTCTGGCATCATTTGTACAGAGGATTTAATCCACGAGATATTCACTGTTGGATCTAAATTCAAATACGCCAGCAATTTCCTGTGGTCATTCAAGGTATGACGAAAAGAATTTAATGTAACAAGCATATAGATAAGCTTTGTATCACGACATAGGCATGGTTGTAGGATAATTTGGAGTCTATTAATTTCCTTATTTTATGTCAAAGAGTAATAAGAACTTCTCTTACTAACGAGTATTAATATTACAAGTCCAAAATGAGCTCAAACATTTTCACCTCAATTCGTACAAGATGAAGGGAAAAAATCTATAGTATCTATGATAGCTTTATATTATGATTATTTATATACGATCACCAAAATTTCGATGACATGTCAAAAATCATTTTTTTATTTTTCCAGCTTAACACATCGAATGGTGGATGGCGTAAGAAAACGAATCATTACGTAGAAGGTGGCGACTTCGGAAATCGAGAGGATAAAATTAATGAAGTCCTCAGAATGATGGTGTAGACTCGCGAAAAAACGCGTCATTCGTAAATAAATTCATAAATAAGCTGCTATAGCTACTGCCCAAAATTAAGTTTCTATTGTATATGTACATATATGCCTTCCTATTTTCTATTTTTCTTATAAATGACAAATTTTTTAAACGAACATAAGTTGGCACAACTGTCAAGGTAATGTAAGTAATCAATAGAGACATTAAAGAGTAAATCTTGCAAAGGCTATAATGATTGTATAAAGCAATGAAAAATATTGTATTCCAATATAGAAAGGCCTACATATCCCATTAAATAAAGTTATAGAAGAAATAACTCGTTGCTCCGTAGTTGTTGTACAGAATATCCTACATCAACTGTCAAATATTGAAATAACAGTAGGAATTAAACCAAGACGGAAAGTCCTTTGTCACTTTTTAATACAATAGTTAACGAGTTATTAAGCTTAGTGTGCTCTAATTGCAAAGAAATGCGAACTCCCGCCTTTTCGCCAGCTCCGCCATTTTGATTAGTGATGAAAAAAGTCCACTAATCAAAACATCAAAGTTAATCCAAAAGACGGGAATTCGTACTTTTTTCGGCGCGCGATACTACCTGTGACCCATCAATTAGAGCGCTTTAAACATCAAACTTAATTAATAATTCGTTAATTTTGCTATTGCTAGCATTAAAAAATAACAAAGAATTTTTCGTCTCGATTTGACTTCTACTATTTACCATTTCCAGTAAGAACGTGAGCGACGCGAAGATAAATTGTTTTTTGACATATTGCGAGGATATCGTGCATATGTCGCTAAGAAATGATCGCAAGTAGAGTACAAGTTTTACGTCAGGCAGTCTATATGTACGCACACATCTCTCGTGTTGACTAATCCATACAAGCAGATCTACTTGTCTGTGCGTGTGTTTGATGTATGTATATATAATATAAAAGAGAGATATATATATGTGTGTATATATATATATATATATATATATGTATATATATATATATATGTGTGTGTGTGTGTGTGTGTATATATAATTTATTTATTTATTTATTTAAATATGGAATGCTGTTAATGAATATATCCACAGTATTACGCACAGCCAATATCTTTTGTCACATTCGACAATTATACTGCTTTCTCTAATATCATGAAACATAAACAGAAATGAAACTTTAAAAAAAGAGAAAAATAATAACGTAACACTGTTAAGAATACTTATTACGAGCTAATAATGTTATCAAAAATACAAGACGTTCTAATAAAACTTGGCATCTTCGTAAATAAACTACACACGTTACAACTTCAACAGTTAAACGTCTCTAATGAAATGACAACAAAACAATATATATATATATATTGTAGACATATTTACGAGAACGATAAAATGAGCGTTTTCTTGATAAATAAAATTCTGCTATCAAGATCTTGTCCATGCTTTTTTGCTTAAAAAAAAATCCTAATTCTTGAACAATGAATATGATTGCAGTCTATATATGTTTATACGTTATCCTTTTATAATGTTTATAGAGCGCAACACCGTGTCGTTATAGAAGGATAACAATATGCTATTATGAAAATAGACGTTTTTGCTCATCTTTTACCATCGTAATGAGCTCTAACTAAGTGGAAGATTCTCCCCTTCAATAAACTTGGCACGGTTCTCCTCTACTAACAACTTGTCGATGAATATGTCTTGGTCAGTATTAACGTCAATCAACTTCAGTCCGAGTACGGTATCATTAACGGGCGACAAATGATCGAACATCGATTCGACAACTATCGACACGAAGTTCTTGCCGAGCACCAAATCACGAAATCTCACGCAATCCTCGACGGTCCAGTCAATGTTCATTGGTTGTATCCCTGTTTCACGTTTCGGTGAAAAAGAAAAGGAAAAAAAAAAAACAAGATTATAGAATTTATTTCGGCGAAATGATTCGAACGTTTGAGCTATGAGATACGTTCGGGTGAAAGGAGAGAAGAAAATATTTTTGCTTACCAACAAGTTTGGCCTTTACAGCTTGATACGGCAGTTCCAAGAATTCGCTCTTCAAGGGTTGTAATCTGTTTCGTGGTACTATCGTCACATCCCCGAAGTCGCAGAAGTACACGGATATCGTATTCTCATTGATAATATTGGTGACGTATACTCTGAAGAAAAAAAGAAATGAGTGTTACTGTTGTTATCAAAGAAAATTTCATCTCGCTGATTGCACACACACACACCTGTACCAATAGTTATCCATAAATTTTCCCGCGTAGAGTTTGCCTTCGCCAACAGACTCTAATTCTGGTCCTTCGTACGCATCGCAGTATTTTTGCAGTTCAGTCATCATCGCCTGAAAAACAATACGAGATTTCAATGTGGTAAGGTTTCCGGCTCACTGAAAAGTCCTAATGAGACAAATTAATAATTTAGAATTGTCTATACCTTCATTTCATCTCCGTTGTTTAGAGGTTGAACAATGAAATGTCCAGGATGCGCAGCCAATGTGACGTGTACATCGAAGAACTGGCCAATATCCGAAATCATGGGTGGATTTAATTTACCGGACTCAAGGATGCGCGAATTCTTACGTTCCAAACGTTTTTTCGGTTTAATATTGTTGTTATTATTGCCGTCTTCGTTGGATCTGGGAATATAACAATGATTTATGTTGGTTCAGGTGCACAGGAGATGCGTTTACAATAATTTCGAATTTGTCAGATAAAATGGAACGATTGTATTTTTATGTTGTTATAATTTTATGAAACAGTATATGTGCCATTTCGATCGATGATCTTTTGTCATCTTGCGTGTGCATTGTTTCATAAAATTATAACGGCACAAAAATGTAATTGTTACATTTGAGAAAATCTGAAAAAATGCGAAATTATTTATTACGCAACCCAATACAATGTGCTTCTCGGAACGAAACGAAAGCCTTAACAATATGGAAACAGATAGTTGTTGCATGAATATATACTTTATCAATTCCAAGTCGTGAATCAATGATTCGTTGATAGAAGCCAACATGTTGCTCGGCTGAACTCTCTTGAAAATCTGCACAACCGGAACGCCAGATATGGTGATTCGGACGACCTTTGCAATCAGCAAATCAGTATCCGAAACTAACTCGTTGAATTTCGTCACGAACTTCTCGCCGTATATCGATTGATCGATACCGTGCAGGAAAATCTGTGTCGCCTGTTTCGTACAAAATACGTCAGTTTCAATTTTATATTCTTACGAAATATTAAAAAATTTAAAGTATATAAATACGGTTTTGAGATATACAACGTAAGTGAAAAAGATGGCCAATAAGTTCCAGTTGCCGATGCGAATATATATTTAAGGATAATAATGTCTAACAGACATCATTACTCAATTAAAAATTTCAATTCAACTGCACGATTATTCACCTGTGGCAAAATGCTCTGTAGAACCTTCGAAATCTTATCTATATGAAGCAAATTTTTTCGCAACGCCGTCACTGTTCGACCCACATCGATCAGAAACACCTTCACTAAACGTTCGTTTTGAACGTCCGTAACTCTCGCCCGGTACCATTGCGAGTCCAACTGCACAAGATACATTTTCGTGAAATCAATTGCCCTCACTGCAGAGCACAAGCGAACACTCAAGGGTATCTGTGTCATTATTTCGTCGTTCATCAGATTTAACAGGCAGGTTCTGGAGACGAAGTTTAACTGCGCGTAAACTTTACCATGTACGTCCATGTTCGTGACGTACAATTCAACAAACTGTCCGGCCTGCGTGTGGAAAAAGAAACATTTTACACAATGCATGTCGGAAGAAAGAAAAAACTATCATTAGACGAACGAATCCAAGTGGATACTTACATTTAATTTGGATCCAGCGGTGATATTCTCCATGATTTTTTCAAATAAAATATCGTTCATATTAATGTCATCTTCACTACTTGTGTCGTAAAACGTCACTGATGCATATGAACCATCCTCGTCGGTGGCTAAGCTGTGTACTTTCACGCAGAATACCCGCTCCAAAAGCTGATTCTCGATCTCTGTGATCGTTTGACCACAATCACGCAATTCCTCCAATCCTTGAAGAGCTACTCGGACCGCCTGTAGCAAAGCAAAAACATACATGACGACATAAATTCTTGACGATCATTGTAAATCTGGACTGTATTTGGTAATGCATATTAGGTTTGTTCTTTTGATTTGAAGTAGTAATATACTAGAATTTTGTTTCTTTTCTCTTCAATGCTGAGTTATATACTTGTTTCATTCTAATAGCAAAAAGTGTTAAAAACAAGACTTGTAACGCGAAATTGCGCTATAACGGTCAGATCAACATGGTTGAAAGTCTGTTAGAGACCATTGTGAGAAATGGTTCAATTCTAATTTACGCTTTTGGTTCAGATGATGTGGAATGCAATGAAAAAATCAATATAGTCGAGTACCTGGGCCGGGAGTAAGCAGAATTTTTTCTCCAAAGGCTGCAACACGTCGCATTTATATTGATCTTCATACCCATCGTCGATGAAATGTACCGTAGCGAGTCTAGTATCCGGCTCGTAGTCTATGCACTGTACTCTATGCCAATAGTCATCTTCGAGGATAGCATAAAAGTCACCGCGGACGCATGTCGATGTCGAGGCGGGTTGTTTTATCTTATTGTAATGCTCTGTCATGTTGTTCATCATATCGGTAAAATTATCCTAGAGATGTGACCCATAGTTATACAAGAGAGAAAAAGTAAAGCAGATACAAAATGCGTGCAAAGATACAATCTGCTTACATTATAATCATCATCAACGAGTCGAACCCACACCTCAATAGTACTTATGACACATGTTGGGTACACATTCCAGAGTGTCGCCTCGGGTATTTTTAATTTATCAGGCGCAGCGGGTCCTATCGGGTTCAGCTGTATTTTCTCGGTGGATAAAGAACTGTGCATGTCGGAATGCATGTCATGAGACGGTGAATAAATTTCCGGCCGCTGAATAAAGAAAGTAACATTTTGAATTCCTGTGTAGACAATTCGGCTACAGAAAATGAAGGAGCATTACCTTCGCGGTTGGATCGGATCGACAGAGTATCGTTGAATTGCCGACGCCTTTCTCTTGATTGATATCCGCGCACTCCGCGATTATTTTCTGCCAGTCAAGAGGCAAAGCCTCGTCGTAACTTTCCTTATAGTAAAATGGTATTCGTGGCATAAAGACGCCGCTAGGATGCCTGGTTATGATTTTTAATATACGTTCTTTCACTAAGTTTACGTCAATAGTGGTCACTTCGGGACTCGAGGACTCCTCCTTGGCTAAATTCATCAGAGCCAATCGCGCCGCGATCTTCTCGGCTTCTTCTTCGGATCGCGCGTCTTCCGGGTAGGTATGGAATGTATGGGTCCCAACCTGCGGAATTCAATCGAAGTTGAGAAAGCGAAAAAAAGTGAAAACACGAAGCACTTGTAAAATATAATGCAATCGGCGTACTTTTACGCTCGCGTATATGGTGATTTTTGTAGGATTGCTTCTTTCCTTTTTCGTATACGTTTTATAAATTGGCAACGATAGATCCAACGCATTGGTGCGAACTATCAGTTCTTTCCGAGGATCATCGACAGGTGCGACCTAGAAAGAAATTTCCGGTTTCGTAGAAAAGATCCGATGCGGTCTAAACGAACAGCTTGTTGGTCGTTCCTACCTGTGGAACGTAGCGTGTAATGTGCGTATCAATATGTCCGTTATTGTCGGTCGACAATGGAGTACTGATTTTGAGTCTATCACTTAGTTTTGAGGGTTTTTCTTCTACAGTCTTTGGTGTTGAGCTTATCACAGGAGGTGGCACTGCCCTTTCGAATAATACTTCGTTCCCCAATCTTCCATCAATCTTAGATTTATTAGAACTTTGGTTCAGATTTGAAGTTGATATACTAGGATTTGCCACTTTATCTTTCAGTCTCTGTAAGTATTAATATAATCAACCGAAGCCATATATAAATCGACCCGTGATCTAAATTTGCACACTCACTTTACTAGGTGAAATTTGTGGTATGTCCATGGCGAATCTTGGTTTCTCGTTATTGCGGTTTATAGGAAATGGACATTGCACTAGGTTCTCCATGAGCGGTGGTGGTCTAAAATAGTATTTTTGTTATAGATATATAAAAAATATATCACATTTTAAACGACATGCAATTTACAACTTTAATCGATTATATGCTTTTTGTATTTATCCACTTTCTTAAAATGCACCTGTTAAAGTCCGTATATAAGTTATTCCTTCCGGGTGTTGATTTAGTGAATGAATGCAGAGAATTCTGATTGTTATATCTCGTAGGCTGAGATCCGTTATTTTTAAAACCTGGTAGATAGCCTCTAGATGTGTATCGATGAGGACTCCACTAGAAATAAATTTCAAAGGCCAATTTAACACCCAAAATTCTGACAATCTTAAATATTAGTATGTTATAGCATATATAATAACAATCAGACACAAACGTATTGCGAACACTCATTGCGTCGATGAAAGAATTTTCACGACGTTTATCGAAACATTATAAGACGGTATAGGCAACGACAAATTCTTAGACAAGTTCAGAATGCTTGATCTGGCTTCCAGATGAGCCAGTGTCGCGTCGTTCATAGATTTAGCTTCCACATTTTGTGAACATTTCACTTCTACAGTAGAAGAATTTCAGTAGTAAACTAAAATATTCACGAAACGTTGAAAACAAATCTGAGGAACTAACCCGGAAGTCTAAGATATCACGAATATAGAATATTGATGAATTGTTACTTTTTTAGCTTGTGGTCTGTGTCGTGTTTTTCGCCGTGAGACTTGATGCGAAATTAATTTTGTAAGGTGAGCCGTTGTCCTGGAAGGTAGTGCATCAACATACAACTCTCCATTCCTATTGGTCACTGAGATATCAGGTATGTTACGTATGAAGGCCTCGATTGATGGGAATCCAAAATTTCTATAAGGTAACGATTCTCCCGTGATCATACGATAATCCGCTGTAAAGTAACAAAAATGGTTCTCGCAACATTCTTAAAAACAATAAAAACTAGTGCAACTGTAGCAAACTCAACTAAAAAATCCTAAAAAAAGAAAAAAGGCAAATTATATTTTAGATGGAGAATTGACAAATAACTTTTGTTTATCATTATTATTACAATAATTTATGATAATTTCATGCATACCCTTTAAATTGTCCAACTTTACACCACCTTTGCATGATATCAGGCATGACCGCAAAATTTTCACAATTTCGTTCTGATCCATCTTATCACTTTCTTTCGCAATATCTCCTGTTACTATATTTTACAGAAGAAAAAAAATTCAATCATGTATGATTACAATATGTATTCCCTATCTCTCTAAATATGAATTAATTTTGTCAATATTTGGATATGCAGGAATTTCAGGAATTTAGGGATGAGCCAGATATTCCCACATGATGCCAAAGTTATACTTAATATGAACTTGGATATTGTGTCTCATTTTAGGTACTTTATCTTAGATGAAAGTTACATATTTGAGCAATTAAATGATATCTTATATTTTTTATTATCAATATTCTGTTATATTACTATACTTTTTTTCATCTTTATATCTTATCTTTATAATCAAAGATCATCCTGTATAAATTTATGTATTTCTACTGTATATTTATATTTAAAGCAAACAAGGAAAAAGAGAAAACAAAAGAAAAATATCGTAGCAGAATTTATTAATTATTATTTGACCAACTTTGCAGCCTTAACATGATACTCAAGTTGTATCTGAGAGATATGAACTTGGATATCGTGTCTTATCTTGGAAAAAAGTTAATTATTTGAGCAATTGAATGTAGGTAGTATACAGTACTTTGTTATCAATAACAAGTATAGTATACAGTACTTTGTTATCATAAAATATTTTTTATATTTTTCTATACTTTCTGTACTTCTTTTCTTTGTATTTTACGCAATAATCAACCTGTGCAAATTCATGTTTTTACATACAATGAAACATGCACTCTACTTAGATCCAAAGTAAACAAAAAATCAAAAGAGAAAACAAAAGAAAAGTCTCAGCATAATTCATAATCCAGTACTCATAGTCCAATCATATATTTAAGATCATCTTAAGTACTGTCTTAAAATGTCACGAACCAATCACAGAGCCGCATTCGCATCTTAAAACATTACTTAAGACGGTCTTGAAATAAAATTCGACTATGAATACCGGCCTTTGTTTGACCACCTTTACGGCCGGGATGTTTCATCGGCACATCGACTTTTGTTTATTTACGCGCATAATTCCACGGTTATCTCTCGCGGATGCAATACAACGAATATCTAATATTCAAAGCTCGATACTTCCGTCTTCTTCATTCTAATGACAACCGAATAATTCGATGAGTCATCTGAAAATGTAACGTTGCTAGGCATGTAGCGCGAATACTTGTTCACGCGAGCGAACAATGTAAAATATCTTTTGCCCTTGAAACGCGTTTAACGCATCACACATGCAGACTATTAGGACCGACAAGTTGTGACAAGTAAACAACAGATCATCGCGCAGCGGACAGTCGTTCATAACTTCATTGCCATATGCCAAGATTTCCAGCGATCATGTCTAGCTGTGAATACGAGGAAGATCGCGAGATCGGCGCGACAATTAGGCGAGACGCGATGCATTGCGCGAGGATGACGGTACATACGGCTATTGTTGCGATGGTCGCCGCCGGCCAATTTTCTCGTCGATTCGACCGCTGCACACGCAGAGACAATCGAGGTCAATCGTAAATAGAGGACACGTACGTGCGAAAACGTACCTGCCGCCGCTTCTCGCGCGGCCGAGATTCCACTCGTTCGTGCTGGGCGGCGAGGATCTCAAACGGCGAATCGTTAGCGTAATATCTCTCTTCGTCTCAAATTTCTCAGTCGCTCACGACCGCCGAACGTTCGGGCGAACGTTTATCCCTCGTTCTCTCTCTCAGCCGGCTCCTCGATGATCGTTCTTGCTATCTCACGAAGACGCAACCACACGACTGCCTGCGACGATTGTTGTCGACATTTCTTTTTTTGTCGCGAAGAGTATCCCGGGAGAGAGGGACCTCGCATCTTGCTCTACCTCGCGGTGCGATTAGCGACAGCCTATCCGTACGACGAAGTGGGTCGTGGCGTTACCAGCCGACCAATCGCGCTCTTCGCGGAAGTACCAGTCAGCAATTAAACACGAAAGAGAATACTAGGATCAGATTTCCCGCCGTACGAAATCGAACTGCAGCCCGGGATCGCGTGTTTTTTCAAACGGGGAAACACCGAATTGGCTGTCCTACTTTTTACCATCACTAGAACATTCAACTTACATGTCTATTTCAAAAAAACGTATGGAGAATCTAATTGCTACCTTGGACAAGAAAATGGATACTTAGAGAAAGGCACTCGAGAAAATACAGCAGATATTTCAGCAAGCTCAGATGAAAGCGTCGCTGCCCCAACAGAAAGCATAACATCACAGTTGCAATAGCTTTGTGAAATTATATTCAATCGTATAATTAACATCTAAATGTCAACACACTTGTTGAAGTGTAATTAACATTTAACGTTTAAAATCAACAACATCCCTCGCTGTATGATCAATGTTCTGTTTTATTTATTTGTACTACGCAACGTTTATTAATAATGAGTCACCCCGCTATATGCCACAAGAGGTCTGTTCTTTGTAGCTGCACTGCTGAACTGGTGCAATATATTGAAGTGAGACAAATATACGTTTTCCCATTCTAATTTATTGCACTAGTTCAGCAGTGCAGCTACAAAGAACAGGTCTAATAACTCAAACACAATCTATTTAAATTGAAAATTATGTGAATCACAGAATACGTTCTCTTTTCAATTCCTTTGTATAAATAAATTAGCAATTATTTTATGATAAATGTCTTTTAATAATCATTAATTTCCTATCCATAAAATTTATAAGTACTGTATGCTTAATAGTACTCATAATTGTTGTCGACTCAAAATTTAAGTTTGTATTAATAATAATAATAACACTTTTATTAGTATAAGAAAAAAGATTAATATTATAGATTAATATTATAGAGTATGTAAAAAAAAAGAAAATCATTGATGAGACAACAGCACTGGAGCTGCAAGTATTGACTTTAACAGCACAGATGTCCAGGGGACATCCAGACTATATCTTGAGGAGATCTTGAGGACATTTCCTCATCCTTAGGAGATTTTATGTTGTCTGGAGATTTATCTGAGTGCAAGAAGATTTTAGTCTAGAAAAACAAATTGTCATTATTTGAAACTTATCTCACATAAAGTTTTCAGATCTAAAGTTAGATTTCAATTGTTTATTTGAATCATAAAATATGTAATGTGTATATTGATATACTGAAAAACTAACGTCTAGCTCTAAATACAAATCTAAGATCTTTGTACATTAATAGTTGTTATCTGAAACAATGCTTCATATGAAATTTACAGATTTTTATTTAGAGTTAACCACCTTTTATAAATAAAGGACAAAAAAATAACGAGGTAGTGATGGCTATAAACAGCATTTAGCTAATAATTTTTTCTGTATTGTATTAAGACAATTCAATAATAATAATAGGTAATACGTTTTTAACGTATCCTGAAAAATATAACGTATAAAAATAATTACGTATAACAAAGATAGAATAAAGCCAGCGACACACGGTACTTGGTTTCGTGCTAAATTGCTTGCTGAATGTAAATACTCTGTTTTGATTGGTGCGTTTCCATTCATCTTCAGGAATTGTTAGATAAATATTAATCTTCCTTATCGTTTATTTTGATTTAAACAGTCCCGTTCGATAAGCAACGCATTTAAAAAAAATGCTGCTAACACTGAAGCCAGGTCACAAGAAGCATGTATTGTTTCTAGTAGAATAATCACCGCCAGGTACGGGAAAATCATTTGTCAATGTTTAAACTTATATTTTAATATGAGAAAGTCGTAAGAAATAATCGTAATCGTGATTTTTGCAGTTCTACAAGACTGTTGCAAATTGGCCTTGGATTATTTGCTGAAGGGCCCAAATATTAAAGTGTACAATGCTGCTGCTCATGAGTAGTTGATTGTTGCTATTTTCAAAATGTGACAGACTGATAATCTCAACATATCATGCGCTAAAGTTATTAGAATTTTCTAAACATACGCAATATATTTATTTATTGCTTATTTAAAAAAGCGCCAACGATGTATCAGAGTAATATATCTACCAGTGATAGCTTTATATTCATGTCCAAAAATAAATTTATTTGTAAATAGAAAATATTAATAATCTTATTAGATCCTTTCTAATATCTCTTTTATTAATAAAAGTGCCTTTCAATGAAAATCAGTAGTATACGTAACATGAACTTTGTTTCTAGCATAAACAGTGAATATTAGAACGCAACATTTTTACATCGTTAATATTCTTTGATATAATACAGATAATTAAGAAAATATTCAATGTAAATTAATTGTTAATGTTATTCGACCGGACAGAAGAGTGTAAAGATTTGTCACAGCCATATCGTTTAGGAGATGAAACTGTATACCCGTGAATTTCTCTGAGTTTATTTTTGTGCAGTCGACCGAATAGCAGAATGTAACATGAGTCAAGTCGACAAGTGATAAGAGCAAAGAAGCGAGAGAGGAATCTGGAGAATATCGTGATTCGTTCTCGTGTGTCCTTACTTAGAAACATACTCATCTCACAAATGTGTCTTCGCAAAGCGGTAAGGATGAAATAAATAAGAAGCCGAAATATCACGACAATATATAGATTGAAAGAAAAATTTATTTATTATGCATTTAAAAATTTTAGAAGAAAAACCCTTTCACGATCAGCTTGCAAATCAATAGTCGCATTTCACATTCCAGTTAACACCAGTTATTTTATCAATATACGTGACGATCGGTCTCGAGTCAGCATTGCAGTTTGAAAAATCTTAAAAGTAAATTTACATAGAATCTGATTAAATTGCGCAATGATAGATAGCAAGAGAGAAGGAGAAGTAGAAGACAAGGGGATATAAAGAAAAAAGAAAAAAAAAGAAAAACTAAGAGAACATTTTCTTTGTTAATCGGCACATAATAATCACTGATTATAAGGTCAAAATGAAAGGGTTCGGACTTGTGGGACTTCTTTTTTCGGAGATCTTATTCCTTTTTTGGCTGATTCGCCTGCTTGGCCTGATGGGCCTGCAGCACGGCCACGGCTTCTTCAACCTTGGCCTTCAGCGACTCGCTGTGCTCCAGCATATGCAGGAGTTCGGAGTTGTCGATCTCCAGGAGCATGCCGGTGATCTTGCCGGTGAGGGCCGGATACATACATTGTATCAGCGGGAACAAACGCTCGCCCAACATCTGCTTTTGTTCCTGCGGAGGCGCGGCTGCCAACATCGATGCGGTAAGCGGCTCTTGGCCTTGAATGTGTACCGCTTGCTGTACGGGAGCTTGAGCGGGCATCGGCATTGTCTGTGGCGGGTTGCGCATGTTCGCGGTGTATTTGTAATTTGAAGGACGGCTCTGCGGCGAAACTCCGACCGCCGGCCCGGCCATGGATCGGCTCTGCATGTTTGCGCCACCGACCGCTTGCTGACCTGTTGAGCGAATAAAAATGTTAACACTTTTGTTCCTCGAGATTTCTCTTGCTTTCTTTTTTTTACGCAAAGTTCACGAAGGTACACAATCGCGACCAGTCAGATCACAGAGAGCGTTCTTTCCGCGAATAAATTTGTCGATGAATAATGTTTTATGTCTCCAGAAAAAGAATTTTCAAATGTTAACCGATCTTCGCTGGAAGTAAATTGTAAAGTTTTATATACTAATTCTAACATATCAATTGTTGTATCTCACCTGTGATAGGTCTGGCGGACAGAGTGTTGCGCATGGCGCCAGCTTGAGCGGCAGGAGCGCGCGGCGCCGCTCTAAACGGAGCTTGCATTGCGAATCCGGAGCTGCCGGTCTGTGCATTTGGTCGCACCTGGTTCGGTTGCGCCGGCCAACGTGGCGTCGCGCGGATTTGCGCCATTTGCGCGGGTCCGTAGAATCGCTGAGGCTGCGGTAAAGTAGGTACAAAGTAACTGCCAGCGTTACCGGGCTGGAATATTTGTCCCATTTGCTGCATGCGGACGTTCGCCATACGCTGCATGTACTGGGAGGCGAGGTGAGCTTTGCGGTCTTCTTTGCGCTGCGCCAAAGCGACGTATAACGGTTTAGACCCGACAATGCGACCGTTCATCTCAGTAACGGCTTTGGTGGCTTCTTCTGGTTGCGAGAAACACACGAATCCAAAGCCCTTACTGCGTCCTTCCTCCATCATGACCTTCGCGGACGTGATCGTGCCAAAAGGCGTGAACTCTTTGCGCAAACGCTCGTCGTCTATTGTGTCGTCCAGATTTTTAACATAGAGATTTACGCCTTGGTAGCGATTCAATCGCTCGATCTTCAGCTGTTCGAACTTGCGCTTCAGCTCTTGTTGCCGCTCAGCTTTCTTCTGAGCGCGTCCTACGTACATACACTTGCCTTCGGCGATCTCTTTGCCGTTTAGTTCGAGCACTGCCTGCTCGGCGGCGTCCGGATCTTCGAACGCGACGAAACCAAAGCCACGTGACTTGCCGTCGTCCTTGTTCATCACTTTATGGCTTGTGATGGTCCCGTATTTCTCGAACATTTCTTTTAGTTTATCGTCAGTCATGTCCTCTCCGAAGTTCTTCACGTAAACGTTAGTGAAGAGTTTTGCCTTCTCGCCCAATTCCTTCTCGCGTTCTTTGCGCGGGATGAATTTGCCGACGTACACCTGTTGCACGCATCGGAAAATGGAAGAAGAAAGAACGTTAAATATTGTTAAATGTTATTTCATTTTTCGAAAAACAAATTATATATATTTATTAACTACATATTTGTCGCAACAGTGAAGAATAAAACTATTGTTAGGTTCATTTTTTATTGGAAAAATAGCAAAAAAAAATTCGTACCTTTTTGCCATTCAGTAACATGCCGTTAACCTTATCAATGGATTTATTTGCGGCTTCTTCTGTCTCGAAGTGGACGAAGCCGTAGCCTTTCGACGCGCCCGACTCGTCTTGAGCAACTTTGCAACTCAATATGTTGCCAAATGCAGAGAAAGTATCATACATCGCCTTATTGTCAATGTTCTTATCTAGATTCTTGATAAAGACGTTTCCGACGCCTGATTTCCGAAGGGACGGGTCACGTTGGGACCACATAATTCGAATAGGCCGCCCCTTTATCATGTCAAAATTCATTGTGTCAAGGGCGCGTTCGGCTGAAATATACAACGAAGAATATCAATTCACGTGTGTATACAAGTGTCATTGCGACACTGTGCGAAATGAGACTGAAAATAAACAGAGAATGAATCAAAATTAGCACGAAAAGAGAAAGCTAAGATATGAAAGAAACAATGCAGGAAAAGAAAATTTTCAATTTTCAAAAATCAATAATTTCAATTTGAAATTTGTCTTATGTGAGACATTCAGATTTTTAATCAGATTCAAATTTAAAATTTTTGATTTAATTATAATACATACGATATATAGAGTCTAATTTTTGATGATAGCAATTTAACTTAGATTTAAGCTTAAATTCCGTTCAAACACATTATAAGAACAGAGTTTAAACTTAAATCTAAGTTTTTTGGTTTAAAATTTTCAGTAGTAGAGTTTAAACTTAAATCTAAATTTATAAGTTCAGATATTGAAATTTATATTCAGAGTTAGACAGTTAGAGTTGTTTTTTTATTAAATCATAATTATAAATGTAAGGGTTGATATTTTCAGTAGTTTATAAACTTAAATTCAAATATTTAAATTTAAGTTGATCTTTTAAATTCTTAAACTTAAATCTAAATTTGAACTATTATATTGAAAGATTGACTCTTATATCTGTAATCACATGATAAAACTGAAAAACATTCTTACTAAACTCTGAATTCAAAATATTCTAACAAAGTAACTCTGAACTCTGAGTATTTCAACTTGAGACAAGAGTTACGAGTAATAATTATTAATGATGTATGTTCATATCTCCAAAATAATGACAAAATTGGGAAAAAATTAGGGTTTAATCTATATCGCAGCTAAAAGTGATCACAAAAAATTTGACATTAATTTTGGATCTGAAGTTATCCCATTTTTAAGTGTTTTTAATGACATCAAATAATTTTTCTGATACATTAGTAATGTCTCTGACATCAATAATACATTATTATGTCACTTGTCATTATCCTGCTATTTGAGAATATTTTAAACTGTGTTATTATAGAAATATATGATGCAACTCTTTAGTAAAATAAAAAAATTAATTAAAAAATAATTACAAAATTTCAATTTTTATATATATGTTTTTAAGTACTCAAAATGATATATGCAGTTTTATTGTGATTTATAAAAATAAAAATTAGAAATAATATAAACAAACTAAAAATGTGATGTTTAAATAAAAATATGTTATTATTCAACTGTATCGCGTGTGTGTGTATACACCATATGTTTTATATAGAAAATAGTGACGTTAGTGTATTTCTAATTTTCTGTTACTTTTTGCAAAGATTATACAGGTATACATTCTGAAAGGGCAAAGAGAAAACTTATATGACAAAGAAAAAAAAATTAATAAAGTTAAATATTTACATTTTATGACCCAAGCGCCGCGTCATAATATTGCGAAAGCGTTGCGCATTGTGCAGCCTGAAATGTGCGAGCCATGTTGCCTGTCGAGAATGGATTCGTCGCATTCTTTTTCTGCACTTTCATTTTCTCTCGTTAAACGAAGGCGTTCATTTTCGTGTATACGGAGTACAGGGAAAGTGCAGACGATACCAGAGAAGTCGACGAATCGTCGTCTCGTGGAAGCGACCAGACTCGCGCGGCAGCGACCCATCTGTTCGCCGATTATCGAGATAAAACGGAATAAAAAAAGACTTGTCCTTCGACTCCCCCCTTCTCTCACTCTATCTTTCTCCCTCTCACTTGAACCCGTTTAACCGTTAACCACCATTTTATAGCGACGACACGAATCCAACATGGAGGCCACAATGGTGGACACACAGCGCAACGCGGCGCAGCACGTGTGAGAGGCATGCTTCAGCAAGCAGCCATTCGTGACGCGCGTACGTACACGTCGATATGAGCAACGACAATGATAATCATGACGAAAGCGAGACAAAGATAACAACGAGGATGACTCACCATCAGCCGGTTGCTGGAAGTTGACGTATGCATAGCCGAGCGAACGGCGGGTGATCATGTCGCGGCATACCCGTATCGACAGCACGGGTCCAGCCGACGAGAATTTCTCGAACAGCATCGCCTCGGTGATGTCGGTGTGCAGGTCGCCCACGTAGAGCGAAGCCATGGGATAATTGGGCGCTCCCGGATTCATGGTCGCGGCGGAGGGTCGTGCTGCTTCGACGTGTGCTCACTTCTTCGGGAAGAAAGTTCGATTGCTCTCAATCAATGTTACCCTTTGCCTCTCGCGCGAGGGTTTTCTTCGCTTTGCCCCTCCTAGCTTCGTCTTCTTTCTCCTCACAATATGGCTCGCCTGCTTCCAGCCACGTCCTCGAGTCGTCGTCTGAACTCACTTTCTTCTTCCTCGGTTGCTGCTGCTTCTTCTTTCCTCGTTGCCTCGTTGATAAGGATGCCTCGGCAAACACGAGCACAGACGATCCTTACTAATTTTTTTCCCCACACTCTCTCTGTTACCTGAGGTTGCACGGTTTTTCGCCTACGATTTTGCGATTTTTTTGTATGCGTTTTTTCAGAGGTTTTATGATTTTTTTGGATTTTTATAGGAGAGTTATTTCACGGATGGAGATGGGTTGTGTGGCCTATTTTCTGTGGAAAGAGGATACACAACCACACGTGAAGAAAACTCTACATTTAGTGAGGCAGAGGCCGTCGTGGGCTTACTACGCCTGCTTATATATGTTGACCGCGTAACTGCTTCTACGCTCCGGCGAAGTAGTCCTACTTTACAGCGCCATTTGCGCGACCTCTAGGAATTTCACGTTGTAGAGGTTTCATACAATGGAGAGCGACATTTATCATGAAAAGTTCCGACATTCAGGCTGATATTCATGTACTATAAGCTCGTCGGATGCGTCGATTGGTTGGCGCACAGCAAATTTCTAAACGTACCATTACATGCAAGAGTCGAGCGTCAAACCCGTGCGCAGAAAATGAAAAAATTGATATTGCCGTTCAAAGTTCCGGCCTAACCGCCGTCACGACAAGACATGTTCGAACATGTTCGGACCTTGTGATTTTTTTGGATCGTGTCTTGGAAATTTCCAAGACTTTGCTCTCGAATTATATCATTAATCGGAAACTGGCGTAGGGGCATTACTCTTATAGAGGCCTGTAGCCATATATTGAAGGAAGGAAGGAAGGAAGGAAACCCGTGCGCAACCTTTGCGCACCTTTGCGCATACATCTAAACCGTTCAGATTTCAGCGTTTAATGCTATTAGGACAATGTTGCATAATAGTATCTGTGTTTCTTTCTTTCTGCGAATATTTGTAATACCTAAAACCTTTTTTTGTTTTACTCATATTGCATTTGCAATTAGTAATATTAATGCAATTAACTCCATGTTTTAATATTCGTTATTGATAATGCTTTTGCATTTTAATAATCACAAATGATGCCGATAATTAATAGACATTTTGTAATATCTTGCAGTTTTTTCTGAATTGCTAATAAATATCTTGAAATTCAACTGACAATTCAGTATGTAATTAAATTAATCTTGTGTTTCAGCAATAACTCACTATGGGTGCGTTCGTTTTAGGCGCTTACGCTCTATAAGCGTCATTCTATCTTTATCGCTACATGCGGGAAGAAGATAAAATGACGCTCACAGCACATAACGTCCAAAGCGAACGCAGCTTATACAGGGTGTCCCGCGTAAGACGGACCAAAAGAAAAATATAAGTAGAACACATAAAGGTGAACAAAAATTATCTAGGTCATTTTTCAAACAACCACGTAAAATTTCGAGATATTAATTAAAATAGTTGAGCATATCAGAGCGCGGCGACACGGCAGGCGGGACATACGGCTCGCCGCGGCCGGCGAAGAAAATGGATGATTGCTCGCGGGCCTATCTTATAGGCCAGAGAGGTGGTCCGTTTGGCATACTGAAATGAGTAGCTCCGTGTGTGCGTCCGTGTACATGTGCGTTCTTCCATTTTCTTCGTCGACCACTGCGAGCCGTACGTCCCGGCTGTCGCATCGCGCGTTCTAATTTGTCCAACTATTTTAATTAATATCTCGAAATTTTACGTGGTTGTTTGAAAAATGACCTATATAATTTTTGTTCACCTTTATGTGTTCTACTTATATTTTTCTTTTGGTCCGTTTTACGCGGGACACCCTGTATATTACTATGCACGTGCTCAACACTTGACGCTCGACGCTCCTATGTAAAGGTACCTTAAGGGTACTATTTCACATCGTACGACAAGCTTTTCGGATACGTTTGGCGAATAGAGTATTTCTATGTTTTTTGTTCGTTAACCAATGAACGTATCCAAAAAGCTTGTCGTACGACACGTGAAATATCAGCCTAAGAGTACAGAGAAAATGGTAGAAATCTTAGGTTTGTTCGCGTCGCGTGATCCAATGTACACCAAGGAATACATGGATCACGATGGCGGTTGGAGCAAATGAGGGTTGCGTTCCGTTTTACGCATTATGCGCGCATTGCCTACAATATACGTAACACGAACTATAGATAAATGCGCGCATTGCGTGAAACGGAACGCGGCCGAGATCATGTGCACCAACGCTTAGTGACGCGAACAGACTTGAGCACTTTCTGGCACTTCCGACTTTCGTTTCTTTTTCAGCAACATGTTGCAGCATGGATCCGTTACAGATTTTTTTTGCTGTTTTCCGCGTTATAGTAAATGAAATAAATGACAATTTTTTTGCTGAAAATTTTGTGTCTTTGGCAGCTATTAATGATTTATTTGATGATGCAAACGACAACAAATTAGAAAGTGAATATTGATGAAGAACGTTCTAATTTTATTTCATCTATCTCTAATAAAGATTAATTTGATTTAAAAAAATTATTAATGAAGTAGTATTTTTGGGATGTGCTATCATGATGTTCCAATCGGTTTAGTTATCAATTTCTCTTGCTGCAGACTGTTACAAAAAAAAGATCAATGATGTAGTATATATTTTTGTATAATACAATTTCCAATTTCAAGAAAATGTGAAACTTATACGATGGTGAAGATAATATTAATTATTATACAGATAATAATTTTTAAAATAAAAATTGTTGCAAATATATATATATATAGTTTACACACACACACATACACACACATCACACACACACACATATATACAGTATCTCAGACCTACTGAATAAAAAATTAAGTCTTATTAGTCTAATCTCATCACTTACCTATTTTAACACATCCGTTATTTTTATGCGTGCGTTTACATATCTGCCCCAACTCAGCCCTAATTGCACTACTTTCGAAACTGAGACAACTACAGTAATTCCTAATTGCTCTTTAGGATATGCTCTAAAGTCCGTATCAGAATACCTACTGCACAGGCCGACCCGCCTGCCGACTCTGAATGGACCAATCACAGTGAGACGCCGACTCGGCTCACTGTGATTGGTCCATTCAGGGCTTAACGCGACGCAAACGCTTATGGCTCCTGCACACAGGACGCGGTAATGCTTGTCGCGCGGCGGAAGTCCGCGCGACAGCCAATCAATATATTGTTTTTCCGTAAGAGCTAGAAGGTTATTACGGAAAGCAACGTATTGATTGGCTGTCGTACGAACTTCCGTCGCGCAGCAAGCATTACCGCGTCCTGTGTGCAGGAGCCATTAGTCGCCATATTGGTGCCGGTGACACGAACGAATTGGAGTGCGTTGGAGCGAGTAGGAGCATGATGGGGCATGCGACGCGAACAAACCTTTTATAGCATGTTCGACTGGTTCTTGGTTAACCCACTCTGGGTTATTCAGCCTACGTTTATTGGTCGAACAAGTATTTATAAGTTTTATGATTGGCTAGTAGAAACTTATGACGTCATTAATCGCTCTCGGAGAGATTAACCCAGGGCCAGTCCTTCCTTCCTTCAATATTTGGCTAGAGGCGCATCCATGGCTCATACCCCAACGCCATTACTGACCCAGGGCCAGTTGAACACGCTATTAGGAACTCTTTGGCTGGTATTCATAATCAGATCTTATATTTAAGAACATCTTAAATTTATCTTTAGATGATGTACGAATCATTTCATTGGCTACGGAATATCTGAAGATGAACTTAAGCAGCCTTAAATATAAGACTCGACTATGAATACCGGCCTTTATCTGACAGCCAATCGGTTAATATAAGACACATGAAATATCAGATAGCAATCATAAATCTTTTCCCCTAGTGTAAACTCGTGAAAAGTGAAAATTTTGTAATGAACTCGTGAAAGATGAAAACTTTCACTAAACTCGTGAAAAATGAAAGATTTAACGTGAATTTGTGAAAATTGAAATTCTCACGCAAAAATTTTTTTTAACATGGCAGCTGCATTCTTGGTTTTTGTTAACGAAATAAATGATCAAGTCGAGAGAAATAATCTCAGAATAATGCGAAGGATGTTACGTGATACACAAAATCCATTTGATATCCAAGAAGAAATATTTCAAAGTTTGTATAGGTAATATTAATTATGTCTCATTGTATATACATTTATAATAAGCATTTTTTTATTAATATTTTTAGATATATATGATATTTTAGATATATAGAATATTTTAGATTATATATGAATATATATAACTCTAACTTGTTGCACCAGTTCAGCAGTGCAACTGAAAAGAACAGACCAAAGAATAATCGGACATCGACTCATTTGGTCTGTTCTATTTAACTGCACTGCTGAACTAGTGCAATAAAATGAGATAAATATACTTTTTCTCACTCTAACTTATTGCACCAGTTCAGCAGTGCAGCTGAAAAGAACAGACCAATTGGTCAATACACTTTCATCTCTATTGAAGATTAATGGTGGTGTGAGCGACGAAGGTAGACGTTTTCTTGCGTGAACTTCGTCGAAAACATTGTATCTGCAAAAATGAGCAAACCAATGAATCTGTTGATAAGTAATTACATTCACAGCTTACCTTTTGTAATATTCGATATGTTTTTGTTTCTTTTCGAGAACTGTATCTAGCGAGACATTCTTACATAACGCAATATTTTTCAGATGGTGGTTTTAGGAAATGGTGCTACAATATCAGCGGATTTAACAAATACGGTAATTTAATGTTATTTTACGTCGCTAAGTTGTCGGCGATATAATTAATATTGGTCGGTTGATGATGTTCTAAAGTCTGATCTAACCTAACTTCACTGATGACATTTGATATTGTTTGATTCTTAATAACTCGCACCATTGTCCTGTCAAAGAACTGTATCATGTATCTAGGACAAAATTATTCTAGTTATATGTTTTTTGATATATCAAGTATATTCTTTAAGCCTGGATAAGAACAGAGACCTATATTCAGTAACATTCTAAAGATTTACTAATTCTATATTTCCCTAAAGGAACTGATGGCACTTATATTAAAAAGTATTACATACAAATTATTTCCCAGAATAATAATGTAATCCTAGAATACTAGATAGTAATATTTTTTCATATTTAGGTTTGATGAGAGATGATGTCCGTTATGAGAATCCTGATGTCCAAGAAGCACTAAAGCGCCTTCCTAAACATCTTCTAGATGAACGTAACTTTCGTATTGTCAGGGCTATGCAGTTGGATGCTTGCAGGAAAATCTTACCTGAAGAGCAATGGACTAAATTTGAGGATGTCAGTAAATATTGTTACTGTCTGATATGAAGGTCAAGTGTTCATAGCTGACCTTGCTTGAGAGAAAATGTTTTTGTAGGATGTGATGTACCTCAAGCCATACATCGAGGAGGTGGAAAAAGAGCGTAAAGAAAGGGAAGAATGGGATACATCGTAGAATATAACCCAGCTCAATCATCAATATAGGATATTATAAGAAATTTACTCTAATGCACAGTTAATCCTGGCGTGATACAGAGAGCTGGCCTGTGTATAGATATATATATATATAACAAATGTGGATAGATGGTAAATAAATTATGTTCACTTCCTTCGAAACAATGACGTCGAGACGATGCCGTTTATTCGAGCAACGTCGCGGTCCTGACGTTGTTTAAAGCGACGCCCTACATTTTCCATCGCATCCTCTTTGCATCATGACCACTTCCCGATAATGCTGACGCAAACAAATCGATAATAACGAAAGGATATGTAGCGTGCTTTTGAGTGTAGTATGCTATACTGCAGCTTAGGTTTTCCTGCGGTTGCAATATATGCATTGCATGTATCGCCGATTATTTTCATGTCTGTTTGCGGCTCCTTTAGCATCCCTTATGCAAGAAGTCACATTGTGATAATTAGACAGTGATAATGATAATGGCAGTATGTCGTGCGGTTGAGTCATAACTGAGAATAGAAAATGTAAAGCGACGCGATGAATCACGTCGGAACACGCGTTATTCAGCAAACTAATTGCTCTTTTGATATATATATATATATATATATATATATATATATATATATATATAACATAATGTTTGTTAATTTTGTTAACTAATTGAAAATGTTTGTTCTTTGTGGAAGAGATGATTCCTCATTTGAAAAAAATGAGGTAATGAGTTCACTGAATGGATACTTCAAGAGAAAATTTATGACAAGAGTTCAGCTTCAAGACTGCAATTTTATTCATTGACTACTTTCAATTGGGAAGATATGCTGAGACCAGTAAAATCACGTGTTTAAAGGTAAATCAATCTTGTGACTTATTTGCATCATACATGTATGATCAAAAAATTACCAAAAATTAATTTTATCATATACTCAAAATTGTTGTTACACACATTTAAACACACACACACACACACATACATACATACATACATACATCATACATAATTTTCTACCATATATTTCATAATTCTACTATTAGAATGGTGTAAGAGGTTTGTCGTGTTTGTAAAATAAGATAGAAAATGAAACAACCAATTTCGAAGAATTAATAATTTTTATGTATAAAATGAATATTAATCCATTATAAAAACAATAATTAATCCATTATATTAATCTATTATAAAAACAAACAAGGAATATCTATTTCTCTCTTAATATCCAAACATCCTACAAGAATTTAATAGAAAAGTGACAAGTCTTTTACAGCAATAATAATAATCTTACAATTCGAGATCGGTCGAATTTTTTCAAACGGAAAAATTCTATAGTTTCCGAATTCTTAATGATTCTTAATATATTCTTAATGATTCTTAATATATTCTTAATATATTCTTAATGATTTCAGTCGTGATCGCGAACTTAAAATCTGTCCGACTATTTCCAATTGACAAATCGATATCTTAACGGTGAAATAACTAACATCCTGCTTCCTGTTTGTCCCTTAGTATATCTACATATCGGTTACTCCTCTTCACCCTTTTGTATATTCTGGAATGTCAGGGCGGTGAAAGAGTGGAGCTTCGAATTCGGGCTAATTCGACCAGTTCAGGCTGGCGGAGCGCTATTGAGGATCGTCGATTGATCGTCATTGAGCATCCCCCGACAGCCGTACATGCGGCACGTTTCGCGGGAAGTGAATAACGGATCAATATTTCACCCCCCACACGGCCCGAGCGGCACCACCGCCGTCGACAGGCGGCCGCCGAAGTTTCTCCACGCTGAGTAATTTCGAGTCGTCTCGCGAGCGAGCGGCGATAGTGTGGCACTGCTCCTCTGTGCTGCTGTTGGTGGTGGTGGTGGTGGATGGTTCTGCTGCTAGACGCTGTCGAAGTCCTCCTACAAGTGTCTTACCGAGTTCCTACCCTCCGATGACCCGGCTGCGTGACCATCGACGTGCGAATAACGTGCTGAAAGACAGGGCGCACGCTGGCCATCACGAAAAATGATTCGGAGCGTGGTAATTTAGTCTTTTTGGCGTCCCGATTCGGAAACTCGTCGACTCCGGTGAGACGTGGGTCTCCGTGGAGAGACGGTTTGACTGGCGAGCGAATTTAATCCGGCTGTATCCTCACCGCTTTGGCCGCAACTCTAATCGGCCGGATTGTATCCGCGGAATGTATGTGAATCGAAGGTGAAAGTAATTGGCGACCTGTGACATCTTTCTCATTTATGTATTCTCTCGGGAATCGACCCCGGCATTCGTCGACTCGGAGAATCCGTTATCGGCCACGCGCTTGTATTTTGTCCTTTGGAGTCTTCGAAAATACGACGGAAGTGATACTTTCGAAGCGGACCTCGTGCCGTTGCCGATGCCGATAGCAGTACTATCAATTTTCTAGTTGCTATAGATCGGGGATCGAATCGTACGGAGGATGAGTCAGAGGTCGTGTGGAAAATGCGCAAGGGGTATCATCGCAGCTGCGATCCTCTAGTGTGTCGAGGCTTCCGTGTCAGGAGCGTATGTAATTCACGGTGTCAGAATTTCGGTGATTTCGAATGCTATCGCGGGGTGAACAAGGGTATGTCGCAAGCGATCGAGGGATGACGTAAGAAGTCTCGTTGGATTCTCATGGAGGGGAGAAATATCAGTTAGGGTTTAACGATCGGATAATTTTCGCGAGTGCATGCAATACCGTATTCTCAGCCGTCCTTGATCGTATCTCTGCGCTTTGGTAGGAAAAATGTCGCGATTTACGAGGATTAATTTGGTGAGAATTTAAATGATTTCGCACCAAAACTGGAATTTTTCCGTTGCCAGATTTTACTAGATTTCTATCCAATAGTTTATTAATCATACATGATTTTTATGTTACATATGTTAATTATTTTTCGTATTTTAATAAGTCGGTTCATTGGCCGATAAGCGTAATTTTTTTTTAATTTTCTTTTAAGTACTTCACACGTTAAAACATGAAACTTTCCTATTTAACTTCGTATTCGGTTTCAGATGCGGGGGACACAGCAACCGGCGTGTTTCCACACGAGGAAAGCGCTGCTAGAGGAGCTCGACAACTCGAAGATCGTGCATCGTAATTTCCATCCAAGGAACAGCACGACGAGCGTAACGAGGATCATCCAGTGACTTCTTCAGTTTTTCTTTTTTATTAGGGGGGAGGGAGTATATATTATAACGATAGTTTTTCTCACGTCGACGAGTGTGACGAAATCACGATGTTAGATGAATCAGGTGCTGCGCCAAAACACTACCTCTGCTATATGTACAAAACTACAGAATTGATCGTATTAGGGCTACAATGAAGATATAGATGCATATTATATTATGAAAGAATATATATATACATTCATTCAAGTGTATATAGAAAGGATATATTCTGATGGATAAGCGTTTACACCATGTATTGATATAACGTTCTGTACCAGAAGGCTCTTCCTTGATACAAGATTCTCTTAATCGATATTGTATTAATTGTTTTACGGGTGCAACGGAACAAGAAGTGATAGTGTGGTAGTGGTGTGGTTGTGGTGGTAATAGTAATAGAAGAGGATCATCGGTTGATCATGCCTACCAATTTTCTGGCGAATGCGCGCGGCTAGACGGAGAAACACAATAGAGATAGAAACCCACACACACATACACACACACAGAGATACGTTACACGCACCCCGAAAGCTCAAGAAGAATAGATTTAAGTTAGGTGAAGATGAGTATACCGTACGATGAGAGCTTAATATGGATAGTAGTGGTCGGCTTTATAGTCGCATTTATTCTGGCTTTCGGCATCGGAGCTAACGATGTTGCGAACAGCTTCGGAACAAGTGTCGGCGCCGGGGTGCTCACAATATACCACGCCTGCATTTTGGCGACCATCTTCGAGATTGCCGGTGCCGTGTTAATCGGATATAAGGTAGATATATCGAATTAAGCGGCTTGTAGAATTTAAGAAATTTCGGTGATAATAATAAGGCTGATAAAAGTCATTTGCGGATGTTCGTAAATTAAAGGACGAAATTAAAGGACGATAGGTAAAGTGGGCCAATTTTAGCCTAAAAAGGACAACATAAAGTACACATATTTTTGGGGTCGTTAAATACGATAGTATAATTTTTATTAGTTCAAAAATCCATGAAAGTGGTCAAAATTCGCCTTAAATGAGTTAAAATAAATCACTTTTAGTAGTAATTTAGTTAAGAGTTAGAAGTACACGATGTGTGTGTGTGTGTGTGTGTGTGTGTGTGTGTGTGTGTGTGTGTGTGTGTGTGTGTGTGTGCGCGCGCGCGTGCGTGCGTATGTATGTGTGTGCACAATTCCGTACCTTCTTACATGCATGTAAACTGGCAAGTTTAGTTTATTGCACGTATTGCTATCGTCCATAGAATATATCTATGCAATGAACTGAATTGCTAGTCAGAAGGCATGAAATCATGTATATTTTTAGTCTTAATTGTGACGATTTATTCTTAATTATTTAATTATATTATAGTCCATTTTTATAACGTTTTTCATTGAAAACTAAAGAAATATTTCAAAATGAAATACTTTAAAAATGCTAAGTTTCTTTGTAAAAAATTCTTTAGTAGAACCTTTAGAATGGTGGAAACCTACCATTAGTTATTTTAACATCCTTAAAACTGCACAATGTATATAGTGCAGTGTGTATATCTAATAAAACTTAAAATTCTTTGAATAAGAAAGTAACTATCTTTCTTAATTTTTGTATTACATTCATTTTATTATGTTAGATTTAGCATTTCTGAAGTGTTTCCTTCATTTTTAATGAAAAAAGTTATAAAGCTAAGCTATACTATAAGTAATTAATTCAATAAAATCGTCACTAAATAAATTACTATTAAAAGTGATTTATTTTAACTTCTTGAAGGTAAATTTTTACTATTTTCCTACAGGTTTAGATAAAAATGATATCTTATTCAGTGATAAAAAACATATGATTATATATATAACTTATGTTACACTTTTTAGCCCATTTTATCTTTATACTGTGAGAGGATAATAATGTTTAACAGTGTGAAAAATTTTATAAGTAAAAAAAATGAGACGTCACAAGTATCCTGATAAACACCAACTATCACTAACTAATATCAATTTTATGATTTCCTACTCAACAATATATAAATGTACTGTAATGTGTGTGTTATGTAACAGTTACATTGTTGAGTGGAAAGTTATAAAATGAATGTAATGTTACTGTTAATTGGTATTTACTGAAATTTCAGTGGCCGTACCGTAAACAATGTCAATGTTTTTACAGAAAGTAGAATACTAAGACTACTTTCTCGGATCTCTCTTCGTCTTGAGAACATCGCGTTTGCTTCAACGCTGACGGGAAAATCTGCATTGTTTACGGAACGATCAGATGTAGGAAAATTCGTTGAGAAACTGTTCTCACTTGAAGATTTATTTTTCTACTGCAGGTCTCCGACACTATGCGCAAAGGTATATTGGACGTCTCGTTGTACGAGGGCCACGAGAAGGAGTTGATGATAGGAGCATTGTCTAGTCTAGCCGGGTCTGGTATCTGGCTACTACTGGCAACTGCGTTACGACTTCCAATTTCTGGTACGCATTCCATTGTTGGTGCTACAGTTGGATTTTCGCTCGTGTGCAGAGGTACCGAAGGGGTTAGTACTCTCGCGGAACCCGCAGCGCGATCATGGATGCTCAATAGCAGAATGTTATGTGTTATGTTCAATATTGTAGGTGAGGTGGATAGCTCTCGCCCATATAGCAGCGTCATGGTTTGCCAGTCCCGTGCTTAGTGGGATCGTATCTTTTCTGATCTTCTGGTTGCTGAGGAAATCCGTGCTCCAGTCTAACAAGCCATTTGAGCAGGGTCTCAATATCCTCCCTATAGCATACGGTCTCACCGTTGCTGTCAATGTTATGTCAATTGTGCTTGATGGACCTAAGTGTAAGTAGAGGCGTTAGCCGAACGTGCATTAAAGGCTGAATTAGGAAATAACGCGTTATACCTGGGGAAAAATTGTTATATCTGGAAAATTATATAAAATTTATATATATATATATATATATATGTAAATTGTATGTAAATTTTTAGCTCCTATATATGGTCTCTCATATATAATTATGTCTCTCATATATATTATGATATATGACTATATAAGGACAAAATTTATATGTGATCATTTTTTCCCGAGTTATAACGCCAAAGTTTTTTTTTTAGTAAGATCTTGATAACATATTTTTTACCTAACAATTATTTTTACTGTAACGTTATTTTTACTGTAAAAGAAAGGATTCTGAGAACTTGTTGAGATAAATAACAGAGATTATAATTCCTTGTTGCTTCTTGAGTAACTGTAACGATAAGAAGTTATTTTACTAAATGTATAAAGATAACGATAACAAGCAAGTAACGGTAAGTTGCTTTTAAAAAGTTTTCCAATCCTCATCACAGGATATATTTTATTAAAGTTTCTTACACTTTTCTTTTTATTCTCGCACTCTTTTGAGATATCTTATTTTTCTCTATTTAATATTATTATATTAAATACCATAATAGTATTTACTATATTTTTCCCTTTTCAGTATTAATGTTAGATCAGATGCCATGGTGGGGTAGCTTGATAGCCGCGTTGCTTCTGGGCTCGTTGGTCGCGCTGATCGTGTATATTTTCGTGGTGCCATGGCAGAGGACGAGGATACTGTTGGCAGAAAGTAATAATCAGGAGAAGACGGCTACGCAATTCGGCGCCTGCGACAAAAAGGAGACGACAGTGTTGTCGGTGATTTCTGAGTCTCCATGTGGCGGCAGTGGCAGTGGTGGCGGCGACAGCAGCAATAGCAATGGTAACGCGAAGGACGCGGTGCCGAAGTTGCGCGGCAATAGCAGCGAGAGCCCGTTACTGATGGTCGCTCAGGTGGATGCGGAGAACGCGCAGGCGGACGGCATCGCGGTGGACGAGGAGCAACCAGAGGTGTCCAGGTTGTTTGCCTTTCTGCAGGTGCTCACCGCGACGTTTGGCAGCTTCGCTCACGGCGGCAACGACGTTAGCAACGCGATCGGCCCGTTGATCGCGCTTTGGGCCGTCTATGCGGAGGGCTCGGCTAGGCAGGAGGCCGAAACTCCTATAATGATACTGCTTTACGGCGGCCTAGGTATCTCCACCGGTCTGTGGGTGTGGGGACGCAAGGTAATACGAACCTTGGGCCAAGACCTGGCGCGCATCACCCCTACGACCGGATTTACTATAGAGGTGATTATTTTGGACATTATTTACGTAGATTCGACAACCGAGAGATTTGTGGAACCAACTTTTACTCTTATATATCATAATACGTATTCAAATTTGACAGATTGGTCGTTTTATCATTTTAATACGTTGAATGTCGTGATTTACATCATAACACATTTTCGGATTTATTAAGTTACATATATAATTAATTGTGTTCACAAATATTGTTTGACAGTCAGTAAAAAAGCAATGAAACGAAGTGAAAGATACGTGCATTTTTTTACTATATTTTCTTTTATTGTATCTTTAGTAACTCGATGGTCGATTAAACTGTATTGTCAATGGAGATCACCGCGGCATTCAACGTGTTTATAACGACTTAGCGATTCTTAATTGTTTTAATTTCTTTTTTATCTCCCCTTGGCGTGTATTTTTTTTACGGAGATAACGTGAGAGAATGCTTGCCCAGGATTTCGTGCAAGTCGGGACTCGCGATAAATCACGCGCAATTACGAATATTTAACTGCTCGACTGATAAGCACATTCGTTATATGAAAGTTTCGACGAGTTTTTTCGTTTTTTTTCGACGAGTTCGCTCGTTAATACGAGCGTTTAGTATCTATATCTCGCCGATGTCAAGGCCGATAACTTGACGTTTAACTGCAGGTGGGAGCAGCAGTGACAGTTTTGTTGGCAAGTAAGGCTGGTCTACCTGTGTCAACGACGCACTGCAAAGTGGGATCGGTGGTGTGCGTGGGATGGGCGTCCCGTGGCTGCGAGGGGGTGTCGTGGAAACTGTTTCGTAATATCGCGTTTGCGTGGCTGATCACCGTGCCGATGGCCGGCTGCCTGTCTGCTGGTTGCATGGCCATTTTCAAAAGAGTAATTAGTTTGTGATCTCGCAGCAGTCGTGGCCGACCGAGAGACGTAGCGGGCAACCATCTGAATACTACTGTCAATACGTTCTGAACAAATAAATGATCGAACAGAGTCGTCTTCTATCATGCGCCTGGTGTTCCCCTCTTCGAGTTGCATGTATATGTTTAAGTCGTGATTCTTAGGCCCGTATTAATAGTCGTTACTTGATACTTGTCTCAATTGAGATACTCGGATCTAAATTTAGAGTTAGGCCCCTATTAATAGTTATCACCAGAAACTTACCTCATATATAGTATATTCAGATTTTTATTCCGAATTAGATCTAAGTTTTTTAGTTGAATTATGACATATTCATAATCACACTTATTATTCAACTGAAAATCTCACTTAATTTCTGAAATCTGAATTCAGGTTTGAATATCTTACTTGAAGTAAGTTTTACATATAACGACTATTAATACGAATTTTAGATGAATTTTTTTAGTTGAATTATAATTATAAATATAATATCATATGATTATCATATGAAAAACTCTTATACAACTTGAAATTCTGAATATCTGACGTGAGACAAATTTCACGTGAGGACTATTAATACAGACCTTGGAGAAATATACGCAATAGACGTGAACAAACTTCTTAGCGATATACAACAGCATTAAATCAATAGACAGCCGCTGGCGTCGTTATAGAGATACGATTTAAACAAAGTCCCGATGTCCCGATGTCGCGAAAACTCGAGCTGAGTAATACAACGGCGAGCATGTCAGTGTCGTGGCGGAAGCGTCTTTAAGTATTAGTTCCGTTTTTTGTTATGGCGAGTTTGCCCCTTTTACCAGGCTACACTTTTCGCGACGTTAGCGTAAGTGCGAATAATTGTGCGCCGCGCAAGTCTTCACTGTTAATATCGAAAAAGTTGAAACTAAGCGAATTCATGAGTTATCATTTTTATATTTCGTCGGATCGAATCGCCGTGGGTTAAACCTCTTGTCTTTTTGTAAGCTTCAGGATTATAAATTGCCGCACAAACTCGACATTTTAAATGGCTTTCCTGTGGTGCGCGACACCAATTACGGCATCGGAAAGAGACCGACAGACGCGGCATCAGCCGCGCACGCTAAGGTGCCATATCCGGTGGAGTAAGTAATTATAGAGTAATTACAAAGCCTTCTGTATGTTTTGTCAACATTTTTTCAAAAAGTGCTCTTTATCACGTACAGATATCAATCCAATTCCAGCATTTGCGGAATTGAGTGTTAAGAGTAGTTACTAGAATTACTTGACACGCGCATTTAAAATAATTGTACACACTTGATTGTCTATATATATTCTTTTTATTAAGAGATAATACTCGTGGACTACGGATACTTTTTATTGTTTATTTCTGTAAATGACTTCATAGATGACAGAAAATTATTTCATAGTGACGATTAATTCATAAATTACTATTTAATAATGTGGATGTTTTATTGAATTAATTAATTACCATTAAAGAATAATTGTTCCTCAATTAATTGTGACTGTTGATTGTCTAATGACAGGTACGATTCGTCGTTGACTTATGGCCGGCTGCCTCGCTACGCGTACCGGCAATTCGTGCCGCATCATGCGCTGTTCGCGCAGAAATGCCTCTGCTTCAAAGCTTTCTTCCGCCAAGGGATCTTTAATTCCCCGGACGAGCAGTATCGTGTCCGGCACGTGAACATCGTCTACTTCTTGGAGGACGATACGCTCTGCGTGATAGAACCGGTGGTGGAGAATGCTGGTTTCCGGCAGGGTAAGCTGGTGAGGCGCGAGAGGATCCCGAAGAACGACATGGGCGACCTATTCATTTGGAAGGACCTCAACGTCGGAATCGATGTGTGTGAGTTACCCACTCAAGTGGTATGATCTCTCGAGAATGTAGTAGTGGAAAAGATACAATCGATTAATTAATTACATTCCTTTCGCCTTTGATCCTCTTCTGCCTGTCTGTTGAGACATAGAACTTGTTAATTTCATTATTTATACCAGAAATAATACCATAGAAGAGTAATATTCGATGTAATAAATTATTAATTCGATGTAATTGTATACTCATTGCAACGAGCAGTAAGCAAAATGTTACCGACAGTTTTAGCAGCAGATTCGATCAAAATTAGTAGATCCGTGACTATCTCTGTCCGCATTAAGCTCGTGTTTTGTCGACAGAACCTGCTGATATAACATGACAACAGGAACCGAGCAAGATCTTATGTATGTTCATTTTAAGTATGTTCCATTTAAATGTATCTAAAACAAATCTTGCACAGTTCCTGCTATATTATCATACTTTGCTAGCGGATCCTGCTATATTTCTGACACCAAGCTGTCGACAAAATTTACTACAAACATTGCGTAAAATTTGTTTCTGCAGGTTTGGCTATCTGAGTGAGCGTATATTACTAATATTCTCTTAAACGTATCATCTTTTAAGTATGATTCCTGACTGAAGAAAGCACGTTTCTTGCAGGTATTCACGGTGTTGTATACCACATCGTCGACTGCGATTCGTTCACCCGACAATTCCTGACGAGTCAAGGCATAGACGTTGGCCAGGAAGAGACAGCTCCTACGGATCCTTATACGCAACAGCGCGAGATGCGAGCGACAGTCCCGGACAAGGTAGAAGAGGACACCAGGCGACGCTTCCTGGAGTACGACAAGATGATGCTGTCGTTTGACGCCACGTGGAACGACGATCGTTATCGGCTGATGTACTTCTTGGCGGACGACACTATGGCCATCAGCGAGATTCACGAACGCAACGATGGCAAGGATCCCGTGGCGTTGCTGCTGAAGCGAATGCGAGTGCCCAAGGATTGGAAGTACTTGCCGCCATCTTGGCAGCCGAGCGTGGAACGCGGGGATCCCGAGATCGTGGAGTATTATACGCCGCGAGACTTTCGAGTAAGATTGTTCTCGGGCCTGTCTGTTGTTCTGAGCGTCGTCTCCACTTCAATCGCTGCAAACGAATATTATAAGTTGAATAGCTGCTCGTTACCTGGTGGAAAAAGTAACTCCATGACCTTTTTTGACAAATAAATCATCATTACTCGAAAAGTAATGAGTTGCTACAATTTTTGTTACTTTTTTCACCAAATCTCCAAAACTTCTTTTTATATCTTACGTGTGTAAATTAACGATAAAAATGACGATTACTTTTGTCGCATTACCGTCAGCGATGCACAAGGAGGAAATATCATTTTACTGCCAAAAGAAGTAATTACTCAGTTTACTTTCCTTCTTTTAAGGCTGTTGGTGCCATCGTTGAAAGTGAGAAGACGCAAGTCAACAGTTTTTGCGTGTTATTTTCAAAGAAGATATCTGTATGAAAGAGTATGGTTCAGATTGCTTGAGCATACTCTCAAAATACTCCGAAAACTATCCTTTTCCCTTGGAACAATCAATAAATAGCATTAAAATTAATATAACAGAATCATAAGGAAAGGTAGGCTAAACAGGAAGATTGCATGTCACATTAATTTTAAAGCTATTTATTGATTGTCAGAAGACAAAGATAGTTTTCGGTGTATAATTATGTTCAAGCGATCTAACGTGTTCTTTCAGATATCTTTTTATTTGAGAATAACACGTAAAAATTTTTGGCATGCGTTTTCTTACTTCTTACGTCATCAATCCAAGATTCCGCAATAGTGAAACCAAAAGATTTAAGTAACAATTATCTTCAACAAAGAATATCATTTTGATAATCTCAAAATATACTCATGATAAAATGTAGAAAAGCTTATTTTCACATACTCTTAGAAGAAGAATTTATTCTCTTTGTAAGAATAACATTTTGAAAATTTCGTTTGATTCCATAAAAATAAGAAATATACTAAATAAACCAAATTTTTCTTTTTAATTTCTTCATTAAAATGCTAAACCAGCATTTTGAATAAACTGGATGTTAATGGATAAGCTTTTGATAGGTCTGCGAATTTTGTAAACTTATTTGTAACTTATAAAATGTTTGAAACAAGTAACATTTACTTGAACACAGTATGTATTTTTCTACGTGTACTAACGATAAAAAAAATAACGCCGTTATCACGTCGTTATTGAGAAAAAGTAATTCGTGAACGGCGCTATTTTTTCTTGAAGTAACGCATTACTTCCCAACACTCCGATATTTGAAATGAGAAATGGCTACGGATCTATCCGCAGGTAGGCGAAACAGTCCTGGTGCTCGGCCGGCGTTTCCTGTTGCACGACTGCGACGCCTTCACACGCAGATATTATTCCGACATGTTGAGGACGCCGCAGCCAAGCGCGGTCCCGTTGCCGGGCAAGATGGAAGGGCCGGCGACGACGAGGTACGAGGTGCCGCCGCACATTGACTTCGGTAGGCCCGAGGACACGTACGCCAGCTGCCTGTCGTTCATGCCCAAGCCACCGAGGAAGAATGTGATACGCCAATTGGCGAACTTCCCGAAGAAACTGCGCTACTCCGCCCGGATGGACGCGGTGCATCCGGAGGACGAGGAGCGTGATTTCGTGCTGCTGTACAGTCTCAGTGACGGTGCTATTCGCATCGTCGAACTCGAAAAGCGCAATTCCGGCCGGCGCGAAGGTTGCTTTCTGTCTTCGAGGCTGATACCGAAGCCGGCTACCGGCAAGGACAATCCGCTGTATTACACGCCAGAGGACTTCTTCATCGGCGCGCGCATCAACGTCTTTAATCATCGCTTCGTCATCACCGGCGCTGATCTGTTCGTGTACCGTTACGTCGAGGCAAATCGTGACAAATTTTGCGGGGAAGTGCGCGAGAATCTGCGGAATTACTTCCTGCAGCGAGGTCTGCTGCGGAATGACGACGTGAACGACGCGATAGAAGTCGATGACAAAGCGCAAGAGGCGGAGGATGAGCGGCAAGAGAGAGTTCTCGCGGATAACGCGATAACCAGCGATCAGGATCACGCCAATGTCAGTGAACACATGTGCAAATTCGACACGGCCGATGTTGCGAACGATTAATGTTGATTTATCTATCAAACGCGCGAGTGCGACGCTAATGTCTAGTGCCAATCGTCCACCTCGTCTAATATTGATTCTTTGTTAATATAATCACCGATCATTCTCCGCGTCGCCTATGGAACGCAAAACGATTCTGAACAACATAGTAACATGGTAAACTTGACAAGTTCTCGGAGCAATTTCAAGTAGCATGACGTTTACGTCAGGAGAGAAATTCACGAGGGAAATTTACGAAAGAAATCTATTTTGTGTTATTTCCGCGTTAGGAATTCAGCTTTGATTCAGAATCGCTCTTATAATGACGCCGTCGCCGCGAAGGATGTATCGTATAGTAAAAGAAGAGAAGAGAGATGCATTTAACAATAAGAATCATATCTCATGAAATGTCATCAAATGGTACAATAATAATAATAATAATTATCGTCGTCATCGTGTACATTACAGTAGATTAATTGCAATATTATTTCACTTCGTTATATTATCCTCAACTCATTATTTTTCTGTAGTTCATAATATAATAATAGATATATTTCGCAATAGAGATATAGAATACGCGCTAAAATAAACGCCAATAATTTTTTTTCTGTATAATTCATCGTGAAGCATGATTGGTTATAAATACAACTGAAAACGTTGTAACAAGCCCCTGCACCTTATTAACAATTAAGGGGGGATTCGATTCCTCTCGTAGCTGCAGGCACCAGATTAAATGTTCATCGGTGTTGAAAACTATAACCGATCCAAATGACACTTGCTTATATAATAAAGTGTTCTCGCATAGATTTTTTTTTTCATTTTTCAACAAAAGTTTAAGCATTTTATTACATTAGGATTAGTCCACATATTACAGTTTCCTTTTTTTTTCCTTTTTCGTACTCCTCTGTTACCGCGTTTCGTTTCTTCCCTTCTCTTTCTTTCCCATTCTATCTTTTTCACGCGCTCTCTTTCTCTCTTTCTCTCTCTCCCCGTTCTATCTGTTCCGTCTTATAATTTGTACGTTTGAGAAACACCTTTCGATGAATAGCACGCAACACCACACTATACGCTTCTTTTTCTTTTATGATCATCAGCGCGAGTTTAGCCAAATATCCCTCGAAATAGTGCATCATCCTCCTTCACTCCTCTCTCATAATAATTGCGGTTACATATTATTTACGATGATGTCGACGCGACGCTAGTTATCTCATACGGATTAATCATCTTTAAACGTAAGAATAACGCGGCCTCTCGACGACGAAAGTTCGGTCACAGGAAAATCAGAAGCCCATCGCGGATCCGGGAAAGCAAAGGTAGTAAGTGGTAGGACGTGGTAATTAGTCGCAGCGTGCTCCCTTTATGTCGATTCTCGTTCACATGACATTTCTGCGATACCCAGCGCTACTGGCGCGAGCTTCCTCTGCCACCGCGGCCACGAGTACCGTCGCGTTCCTGCAACGAAACGACATTCCATTAGAGACGACCCATCAACAATCGTTATCAGCACGTTATCTCTCCCGATCATTCGACCATTTGTTTACAGACGCGATATTAGCGATTGTATTAACGCCCCCGCAGTGCGATTCTATAACTCGTTAACTGTCGTTAAAGACAATATCACTAGCACTGTGTCATTGCGCATCTTTTCTAGCATGTATCCACCCAACGTTAACGATAACTTCTTACCGACAGTTAATGAGTTATAGAATCACATTGCTGGTCCCTCGTCGCGGCTATCTTGATCTAAGCGTCATAAGCGAGAAGATACATACACACAATTCCTACAAAATACATCGAAATAAAAAGATACACCCAAGAAATGACACTTGCAATCGATGAAAATATTCCAAACACTTTCCTTTTGTTCGAACAATCAATAAATAACTGTAAAGTTAACGTGACGTACAATCTTTTTAATCTTTTTAATTTAGTTATGTTAATTTTACGGTTATTTATCGATCGCTAGTATAGAAGAAAAATGTCCTGGATATTCTAAAGATGTATTTAACCGATTGCAAGTGTCACATCTTGGATATATCTTTTATTTTTATTCCAACGTGCTTTGCAGGAATATTGAGCGTTTGATTTCTCGCTTCAGAAGCTATAAATGAAGAGTTCCGCGACGAAAAATCAGAAACCTCAAGGCCTTAAGGTTCGTTTAAGCATCGCACAAATATCTCTTTGTTTGAAAATGGCACATGTAACAATTTTTGCCATACATTTTCTCGCTTCTGACCTCATCAATCCGGACTTCTACAGTAGTGGAACCAAGGAGCCTTAAAGGAAAGAGAGAAGGTACATTCTTATTGGCGCATTGAGAACGACTGATAAAAACGACTAGACTATACCCACCTTGCGCTGATGTAGGTGAGGAGGTTGATGACCATGCTGATGATGATCTCTGGGCAGGTCCGAGGCGTGACCTCTGTTCCTGTGATTGGCGGAAGGATGATGATGCTGTATGACATTGCTCGGCGCTTTACGCTGGTCTTCCTCGGCTTGCCTGCGCTCATAATGCCCGAAGTCGTCGAAGATACTGGTGGAGTGACGATAAGTGTGTAGAATACGCAGCACTGTGACGCCCTTGGCGTGCGGCACCTCCTGCGCGTCCCGCGAATTGGTTACCGGTTTGTTCTCATTGTTCTCTAGCTTAATGTGCCGCAGTTGCACGTTAGGAACGTCTTTCACGTAAATCCAACGTACGCGAAACTGACCCTTCCACTTGTCCTGCGACCAGACACTACTGTTGCACTGATAATCGACCGGTGACACCATCTGCGCCATGCCGCAGAAGTGGCCGGACCCATTGACGGAGAAGAACAGATAGAGAGGCGCGCCTTCGCGACTCGCCTCCCGGTAAGCCTGATCCAGTCGCTTGTTGCCGTGCTCCGTGCTGCACCAGATTTCGTATTTGATCGACCGGTGTATATCGTCCTCCGAGTAGGACTTGATCACAAAGAACCTGGCCCCAGGCGCGGTCTGATCGAACTCTACGGGGTTGTAGTCATTTTTCACCTTCAGTTCGTCAAGTACCGGATGCGACTGATTCTGTGTGATCTGTTGCTGTTGTTGTTGCTGTTGTTGTTGCTGCTGTTGTTGCTGTTGCTGCTGTTGATGATGTTGCTGTTGCGGTTGATGCTGTGATTGTGGTGGCACGTGGATCTGTGTTTGCGGTGGTGGCGGGGGCGGAGTGGCTGCTGTCGGCTGCCGGTTCCAGCACGGAGGTGGTGGCGGTCTCTGTTGTCTCTGGACGGGCGGCGGTGGCGGCGGGATCGGCGGTTGCACCTGCGGCGGCGGCGGAGCCGTCGGTGGCGGCGGCGCGGAAGACTTGCCTTCGCCCCACGTTCCGATATCCATGTTGTGCTTGCCCGGAACTATCGGCGGCGGTGGCATACCCGCCTTCTTCTTCATGCCCTGCGTAGACGACAACGGAGGTACCGGTTTCGCCGGCTGGCTTGCTACACTTGCCCACGTGATCTTTCTTGGCTCCTTCGGCTCCGGCTTGAGCTGTTGCTGCGCCACGGCCGCTGCAGCGGAATGCTGCTGATCCTGCCTCGGCAGCTCACCGGTGCTGCCGATCGACAGGCTTTGCATGCTCTGTTCGATGGTCTTGATGTCCGTGCTGCTCGCTGTGGTATAGCTTTCATTGCCGCGCGGATAATAGTCCTCATACTTGGTCCTCCTGGGTGTACCCCAAGCGCTGAAGTCGCCATTACCGTGGAAGTAATTAAACTGCGGCTGGCCAAACGCGCTAAAACCTCCGCCAGCGCTCGCCGAGAACATACCGTCCATGCCGTATGCATCGTGGCCTATTTGACCGCCGTAGCCGGACAGAAAGGCCACCGGGTCCGTACCGTTTGACCACGTACCGTCGCCGAAAGCCTGATAAGGGAACGAAGTGCCGGCGTAGTACGGGTTGTACGGATCACCGGCGCCGATCGGATAACTCGAGTGATGCTGAGCATTGTTACCACCTCGCCACGAGTCGAAGCCGGTGTCTTCGCCAGCGGCATGTTCCGTCTGTTGTTGCTGCTGGTGTTCCTTAGGGCCATTGCTCACTGTTTCAAACAGAACTCTGTTTATTCGCTTGCACTACGAGACAGAGAGAGGGAGAGAGAGAAAGGAAGATGGTGAAACACTTACGCTCTTTTACATGCACACGATCTAAAAGGACAACCTGTGACGGGGACAGAGGAGAGAGAGAGAGATTGTGAGTATTATCTTGAGAATGTTATCGACACATTCCAAGGTGTGTCTATATAGATTAAGAGAAAAATATACATTAAGAGAAAAAAATATCTAAAAAAGTAAAGTTATTTGATGGATACTAATAGCAAATTTACTTCAATTTATATTCTTTTATTATTTGAATTAAATAATAATTTCTTTCATTTCTTAAAGCTCTAAGAAAGTGTATATTTGCTTATTTGAAAAATATTTTATATTAATGTAAATAATACATTGTATATATATATATGTTATTACCCATCAGAGAGATAAATCTTTTCCATTTCTTAGATACTTCTTCTCTCAGTGTATAGGGTGAGTTATTTCACATTAAATTCTAAAATATCTTTGTTTTTTATATTAGAGGAAATATTTTTTTACATGAGGAATATATGTGTAAAGAATACATTGATCACAAGAGTTGGCTGCAATTTTTATCCCTCTGAATCACAATCTGTTCCTTACACATTTTTCTTCAATATAAAAAACAACAGATCTTTTGGAATCTAATGTTAAGCGAATATCCTGTATATGACTATCTGTCACGATGTGAGTGTGTGACGCTCGATCGTGGATATATCACAACAGTGGTGAGCAGAATTTACAGCCGTTTATTGTTACCTTCGCAGCCAGTTACATTGTATGTGTGTACAGATGGTTTACACAAGGAGTGTGAACGCGAGTTTACAACTGTACAAATTTCTTGAAAACGGTGTGTCTCGATGACTCAACACACTGACGAGTTCCAATGTAGATTGTGATTACTCTGAGACGCATTTAACTTGCAAATGCCACGACGAATAATACTCTGTGCATGCTCCAAATTCTTTTCAATTAGCGACTGGTAAGCAACTAGAAACTTTGCACACAATATACACACAATTAGATGCCTCTATACATCAGACTAAGTAGTGAAGATTGACAATTGACAACTAAAAATTTGGCTCAGATGAATTAGTGAATTTGAAGCTCAGCTCGCTTAGGAGTCCAAATTGGTCAAGTTCCAATCTTCAGTCTTCGATCTTCAATCCGCAATCCGGGACGCTCAATCCTCAATCTCCAGTACCTGGTCTGATGGCTTGACTTGACACTCGAGAACGATCGACGTCGTGGCGTCCGTCCAACTCGCGAAGGGACCCGTTCTCCTTTTTCGCATTCAACACGTGTGTCCTGTGCCGCGGTCGTGAGCGTCGATGTGTGTAGAGTACAACGACGAAGGGAAGGAGGATCGGTAAAGTGCATGCTCGACTCTCGATACTCACCTTGGTTGCCGGTTTGTCCTTTCATCCGCTGCATGCCGTCGCATGAAAAAACATACAAAATTTAGAAGGGCAGCCCTCGCTGTGACGTGACGGGGGAGGGGGCGCGTACGCGGAGAGGGGGGAGAGAGAGACTGAGAGTATGTGGTGTCTGCCGTGTGCAGACGCGTGCGACGGCGACGGTGGTGGTGGTGGTGGTGGTGGTGATGGTGGTGGAGTAGCGTAGTCAACACAACACACTGACCTGGTTTGAGACAGCGCCTGACAATCCAGTTGACATAACCTGTGTCGCGCGGCCTGCGTGTCGTCGTCGTCGTCGTCGTCGTCTTCGTCGTCGTCGTCGTCTTCGTCGTCGTTGTCGACGTCGTCGTCGTCGTAAACGTCCTCGTCTTCGTCGTAATCGTCGTCGTTGTCGTCAGCCAGCGTCGAGCGACGGCGGCGCCCGTGTCGTCGGTCGGTAGAACCGGGGTGCGGATTTAGACGGCCCGTGTCAGCACCGGCTACGGAAGGACGGGCGGGCGGAGGGGAGGAGGAGGGATGTAGCGCGCGATTACATGCAGTTAGCGGCGGTGGCTACGACGCCTCTACATGTAACACCGACCTCGTCGGTTGTCTCTACTCGGAACACTCGCGCGCGCACTAACGAACGCGCCAACGCACTTCCGTGATCTCTCTCGTGAGCGCGCAACAAACTCTTCGGGCAACCCTGCGCGCTCTCCACTCTCCGCACAGTCTCACACTACGTGGCCGTCCGTGTCTCCTGCGGAAGCGAGCACCGCCGAGCCGACCGCGCACCGACAATGTCCTCGGTCCGCTCGCGAGAGTCCCAGGACGTCCGTTGCTGTCCCGCTGACCGGAATCAACCGCGAACGAATTCACCGTACCGAATTCCTCCGTCGGCTTCGAGCAATAACTACGTGACGTACACTGACCTCTTGTATGTGATCGCAGGCGCACCAACTGGCGATTATGTCGGGACGTTTTCAAGAATTTCCCCTAGGTCGAGTCTTTCATGTCTTCCGTGAAAGCTACTAAAACAGCTAGGGACAAACAATTGGTTCCTGACTTTAATGTCCGTATTCATTGGATGCTTTCCAGTTGCGTACACTGTTATACCAAACCAGTTTATTGCTTGCATATTATCTTACAAGATAATATGCGACCAATAAACTGGTTTTGTGTATTTGTGTGTCTATATAATTAAGCAATTGGAAAGCATCCATTGGTTTACATCGTGCACTTGATATGCATACTAATAGTAACTTTTTATTAGATAATCTTAATATCGACAATGCATATCAACAGCGACACATTCTGTCAATACAATATGTTTTGTTGATGAGTATTATACCAGCTTAATATACCGCTGTTTATATATATCATCGATATTAAGATTATCTAATAGAAAGTTACTATTTAGTACGCGTATCAAGTGCACGATGTAAACCAGACCAATGACTGTGATTGGTCAATTTGCTTACTGCTTACATTTACTGCTTAAGTTTTTCTATGTGACACCAGCTTAAGAGTGCGAGGCTAGTAGCACATATTAGTTGGCTAACGGTTGGCCACTATAGATTCTATATCGACCGGATTCAAATTTTTTATTGGCTTAAATTTTAGGCTGCTATTTCTGCACGTGTCGTACAAGTTTGTCAGACGTTTCAATTAGCTGTTGGATAGAGAATTTTTGACCTGAAAGAAAAGTTAGGGAGCTTAGGAGAATTTTATCCATCAGCCAATCGGCACGTCCAACAATACTTGTCGTATGATATGTGAAATAGCACCCTTAGTCCCGATCTACAATAGGTGTAGTAAGCTTTAAGAAATTGACCCATCATAATTGAATTATAGAAGAATAATCAATCGTGATTGGTTAATTTCTTACGGTTTAAAGATTACTACACTTATTGTAGATCGGGACTTATGCAGGATTCACACTGCGTCCGATTTCCGACGTACGACATCCGATATCCAATAAGAGAACAGCTTTCTAATAGAGAATTCAATTCTCCATTGGAAAGCTGTTCTCCTATTGGATATCGGACGTCGTACGTCGGACATCGGACGCGGTGTGAATCTTCCATTAGGGTGCTATTTCACGTGTCGTACGACAAGCTTTTCGGATACGTTTATTGGTTGGCGAATAGAGTATTTCTAGGTTCTCTGTTCGTCAACCAATGAACGTATCCAAAAAGCTTATCGTACGACACGTGAAATATCAGCCTTATGCTGCTGACATTTTCTGGTGGTATGTGCAACTTGACGTATTTTAAGTAAAAGTTCCGGCCTAACCGCCGTCATGACAAGACGTGTTCGAACATGTTCGGACCTTGTGATTTTTTTGGATCGTGTCTTGGAAATTTCCAAGACTTTACTCTCAAATTATATCATTAATCGGAAACTGGCGTAGGGGCATTACTCTTATAGAGGCCTGTAGCCATATATTGAAGGAAGGAAGGACGTATTTTAAGTGTATTCACCGATATTCATCAAATTTTTTTGGTATTTTCCTTATGCAAGTGGTAAGGGTGTTAAGGTACCTTTACCTGGGAGCATCGAGCGTTAAAGCGGTAGCCAATCAACGTGCCACTTTCCACAAGAACTACAAGTATACTTCTGGGACGTTGATTGACTAACGCTCCCATGTATTGGCACTTTTACAGAACCCGATTTTGCATTTAAGTTAAAAAGTTATAATAAATGAAAGTATAGGCTTTTATTACACCGTATATACCGAATATTCGTCCAAATAATTTATTATATTTTTATTTCGACATTTTTCCAAAATAACATCTTATATCATCTTGCGAACGTTTCTCTTAATTACTCTAAAGTTTCTCTTAAATATAAATACAAGTTAATCCTGTCTAAATTTTGGTAAATAAACGTGAAATACCTTCATCTATTCCGCAATTCTCCGCGAGAAAGACAGATATCACGAACCATCTTTTATGATATTTACACATAAAAGTAGAAAAGTAATAAAACTAAACTTTATGAGAATAACGGTTATATCTTTATATGGTGAAAATCATTTTAGTGATACACAATATATAATTCCAAATGTATAAATAATATAATTAAATTAAAAAAAATTAAGTAAATATTTTTTATAAAGTAAAATATGCATATTTGATAATAATATATTACATTTTATATGTAAAACACAATTTGTACCATATATATCCATTTATATATCAAATATATATATATATGTATATATATATTTGATATATAAATGGATATATATATATATATATATAATGTATATATATATTTATGTATATATATGCATATATAATTTTATTATTAGATTTTTTATACAATTATAAATGTAAAGCTACTAAATTTCAGTAATTGTATACTAATTTCATTCATTGTTATATATTGATTAAGGTTACAACTTTAAGTCCTGTAATCATAAAAAAAGAACAAAGAATGTATCCAAGATATATTTTGAAGTAAATCTGAGATATAACAGAATATAAATTTCATGTATATATGGAATATCATAGCACCAAAATAAATGATTCCCAAATATTAAGGAAAAAATTTTAATTATACACATATAATCCCTGCAAAACATCTCTTACTGCTGTCTGTTGTCTACATTATGAAAATTAACTTAGTTTATTTACTTCTTTATATATACTGTACATGTTGTACGTGAATAATAATACATATATCGTCGAACCTAATACAATACATATGTCTTTTAAAACAAAACGAGACTTTTGTTCTTAACACGATAATGATGACAAATCGTCATGATAATGTATTGGTTAACTGCATAATAGAAATGCTCACACATATCTATCTCTATTTCATATCATATATGCGTCGTCCGAATACTTCTGTCCTGCTTACTTTTACGAGACTGTGATAAAAAGTCTTTGGTTATACTTTCACACAGCAAGAAGGGTTTAACATTGTTGGTTAATAACATTTTCTACCAAAAAACTTCCCAATATTTGTCTTTTTCTTATCCTTAATTCAGTTTCTACTTAACCAAGAGAAAGCTTTCAATATGAGATAAGCTACAGTAGCTATGTACAAAATCTTTTCTTTCTGCTGACGATGCATTAGTTCAAGTTCAAGTGCCATAACTCTGCGATTCAGTTTACCTACTTGGCGACGTAAGTGCTGGATTTCTTCACTAGGTGGCAAAGAAACGTCGAGAGCACCATATGAAGGTGTTGGTTCTCTGTATAAAAAGCATAAAGTAAATTGAATATGATGCAGATAGAAAATAGAGCATACTGTTGATACAATTACTGTGATAACTGTTTCATAACAAAGAATTATAGATAATTATACAACTAAAATAAAGAAAATCTCCCATACCTGACATGTCGCACTATCTGTGTTTCAGTATTGTATGTCCTAGGTACTTCTCTGTCTTCACAGGAAGCAGATTGTTCTTCTTCATCCACTGTTGGAAAGTAATTGTCCAATGTCAGGATTCTCGGAGGAGTCTATGAACCAAGACAAATACTTAATAGCAATTTCTATAATATACTTATAATACTCCCTCATTCTCTTAATATCTTACCTTTACTCTAACAACAGGTTCAGTAGGCATAATAGAATTTTCTAAAGCAATTTCTAGTGGCGGTGCTTTTGTGCCAATGTGTTGTTCTTGTCCTGCAATAATAAAATTATAATGAAATATCACATAAAAGAAAATATAACACTATATCTTCTTCTTTAATAATGGGCACAATAGCCCAACATTTAAAATGGAATCTCACCAACAACAAGAATTCTATCTGGCACATGCATTTCAATTTTTTCTGCAGCAAGTGCTTGATTCCATGCTGATCCATTTGCCATTGTAGTGCTATCCCCATCATAATCCCCATTTACACGAATGCTCTTTGGCACTCGCATTCGTGTATTGATATCCAAAGTAAAGTTTGGATCGTATATATTATCTGGTTCTGCATTGAAGTGTGTCGGACTATGTGCCTTTGCCATTATAACTAAAAGTAAATTTTTATTATAAAAATTTTTTCTGTGTAAAACTCGAATGTAAGCATACAAAAGTATCACGTAATCTTTATGTAAAGACTTCACGATAAAATTGCCTTTCGAACATATAACCTATGCAATGTTCCTTAATATTTGTATGTAATGAACTAAATAACCAAAAAATGGATTAAATGAATTATAGCAACTTAAGAAAATCAGTTGTTGGCACGACAAATAATTTGTATATGTAATGAGATATGTTCTTTGCAAATGTCGACATTGTACACCGAAACATTGTGTAGCTTTGTTAGCCTGCTTCTTCTTGCAAAAAAAGAAAACAATATTCAAACTAATCATTTACGAATACAATAACGTATTTTCTTATTGATAATATATCATGAAAAAAATCCTTCAAGATACAGAAATTAGTTTCTCGTGTATCTTCTAATTTCATCGCTGCACGTTAAATATATTTTTATATATATATATACATATATACGTAAGACGTACATACGTATAGAACGTTGAGAGTCACTCGAGTCACCGAAGTTCAAACTGTTCCGAGATTGTCCAGGATCACGTTATCGTCGATGAAATGACCACGAATTAGCTCGGACTGTCGATAATCAATGCGTAAACCGATAATCATCGCTACGCGAACGTGCTTTAAAGAATATTTACCCTCTCGCACCTTGTTGTTCGTTAAACCTTCCGCTTTGAAGTACGTAACAAATGTGAGATCAATGCTGCCAAATCTCGAGATAAACAAGCAGTGGTGTGAACTTTGGAGCTAAAAGAGAACAGTCTCCGGCTAGAGTCTCTAGAAAACCACTTTTTCTATTGGATATCGAACGATATGATATTTCGATTAGTGGAATCAGTGTCGAAACTCGATTAGTCTTGAGGCTAATCGCACGACATCAATATCAGTATTCACGTTGCTTCAGATCTCCCGCCAAAATTCACTGAATAAGGACGACACGAAATGTCGTTTGCGTGTTCTGTCTAAAAAACGTAATTTACGGGAAGAATAATGGACGATTCGCAGCGTAAGTAAATTTTTGTGTGCATTATTAAGTACTGGGATGATTTTGGTTGAGTATCACGTTGTGACAAACGTGTTGTGCATTTATACACACTTTGTATTTCCTTCAGCTTGTTATATACTTTACTATGTTTTGTTTTGCGGAATGATTCAAACAAATACTATAGTTTATTTTATTTTATTGTAATTTGTTTTATTCAATAAAACTATTTTAGCATCCACATCTGGAAGGAGTAGGCGTCAGAAGATTGATAAGGTTGGCAGATTCTCAGCTTTGGAGAGATTGAAGGAGGTTCGAAGTGGCAAACGCAAGTATGAGGTTGAAGAGTTAGAAAACGTGTACGACGAGGTAGACGAAAAGGAGTACAATACTACTGTTTTAAAACGCCAACGGGATGACTGGATAGTCGATGATGGTAAACAATTATTTTTCTTATCTCTTGCACCTTGATGTAAAGACATTTTATTATAATTAAAAAGGATTTTGTTAGGGAAAACATTTCACTTTAAAGATATTATGTAAAGTCAGTACATCTATTTTCTAGTAACTGCAAAACATTTTAGTATTAATTTTAAATGAATAAATTAAAGGGGAAAGCGGTTATGTGGAAGATGGGAGAGAGATTTTTGATGACGATTTGGATGAAGAAAGCATTCAAGAAGCTAAGAGACAGAAGTATAATATGGCTGGCCCTAGGAAAAAGAAGAAGGATGAGGAAAAGAAAAAAGGAGATATTCAAAGCATGATTAGGAATATGCCTTCTAAAAAAAGTACTAACACAGATTGCAAGGATGATGATATTTTAGGGGAATTGCTTAGTGAGATTTCTACAAATAAAAAAACAACAGATAATTTTAAATCAAGAGAAGTGAAAAACAAATTTTGCCACACAGTTCACTCAGATCTTGCGTAAGTTGTATTTATTATGTATTGTGTTTATTATGTATATTTGTATATTGCTCTATATTGATTTTATAAGTTCTTATTAATGTTACATGAATACTCAGTTTACTATAAATGCAACAGTCAATCTTTATTTTTAAGCCAAGAAATAAGTGAAAAAAGAGTAACTCAGAGACTAGAAGAGAACAGTGCCAGTCAAATAATTGAGGATGACGATACTGCTGTGCTCTTTGAAGTACCACAAAAGAAGAATACAGACAAACCAATAAAGTCTAATGACATTAGGCATTATCAAACTATGAGCCAGAGAATTGATGAAGATATAAATCTCAAGGAAGTACAAAAAAACAATACAAGTGAGCAAACAGATTCAAAAGACACCAAACATTGCGAGAGTGCAAGTCAGATGATTGAGAGTGAATTTATAGATGAAGAGTTATGTAGTAAGTCAAAACTTTCTGTATCCTTAAGAGCAGAAAAGGAATCAAATATGGATCTTAACGAATGCGTTGGAGACGTGAGTTTTTTCTCCTTATGTTTATTCCCTCTTATGTAGAAGCAAAATTATATGTGAAATATATATTGCAGCTATCTACTATAGACTTCGACGATGGGAGCATGGACGTTGACTTTTCATCACCGGTAAACAATGTTAAACCTCAGAAGAACGTGCCTCAGAAAACCGGGACGAACGTGCAAAACGCTACGTGCAAAACTTCTGTGAAAAGTATAAAGGTCGGGAACGCGATAGATTTGACGGAAGTAACGCCACAATTAGTCAAGACAAAAGACGAGGTGGAGGTATTCAGATTTTACTATCTGGACGCGTACGAAAATCCTTTCAAGAATCCCGGAACCGTGTACCTCTTCGGCAAGACTTATGTACCTAATCACGATATGTACTGTTCCTGTTGCGTTATGGTGCATTGTATACCGAGAAGAATATATCTTTTACCCAGAAAATACGTATGTACACTTTTTCATGCATCTTTTCTTCACCAAACTGTTCTATAGACATACATCAGATAGTACCAATACGGCAGATAAGATTGGTTGTGAATTTCAGTTGAGGACTCCCAAGAACGGCGAGCCCCAATTAACTACTATGGAGGATGTATACAAAGAATTTGATGAATATGCTAGTAAGACGCGTATAATGGAATTTAACTGTAAAGAGACGAAAAAGCATTATTCCTTTGAGAAGGAGGGTACACCAAAGACATCCGATTATTTGGAGGTCAGGTATAACGCACGTTATCCTGCGATCGACGCCGATTACTCTGGCCCGGCAATCGAGCGTGTCTTCGGTGCCACAGTCAACGCGATGGAACTGTTGCTTATAGAGAGAAAAATCAAGGGACCCGGTTGGCTGGACGTCAAGAACGTGTCACCGACTGCGGGACGTTTCGCTTGGTGTCAGCAGATAGTAAGTGCATAATATTATTGTATTGTGATAAATACAAATCGTTCGTCATAATCATATTGTCATATGCAGGGTATTTGATGCTAAGTATCCTATACATATTGACAATCTACATTACATGTATTGACAATGTACATGTACATTAGATCAAACTAAACGCAAAAAAAAATATATAATGTATAATATATATATTTAGAATATATGATATACTATAACATAATATATTGTACACATTGCTAATATATAGTTTATATAACAATGTTGTAACGCAACAGGTGGTTACTTCAGATATGGACAACATATCACTGTGTTCCCAAGATAATGCCAAGCCGCCGATGGTGATAGCGACGTTAAATGTAAGGATGTCTTTGAACTCGAAATTGCAGAATGAAGTAGTGATGGTCGTAGTATTGATTCATCATAAATATAACGTCGATAAGGAACCACCAAAGCCACCCTATGACCGTCAGTTTTGCCGTATGTGTCTTTTATTAATAATATATAATACACTGATATATAATACACTGATATTTTACTTTAAGAAAGTAGTCGATATCATTTTTTGATATAGATGAACAAAAGAAGATTGCTGCAATTTATCTTATTTGCATAAAGTTTTTGTTTTTTAATTTCTACGTACTGACTCTTACTGCTTCTTTGTTCAAAATACTAACAGAGATTTTACTGTTGTAATTTTGTATAGTTGTCACGCGGCCACGAGATATTCCATGGCCACGACAAGCTCGAGACGGGCTACCTAGGGTTCCAAATATTGAAATAATTAAATGTGAAACCGAGAGTGAACTACTCGAAGAGCTGTTAACGTTAATACAAAAGGCAGATCCGGATTTGATAATAGGCTACGATTGTGCGTTTCAGTTTGACGTGTTAATGCAAAGAATGTTCGCTCTAAAAGTATCGAATTGGAATAGAATAGGAAGATTAAAATCAACAATTCTTCCTCTTTTTAGAGTACGTACGTATATCTTATCTGCGATTTTTTTCAATAAATTCAAGTTTTCGGAGCAGTAACAAAATCAACGTATTCAAAATTGAGAAGTAAATACATAATTCATACTACCTTTTTGCAGGGAAAGATAATTCTCAATCAGGCATTCGTCGGTCGCCCGATTTGCGACATTCAAATCTCTGCAAAAGAATTGAATTTGAAGGTCAGAAGTTATGATCTGCAGTCGCTCTGTAGTGCGGTAAGTCACACGATATAATGATATAACGTCGTACCATATATCCGATCGAGATATCATGATTTTGGCAATTTTAGGTGCTAAGAACGAAGGAACACGAGTGCAAGGAGATTACGCCAGCAGAAACCCCGTCATATTACAATACCGCGGACAAAATAACAAGTCTGATACATGCGACGTTAAAAGAAGCAAAATACATCATAACTATAGTAATGGATCTTAATGTTATACCGTTGGCGCTTCAAATTACTTGTTTAGCAGGTAAGTTTGTAATATCTGTTTCTAATATATCTGAATACAGTTGCTATTAGGAATTAAACCTTGATAAACCGAACGTAGGCAATATCCTATCGAGAACTCTGTTGGGCGGAAGAGCTGAGAGAAATGAATATCTATTGTTGCACGCTTTTCATTTAAAGGATTACATAACACCGGACAAGAAAATTGAAAAGAGACGAGACGACGGTGAGATCTTAATTTACATTATTTAATATAAATTATATATAATCAATTTAATAAAAATATAATATATGATTATTACATAATATATAAATATTATATATATTAATTATATTCATATATTCATATATAGATGGTCCTCGTAAGAAGGCTGCAGCGTACACCGGAGGCTTGGTGCTCGACCCGAAGAAAGGTTTTTACGACAAACTAGTGCTGTTGATGGATTTTAATTCTCTATATCCGAGTATCATACAGGAGTACAACTTGTGCTTCACCACTGTGCCCGGTGCAGCGTACGCTGAAGTCGAGGTAATTTTTTCAAAACACACTGACAAAGAAGGTTCTTGAATAATATACCTAATCGTGCTGCACAGCATTTGGGCATTCCTGACTCAACTTTGGAGACTGGTGTGATCCCGACTGAAATTTACAAGCTAGTCAAGAGCAGACAGCAGATCAAGCAGCTCATGAAGACGCCGAATCTCTCGCCGGAACAGAAGATGGATTACCATATCAGGCAAATGGCCTTGAAGCTCACCGCTAATTCTATGTACGGGTGTCTAGGAGCGGCACATTGTCGATTTTATGCCAAAGGCCTCGCCGCTTTGATAACAGGTAAGATGTAAGATTGCTGAAGCTAAACGTAGCGTTGATGACATCCGAAATGTATATTCTTCAGCAAAAGGTCGGGAGATTCTAGAAGACACGAAACACTTGGTCGAGAAGTTGCAGTACGAAGTCATTTACGGCGATACCGACTCGTTGATGATAAATACCAACATTTTGGAATACGACGACGTTTTCTCGATCGGTAGAAAGGTAAGAAAGAATCCTGAATACTCTATCTTATGTTACGTATACGAATATGATTTTTGTCAGCTGCATTTCGCAAGTTGATGGGTGATCTGACAAGATCAAATATCTCGTAGATCATGCGGGAGGTCAATAACCGATATAAAAAAGTCGAATTGGACATCGACGGAGTGTTCCGGTATCTGTTGCTTCTTCAAAAGAAGAAATACGCTGCCGTTACGATGACGAAGTTGCCGAGCGGGCAGTTACAATTGGCGCAGGAGCACAAGGGTCTGGACATTGTCAGGAGAGATTGGTGCCCATTAGCTTGCGAGACTGGAAAGTTAGCAAATATATTACGTAACGTATATCGAGATCGATGTTATTTCGGGCTTTGCTCACATATGAAGTGCGTATTTCCTTTCAGAAAAATTCTGGATATACTTCTTTGCGATCATTCGAGCGAGACGCGTCTGGAGCAAGTCGTGCAGATTCTGCAAAACGTCGCGAAAAGCGTGAAGGAGGGAACGGCACCGATGTCGTCGTTCGTCATCACCAAACAACTGTCGAAGAATCCAGATGCATATCCGGATAAGAAGCAGTTGTCGCATGTGATGGTGGCATTGAGGTTGAACAAAGCGGGCGGCCGAATGTGGAAGGCTGGCGACACGTTACCGTATATCATATGCGAGGTTTTGTTTCGTTCTAAGATTTTAAATTGTGTAATATCTGAAGTTACAGAGTATCTCATGATAGCATATAAAACTCCCGTCAACGTATAGATTAGGTCAAACAAAAAAGTTCTCTACTATTTTGCAAATGACCACGTAGATTTTTAGTTATTAATTAAAAACTTACGTGGTCACTCGCAGGAGACTTTTATTCAGTTTGATCTACACGAGAGTTTTATATGTCATCGTTAGACACCTTATATAATTTTTAAGTTATACAAAAAGGTATTATTTATATATAATGTAAGATCTCTTAAAATTATAAAATCCGTTGATCTTGGATTATATAAATTGTTTCAACATTTAGGACGGAACTGAGGCAAGTGCGACGGAACGTGCGTATCATATCGATGAAGTGAAGAATAACGAGAAACTGAAGGTAGACGTCAATTATTACTTGCTGAGCCAAATATTTCCTGTAGTGCTGCGAATTTGCGATCCAATTGAGGGTATCGACGACGTCTTCTTAGCTAACAATTTAGGTATAATTCGTAGATATCTCAAATTTTAGAAATCAAATGAGACGCGCGGTGTTCATCATATGCCGATTTATTCCCTAGGTTTACAATTCGTTTACAAACCCAAAACGATAGCCTGCGAAGCGACCCTGAACCTGCCGTTATCCATCAATGACGAAAGGTTTGACAATTGCGTGCCTTTGACGTTCAAATGCAGAAGTGAACGATGCAATACAGAAATTATAATTAAGGACACTGTAACAGAATTTGTAAGTGTTTATCTTTTCATAGTTTCTTTTCATAATCTTGAATACAATTTTTTCTTAAATCAAGTAATTAAAGTAATTAAATCAATGAAACTAGTTATGAGAACTACATCGTACTTACGCGTATTTTCCATAGCATTCTGGTCGGCAATTGTCGCTCAGTATGTGCCCAAATCAGGACTGTAAATTGCCACCTTGGAGATACGCAAATGCGATACAAAATGTAGTTCAACTTGCTATGAGAAAAGCTATCAGCAAGTATTATAATGGCTGGCTGGAATGCGAGAATCCATTGTGTTCCAACAGAACTAGGAGACTACCGTTGGATTTTGTAAGAAAATTCCCGGATTGTTCAGTATGCAAGGATATTTCCATGGCCAGAGTTGTAAGTTAATGAACCATCATTCTCTCAGACTAATATCCTTTTCAGAAATGTTGGCCAATTAATTTTTACTGTTATTCTTCTAAGATTTGTGTAATTTCATTTTACAAAATGAAAAACAAAGTTGATGATTCTCTGAGATCTTGATTTCTTGATTTGATGGTATACAGTAGTTAACAATACCAGAGTGAATTGAATTATTCTGTAGAGATCTCTATTGTGAATTTTACAACGTACACCTAAAATTGTACGTACATAATGTACACGTTCATATGTTTCAGTATTCCGGAACGGAACTCTACAATCAGTTGTATTACTATTACAGAATATTCGACATTAGTCAACCAGTTTACAAACGTAATAATTTTTTTGTCGCATATATACTGTAATATTGAATAATATATAAGTATTGTAAGCAAATTTCTGAATTAATATTTTTTTCAGATCTGTTGTCGCAGTGTCCGCGTGACATGATAGCCGCGTACAATACGCTAAAGGAGGCGATTGACAGACAATTGAAACGAAACAAATTCTCATGTGTAAATATTACAGGAATTTTCAGCAGCGCCAGTGCGAGTCATCGCACGGGAATGTTCGGTGGCGCTGGTTCGCAAGAGGATTTTGATGAATTAGGCGATTTGTCCGATGATACGGATAAGGAGATTTAAGGGGAGTCTGAAAGAGCTATTGTATGTGTGTAAGCTCAATGCACGTGGAATGTCCACTACTATATAGGCCGACAATATCCGGAATCTTATGTTCCCAATTAAATTCCTCGACTAAAATTATTTCATTCTTATCAGTTTAATGAACAATTACTTTTAATCATTTTTTCTTAGAATATGTATTATACTATTTAAATTAACCAAAACTAATATCTAATACAACAATACCAATATACATAAAACTAGTATTACATAATTTATTTTTCCAGGTTTTTTAAATAGAAGTTATGTAAAGGAAGAAAAAATGTGCTGAAATAGTTTTAATATTTTCTGGTGAAGCACTAGAAAATTTCCTTGTATATTTAATAACAAAAAGAAATATAAAATTATGTAAAATTTGTATATGCGATTTACAATATGAAAACCTTCCTTCTTAATTTGAATCGAGTGAAACGAAATTTTTTTAAATTTTAACAGGTGAAACGAAAATTATGAATTGGATTGCATCTCAAGTACGTGTTTGTTAAATAACGACACTAGTTATCACAAATGTTTATCTTTCAACAAGGTGCTATACAACAAACTGTGTACACATGACACATTCGATTGTTTCTGATATTCCGGCTGAAAATCGACAAAAGTCCGTTTTCCTCATTCCATATCAGACTCTTTGATGAGACAATATCATGTGCATTAGACATACTATGTAACATAAACGTGTACACTAACTATAGAATGTCTTAGAAGTCTCAGAATTTACTTGAGACCGACGTAATCGTTTGATTAATAACAAACAAGTGTGATTAACGTGAGAGAAAATGTTTACACAGTCAACTACTAAATGCAATCGACTCATGGGAAAATAATTTAAATAAAAATAACGACGAAGTCTTCTAGAGAAATGCAAAATATACAATACATAATTGTGACCTGCTATATAATGAATACATTCATAAATCTATCGGAAATATTCACATGACGAATTCGAAAGCCTGTTGATATCAACAATACTTGCGGTTGTGTGTGTAGTTATGTAATAACAAATAATGACCGACGGTCTAGCTTTTGGAGAGAAATGAATCGGACTACGATGGTATACAATTTTTACAAACATCATCGGATCGGATCAGAATATTGGATATATACGTGACACTGTTGAAAATATTGTCACACTGTTGAATATAAATTCAAAATAATTTTCATTGTTCTCCGATTTGAAAGAAAACATCTTGAAGTATTCTATTCTCTCAAACAAATAACAAAACTGTTTCCGACGATATTTAAACTCTTATTTCGAGGTATAGTTTTGTGGTAGATCCAAGGGACGGTAATTCTTTTTTTTATTACAAAAGTTGTATTTGAAAACCGTTACGAAATAACCGGCGGATCTTCGTTACGTCGTTCCTCGTTGAGGTTTCTGTCCTTTAATAACAACTGGCCGGCCTTTTATGAAACCTCGCTTACGCCGCGCAGTCTGAAACATCAATGCCCGACCCCCCATAACTTCAACTACGTTTCCAGATCGACTGAAGTGTAACGATAGAAAAGGCAAAACGATACGAGAGACCATAACATAAAAAGAAGTAAGTGTCTCTTTTTTTACCCTTAAAAGGCGTAAATACCAACCTTTTTACTAATATATGAATTTGCACGACGTGTGATAACCCGTTCAGAGATTGGAATTCTCGGTCTATTGAACTCTGCTGGTTTCTTTACCCTAAAAAATATATTTCTTCAATTGAAAAAATAGATTGAAGATAATCTAGAAATTGTAAAAATATAACGTCAATATTAATATAATATTTGAAATGAAGCATTTTAAAAAACTTAATTAAAAAATTTTTTAAAATTTAAAAACTTTTAAAAAATCTAAATTTTAAAATCATTTTACTTCAAATAATAAATATACTAAAATAATAAATAAACTTTAAAGTAAGTTTTGTATATATATGTATATGTATGTGTGTGTATGTGTGTGTGTGTGTATTACAATTTTGTACATTATAATTTAAACTTTTATAAAATTTAAGCGATACTTACCTATAAATTCTGACAAGCCAGTGTTCGGTGGTATAAGCTTCCTCCAAATATGTCAATTGGATATTTTTATTGCCTATCTCAGCGTTACGAGTGCGATCGTAGCCGTAAGGCGTCCGATAATCTATTTTGACGTCCCCGAACCGATAGTAACTCAACTTATACATTAACGAGTTCAACAGAGTGGGCGAGCCTTCAGAATCCACGCGGAATTCACCCCTCTCCGTGAAGTAGTCGCTCTCGCGAATGTCTTGGGGATGCTCGCCTTCAGCGATTCGCACCATCCATAAAAACTTGTTTACATCATCGCCGGAATATCCGATCATCCCGCCAAAGATCACTAACACGTAGTCCACATCCAAAGACGTCATGATCTCGTAAGCGGCACTTTCATTTGAACTCATCGCCTTGCCGACCAGCGCTATGTGCGAGTTGTTCCACGTATTATTGTCCACGAGCGTAGTTCTGTGAAAATCGACATGTCGATAGTTACACATCTTTCGTGAGCTAAGAGCATACTCTCTCAAAATGAAAGAATTAATTATTCTAATTTCCAATCACGACAAATATTATCAAACCTACAAAAATCAATGCAGACTGATCGTTGAGAGTGTAATTCGTGTTCTTACAGGAAAAGTTAATGTGAATATGCGATAGCGTATACTAAATTGCTTTACCTGTTAGCCATACCGGCGATCTGATATCCGTAATCCCACCAGCTCATAATTCTAGCGTCGTTAGGTGTATTTTGAGCCAGCCAGTAATAAGCTTCTCGAAAGTCGTCGAGTATGGCTCGGCCGCCGTCGTTGCTGTACGACGCGAGCACGATAGAGGGGCTGGAGTACGCATTGCTGGTCACCCACGTGCAGTGCACAGTGAACAGCATTAGCAGCATGAGTATGCCGATAATCACGACATTACGTATATTGACGCCTAATCCGTCGCCGTTGCCTTTTGGCCTCTCATGCCTCATTCTGCGAAGTTTTCCGGCCTTATCGTATAATGCTCTACCCGGGCTCCTTTCTCTCTCTTCTTCGCTCTCCTCGTCGCTCTCATTACCGTTCCGATCGTTCCCGTCCCCGTCTTCTTCCTTAAGGATTAGCTCCAAGAGCTTGCTGAACGACACGCCGGACAGCATGCAAACCACCGGCGTCAGAGTCAGCATGAGTCTCACCATTACTCCGGCGAAGTAAACGGCACTTAAGGCGTACAATACGACTGTGAAGGAGATTAAATTATATTTATTGTCATAATTTAAGACCAAATTTGTTATTACTCACTATTTTCAGTCAAATAATGATACTCACTATTTTCAGAAAATAATAAAGATAAAACTGAGAAAAAATAAAACAAAAATAAAAATAAAAAAAAAAGAAAATAAAACTAAGAAATAAAAATAAAATCTTTGCTAATGATGAGATAATAAATTAGGTATAATAAACACATGAAAAAAGATTAAGATTAAAGAAAAATTAATGTTAGAATTAGGAATAATAAATATAGTCAAACCAGACATATGCGTGCGTTTGTTAGAATATAGTAATTTGAACAGAGAACATTGCATTACACGATAGTTTCTTACCAAAGACACGCTCATCGTTGATGTGCTTGATACAGTACCAAAGACCCACCGGGAATGTCATAACAAGAATGTGCAGGTCAAAGAAGAAGCTGAACCACGTTGTCGGCTGGTGCTCTGACACGGATGCTATTATGGGTATGTGTACTTTAGCGTAGCCGGTGTCCCACAGCGAATAAAATCTGCCGCTCCAAGGTGCGACCACACCGGCGTACGTTAGTGCGATCAAAATAAACAGGAGTACAACCGCCGTTACGGCTACCACGCCACCGAAATATTTCATCTCGGACTTGGTAAGTACAGTTCTTAAGTATCTGAAAAAAAAAAGATATCGACGTCGTGAGTGATAAGATAGAAAGAAAAAATAAAAAGAAAAATTACTTGTCTAGCATTGAAACATTTTGAACACGAGATAACGGAACGAAATTGCAACTGTACGATTACTGAATCATTTTGAAACGGACTACATACCTAAGAGCTGCTACGAAGATTAGGAGACTGAACACACCACCCGCTGCCATATGCTCGGAAGTTCTAATCGGTTGGAAGCCGACAAACGGTATTTGCATGCTTAGTAAGAGTCCGAGAACGTAGAACGTGCTGTAACTGGTGAACAGGCGATTGCTGAAGCGATTCATGATCAACAGGACGAATACGTGAAGCGGGATGAGATTAATGATGAACACGTAGCCACCCCACGCGGACACCATGTAGAAATAAGATAGTGCAGTGATGCAGGCCCAGAAGATCGAGCCAGTCTTCACTGACTTGACCCACAGGTAATAGGTGATTTGCAGGGCGAAGATCGCGATTCCCTCGTTGTCGTAACTACCCGCCACGGAGCGCGAAATGTAGCCGGGTACGATGGCGATGAAACATGCCGCGAACAAGCCCGCTCCGGCGCTCCATATTTCTTTCGTCAATAAATACGTGGATATGGCAGTAAGGCCACTAAAAATTGGAGCTAAGAACACACATATGTCCCTTATGTGCACTGGTATGTTCAGTGAGTGCAGCACGTAATGTATCGAACCAGATGTGATCATAAGCCCGGGATAGACAGTCCCACCCACAATTCGACCCAGTGGGTACCACGCTCGCTCATCAAACCAGTTTAAGAAATTGTAGAATCCATGCTGCACCATGTACGCAGTTGCTCTGTAGTTGAACCTAAATTTGAGACATATCTCTTAATTATATATTATTATTATGCATTATTATGTTTACTTATTTCATATATATATATATATTGTTGAAAAATAAAAATTACTCTTGGTTAATTTATTTTCATCAAATAAAAAAATTCAGCAAACATGACAACATTAAATAACAAATTAACGATGTCTCTAATGTCATATATCTTGATTATATAATCATACAATATTGTATATTTACACATCTCATAAATAAAAAACCCCTTTTGCCTAATTTATCGAATTTTCATCTTTTTCATTGAATAAGAATCAAGTTTCTTAAAAAGTACATGTGTTATTTGATTACTCGTAATCTCTTGATATCATCATATATTATTGTATTTATATACTTCTTATTTTTAGTAAGTAAAAATCTTTGTTAATTTGCTTTAATTGAATAAAAGCAATTTTCTTTAAAAATACATGTAACATTCATTTATTTTTTAAAAGATATTTGAACATACTTCTGATAAATGTAAATTTATCATTATTTCTACATGAAAAGATCGTTAAGAAAACATAATTCAAATTTTCGTCGTCATATTGGAATAAAAGCTAGCAAAATGTACTATCATTCATTCTCACGAGAGACATATCGCACACGACCGACTTATCTCACCTTATGCAGTGAGATAATCAGTGCGTAAATACCACGTACCAAGGATCGAATTCGTGTATGATACTCTCAAAACGTATGACCGCAAAAAGGCGCGAGGCGAATCCCGAGATCCAGGCGAGCAGGAGCACGGTGAAGGTGATGAGAGAGCTAAGGCCGGCGGCGTTGGCCAGCGTAGAGGATTTCATTTGTTTCATCATCGGCTTCTTGTCGGGGAACATGACCTTCTTGGTGTTCGCCGTCGCGGAGGACGACGACGACGACGACGACGGCTGCGGCGGCAACGACGACGACGACGACGACGACGACGACTTGTTCGGCAGCATGTTGGTCGTCTTTGCGTGCACGGATGTGATAGTTATGTAGTAGATCTGCGTTAATTCTCACAACGTGCTCGCCATATGTGCGTAAACATCCGACTGATCGGTCAAATCCAAGCGGCGCGCAACAAATTACCAAATCGCTATATGCCTAAGCTAGGAGGCTAGGACACGTCAAACGCCGGCTACGTGTTAACCATGACTTCACACTCACTCTTTCTCTCTCTCCCTCTCTCTCTCTTATTCTCTTTCTCACTCAATGCTGGCTTCAGGCGTACTAGGTCTGTTCTTTTTAACTAAACCGTCTAAACTAATAAACACTGGTGCAATAAGTTAGAGTAAGACAAAGTATAATTGTCTCATTCTAACTTATTTTATTAGTCCAGCAGTGCAATTAAAAAGAACAGATTAAAATATATTTTGTTTTATTCTAATTTTTATCGCATCAGTTCACACAGTTTAGTTAAAAAGAACAGACCTATGTTTTACGTACACTAGAGATGGGCGATGATCAACTGGGCTGAGTTCTAAAACTCTACTCGACGGGTAGAGTACATTTATAGCGTGTTCGACTGACCCTGGGTTAATCGCTCCGAGAGCGATTAATGACATCATAAGTCTCTACTAGCCAATCATAAAGCTTATAAGTACTTGTTTGACCAATAAACGTAGGCTGAATAACCCAGAGTGGGTTAACCCAGAGCCAGTCGAACATGTTATTAGGTTGCTTTCTAACAAGAGACACAAGTCGACACAAACATCATTCTATCTTTGTTCCACATTTAGTGAGTAACAAAGATAGAATGATACTTGTGTCGACTTGCGTCTGTTGTTGGAAAGTAACTAATTGTCCAATCATGATAAAGAAATTCTTGTTATCTTTGTTCTTATTGGTCAATTAAATGCTACTCTATTTCTTTATCAAGATTTCTTTATCATGATTGGACAATTAAATGTATATTCTACCCGTCGAGTAGAGTTTTGGAATGCAGCTCTAGAGGAACTATCAGCTTCTCGATTATGTCAAATGCGATTAATTCGATCACTAGTGTCAATAGTTCCTTTAATCCGAATTGTTGCTAAATTTGTTGCTTTTATGTTGAGTTATTTTTGTTTCTTGATAATGGCCTGGTTTACATCGTGCACTTGATACGCGTACTAAATAGTTACTTTCTATTAGATAATATCGACGATATATATAAACAACGGTATATTAAGCTGGTATAATACTCATCAAGAAAACGTATTGTATTAATTGAACGCGTCGCCATTGTCATGCATATCATCGATATGCATTGTCAATATTAAGATTATCTAATAGAAAGTTACTATTTAGTACGCGTATCAAGTGCACGATATAAACCAAACCAGTAAAAATAAAAGTTTGTCTTGTTGACGTCAGTGTTGTCAAATAATGAAATTTCGTTCGCTTTGTCGTTGTTTTACTACTGGAAAATAGAAAAATCGACTTGTTATTGAATTGTAAAGATTGAAAATAAAAGACTTCTGACTTACAGCATGTTCGACTGGCTCTGGGTTAACTCACTCTGGGTTATTCAGTCTACGTTTATTGGTTGAACAAGTACTTATAAGCTTTATGATTGGCTAGTAAAGACTTATGACATCATTAATTGCTCTCGAAGCGATTAACCCAGGGCCAGTCGAATATGCAAGACTATGTTCAGAAATCCTACTTGATGGGAGTTACTTTAATAAACCAATCATAATAAATACATCTTAGTTCCTTTTGCCCTGATTGGCTAATTAAATGTTACTCTACTCACCAAGTAGCGACATCTAGCAATGTCTAGGAAAACCTACTAGACAAGTGGGGTTCGAATCTCGGCTAAAGTATTTTTAGCACTAAAATCTCCGCTATGAATCTTCTTTTAATGAAGATTTAAAGTCGTGGTACAATTAAACGATAGTCAGCCATACTTAAGTCTTCAATAGTAGAACTCAACAATTGGTCAGACATATGATACTTTATTACGAATAACGTGGCGAATTCGATTGGAAGCACTAATGTGCTAATGCGCACATTATATAAGATTGATTCATAATCCGTTCTTATATTTTAGCTATATTTAATTTTATATTTAAAATCATCTTATATTCATCCTTAAATGCTATATAAATCATTGTACCGCTTACGGAGCGACACGCTGCAAGATTTTCATTTTAAATATCTACAAGATATCCTTAGATAATAAGAAGACGATGTCTCAACATTCAACATTTATTTCAGGCAAATATGTATATACAAGTTGGCGGAGAAATATAAATTGACCTATCTAAAACACAAGCCCTCACTTTTTTAACAATTCTTCTTTACTTCTTTCTCTATACTTACAATATCATACGATAAATCTTTCATTAATTAAAAGCAAGTACAATCGGCGGGTTTCCTGTAATTGACGTTATCATCGTCAATTCGAGTAATAATAATCTCTTAATAAAAATCTTTACATATTGTTCAATGTGGGAAAGTTTGTTTATAACTGAGTAATAGTGGCTCGCGAGAGTCACATTTAAGTTTGGCAATTGCACGTTCACATAGAGATCTCATAACATAACATCAATATCCGAAGAAATATTATGTACATAATACACAACACTTTTTGCCAGTAATAGCTATAAGTACAAAAAACAACCAGTTGTTCGAAGCGTTTAAAGATAATATAAAAAGAAATAAAATAAAAAAATATATAAATATGTAGGATACCAAATATGTTACTCTAGGTTGCGTTCCAAAATGTCTTTGAGGAAATTTTACTCGATATTCTATAGTATATGTAACGTGAAATATAAGTATTGAGTAAAATTTTCCTCAAAAAGAATGTTTTGGAATGCAACCCTAAAAGATTTCCATAAGAATTGTAATTTGATTTTTGTTCTGTTCGGGAATCCTCTCGGTCACAAATAAACTTATTAAGTCAAATCGACGATTCAGATGTCATTTATCTAAAGTCAGCGCTGCAGCGCTCACTAACAAAGTGTATTACAAGTTTGGCATTACGTTTATAGTCACAGCACAGTGAATACAACAATCAAGATCATGACAAACAAACATATTCGACGTAAGTAACTCTAGAGAGTTTTGGAAATTTCTCAAATGCGAATCACACTCCGAGAAATTTAAGATTCCTCGAAAATTAACGATTTTTTCTTTTCCTTTTGAGATTAAGGTTTATAGGGAGCCCATTATTATGTCCATATAATTAATAAGTCTTATCGAAATCTGGCACCTGGTGAACGTTTGTTCTAACACGGTGTGACTAACGAACAACCACTATACTTCTGTTACTTTTACCCGTGAAACTTGACACAGAGACGATAGAAGGATCGTCATCTCCTGGACGGATCTTTGTACCTAATTTGCGACGTCAAGTTAACTCACCGTTTAAGCGTAATATAAGTACTTCTTTTGATTGTACGCTATCCTATACGGAAGGTATACGACTGTAAGTCGCATAGCTTTTCGAGCAACAGCCTGAGACGAAAGTACAAGCGGCAATTAAGACGATCAGCACGATCATGAGCGCGTAAGCGCACAGCTGCGGGAATCTGCTCGGTAGCCACAGGATCGTGAACTCCAAGGTTTTCTCTTGAGTGTCTGAAGTGTCGAATAGCGTCGATCACCAACGTGTCGTTAACGTTTCGATCATATTTAATTAACTACTGTTAACACAGTTAACTACAGTGAACAAGTACCGATATAGGCGAGCCCGTAACCCATGTGTGGTGTACCCATTCTGTAAGAGCATGTCGGTATTTGTACTTCATGAATGTCCCCTACATCCATCCGCAACTGATACAAGGGCGTCTCGTGCGGCGGGAGGATCCCGATCTCACTCAACTGATCGGTCGCCGTGTCCAGGCTCACGTGCATCGCTTTGTGCTCGTGAGCAGTGAAGATCACTTGCGGCGATAACTCTTTGAGTACCTGTTGCAGATAGAACATCAGCAGAAGAACTTTGAATATAACTCTTAATAAAAATCTGAGTATCTCACATGAGACAAGTTTCAAATAACAACTATTAATAGGAACTTGAAAATTATTACTGACGGGCTTACTCAGTGATTATATTTATTATTTAGTATTTTTAGATATATTATTATCGTGTAAGTCCGTCGGTAATAATTTTGAGTTCAGTGTGTTTAGTGAGATTTCAATTTCATTGTGTCGAAACCATTTTGAGTATACGTATAAATTAATGTAATCTACAAAGTATTTGTACACATGGAAGTATAATCTACAAATGGCAGTACAAATCCTCTTTTTTTTCTCTTCTGATTTTTCCTCGCTTATAATATTGAAACATACGTTTTGTACGAAGCTGCCGGGCATGAACAATAACGGCATGTGGCTAAGAATAACATTGGTCGTGTTCCTTTCGGCGTAATCATTGAGAAATGCATCCTTCGGCGCTTCCGGCATCATACGTGTCAACCTGTTCACCTACAATGACACATATATTTGTTCCACTGATGTAAACGCAAAATTTATGCGACTGGAACTTTCAGGTTTACCTTGAAGAAGGTGACGGTCTTGTAAACTAACGTGTCTGGCTGAGTGTACGCGAAATTGAATCTGTTGTGGATGTTGGGAGAGACAAGGTCGTCCTCGCCTCCGATGTCATTGTCGCCTGGCAAGTAAATTTTCTGCAAATAGATAAGAATAAATTGATGAACAAAGCTTAACAAACAAGAATAAACATCATAGAGAGATCTCCTGAGAAGGAAAGAGATAAAGCCATGTTAGAACACGATGAAATAAGAAGGACAGGCACCATTATGTCGTCTGGCATGGAAAATATCGAATCCAATCTCCTCTTGTATCTCTCGAAATTCTCCGCATTTGCTATGTGACCTTCGTCCATGAGATCGCCGAGGAAGGCGATAACGTGCGGCTGAGAGTACTTTAGTGCTCTAGAGAAAGTCTTTTCTAAGTACCTGAAAGCACAGCACTATGCAATGCAAATCAGAGATATGATTCTCAACACGATACTGCTTTCTCACGTAGTTACTGATCGATCAATGTGACAAATTCCGAGGTGAAATTCATTCACCAAGGGTCATACCTATCACTGTCCCATCTCGCTAACCATGAGCCAAAATAATTCTCGTTCTTCTCCCCGAGTATTTGCGGGTCTGCAACGAGGAGGATCTTGACACAGGCTGAGCACTCGCGCATGGCCCACTTGAATTTCTGCATTTCGTACACCAAATACTCATTGTAAAATATTGTCGCAGCAACTATCAAGGCGATGGATATTATCCTATGTTTCAACCTGCGTTCAATATGACTTCATCAATTACCTAAATAATTTATTGATATATTGTGACACAATTGAAATCTTGCAAATGTTATTCTAACAAATTAAAGAAAGAAAATTAACAACCCAGATAGCATAAGATATTTCAAAATTATCTATGATGTATCCAAGATATCCTGAGGAATGTCTTAGAATGTTCTGAGTATCTCTAGAATGTTTTATCTGCTATCTAAGAAAGAAAATTAACAACCTATATAGCACAAGATATTCCAAAATTATCCATTATGTATTCAGAATGCTTAGAGAAATATTCTAGAATATTCTAAATATATCTAGAATGATCTCAGAACATTTTTTCCTATCTGGGAAAAAAAATAGCAATCCAAATAGTACAAAATGTTCAAAAATCATCCAGGATATGTCCAGGATACGTCCAGGATATATCCAGGACATCCAGGATAAGGAGTATGCTAGGATGTCCTGAACACATCCAGGATGTTTTGGTGCTATCTGGGAAAGAAAAAAAAGAAAATTAACAGATATATTATTGTGAGATATTTTATTTGGGTTTTATTTTTATATTTTGTTTTTTTATATACACACACAAATAGACATTTGCAGTGATATTCTTCATAAACTACACGGATGGATAGTTGCATAAAGAATTACCTGTTTCGTCGTAACATCTTTGTGACTTAAAGCATTATACAATGTCGCGTAAAGCTTGTTGACATCAGCCTTGAATTCAATCATCCGTTTATTGTCGGTGTCATCGGTCTGGATAGCAGCTGGTTCATTGGCACATTACGATAATCTAATAAGAGGTTATGCGATTACGAGATCCACCTGTTCTCAATCCGTGGAGACACGGTTCCTCGTAATTTACAATGCCGCTGTGTATTATTGCATCGAGCCCTGAGAATCGCCGCGAACCTTACGAGTTCGATTTGTCATGCCAACGCAAAAATAATTAGCGAAGCGTGCAACAAGCGCAGTGCGTCGTAATGGTGTCAAGAAAAAAAGAATCGATGTGTTTACCGAACGCGCTGCATATTTAGTTCAGTAGGGATGGAACAGGTGATCGATCACGGATGTATCACGAGGAGTCTCGTGCGCGAGCGAGTGTGCGTGCGTGCGTGCGTGCATGCGTGCGTGTGACACGCGTTGCCTTGTGAACGATTCACTCGATTCAAAACGTGTTGCGAGTTCCACACTTGTGGGACACACTTGTTTCCATTGAAAAAAATATCA